GAAGAAGATGCAAGGCTAATGTTTTCTGTTATACTAGTTATGGTATTGATGTTCCACTGAGCTGCCCTCATAATGGACTAGCTTGCACATTTGACTTTTCTACCTTCTGTGGTTAGGCAGTGGTCTTGCAGGCATGGAACTGGCAAACAATTCACTTGAGAATGGAATAGCATGTGGGTAGAGTGAGGGGTTGGAATATATAAGAGAGAGTTATCTAGACGTTCAACTTATAAATGACAAGAACTTCTTTGAACCGTCAACTCAGTACTTAATACTTATACTTGGTATATGTGCTACTGCCTAGCAGAAGAGTATGAGGGTGTTCTCTTTGAGCGCCCATGATTGAATAGTTCAGACACATAAAGGGTGGGGGGAGGGAAATGAACGGACGATTTCTGCATCCTTCCTTCCCAGCTCAAGTGACTTAGCTTGCATCACTCTATAATGATGCCAATATGACATAGGATTATTTATATCCAACGGTAGAAGAGAGCTTTAGTTACTATAATAGGCATCGGAGTGTACGGCTTATGGGTAAGAAGCAGCTTCCGTGGAAGCCACATCGAATGATGGATCGATAACAAGCGGACCCCTGAAGCCACAAAATGTAGGCCTCAGGCGTGAAGGTCTTGCTCAGACATAATCGGTAACCACAACCCACCCAGAATGATGTGATTGCAGAGTTGCTGACGGAAGGGACCATGATGAGTGGTGAGAGCAATTCTGCTCTTACCTTCCTCATTCCACACGCTGGTCTTAGACAATGGGTATGGAGTCTATCGTCCTGCCTTGGTGCACATGAAACACCGCGTCTTTCGTTTAGTTGAATAGTACCAACTACAGATATATCAAGTACGATCACCCGTATATTTAGGTGAGGACAATGCCAACCTTCTTCTCCGACAAGATATGAGGTCTTTGGATTCTCACAATGAAGACAGACTACTGACCACTCTCATTCTTGTCGACTGCCACCCTTCACTCAGCGCTAGCCCGCTGTTCCAGGAACCAACATGCAAGACGCTTCTCCATTTGCCCGAAAAGCGTACATCCAGAAAGTATTTCAAGAGCCAGAGCTCGGCAGATTGGATACGTGGGCCCACCTGAGACGACTGGAAACTATACCCTTTGGACTGTATTACCGGATTACGTGCTGCCTCGATGCGTCGGCCGATCGAGCGCTGCTGCTTGCGTCAAAAGGGCTACGCAATAGGATGATAGAGGCCCAGTTGAACTCGCAATATACCACGATCAGAATCACCAATGACGATAACGGTTTCGGTTATCTATTCCAGGTGGCAAGCGATGGAAGGAATCGCCCATACCCTCAGACTCTCTGGTTTGAGCCCAGGAAGCTGCCTAACAGGAGGTTGATGGCATCCACTGTTCCTCTTTCGCCAGATACTCTCAGAATCGACTCGTTCCCGGCGATCAGGCAGTTTCGCGACATCGTGAGGTCCGCGTTTCCCAACATCAAGAACATCATCATTGAATATTTCCGGTCCCCACAAATTGCCAACGATACCAGCGCCATGTTTCTTCATATCCTATTCTCGGTCCTTGCAGATGCTAGGGCTGAGCCTGAATACCTGTTGATCTTCACGAAGAATTCAATTCAACCCACGACAGAAACCTCAAACCATATAGCGCCTATTTTCTACACTCTCCCTTACAATGTCGAGATTGTGTGGAATAAGCTGGTCTGCTTGACGGTGGGCCTGCCCTGGGACGAGGGCAAGCAAAGAGTATATTTGTCAGATGTTTGGATCGTTGTTTTTGTGCGCTTGGAAGCTCAGGTATCTGGTGTGGATTGGCTTGCCAATGCAGCCTCTGTCTCGTTGGTGGAGAAGACTAATGAAACTAGCCATTGATGCCTGTGACTGGGCAGACTCCAAGGAAGACAACGGCGTCAATCTCTGGACGTTGAGGCTCGAATGTGTCGATGTCAGCACTCAAGACCTCATTCAATTTCTCGAGCTGTATGGAAAGCGCCTAATGACTCTCACCCTCCAACAGGTTTATAGTCCTGAAGGGGGTTGGCTTGAAGTCTTCCAACTGCTAAGGGATAAGAAGATCTGTCCCAAGCTGGAGTGCATGAGGCTTGTTGTCGGACGTAACCCGGCGGATACTCAGCATATCCAAGAGGACTTTCACTCATATTTGGTGATGTATGATACGGAAGACCCCCAGATTAATGATAAAGATCAGGCAATTGCTCGAACCGTGGCATTGGGGTACTAGGTGGTCTTTCACATCCGTTGTCGTATCTGCCTCTTTGCGAATCGAGATCATGTCTCATTATTTTTGGCTTGTTTACGGACCGACCAGTTCAACTCCAATAGGAAAGAGACAATAGAATAGAATAACCCAGATAGATCACAACACATATACTTACATTTTACCATATGATAATCACTCGAAAGTGGAAAAGTAAATCACACGTTCGTATAATGAGTTGAAAAGGATAAGTTCACGTAAACCATATTGAAACCATCTAACCCGTCTCTATCAAATAGGGAAATAATCATAGTAATAAGAGACCGTCCGACTCAGCTTTCCATCCCGATAATCCTCACCCTATTGACCCAGTCAGCAGATAAAATCTCCCCACACACAACTAAAACATTGAACCTCACCAAAGCCACAATAAAATAATCCACAAGTTCATCCTCTCCCTCCACCCACACCTTCTGTCTCGGATGACTTCCATCCTCTGGAAACGTCTGCGCAGAACCAAAATCCACCCACAGCACCCTTTCCTCATCCCCGGATACCGAAACCATCATATTCCGAGGCATCGGGTCACCATGCAGAACATTTGCCTCGTGAATATCATCAAGAGCCCGACGAAATTTAGCCATACGTCGTTCCGAGTAGTTTGATAAACCTATCTCCTGCAAATTCGGGATATATTCAATAAGAATCGCATTGGGTGGTAGTTTATCACCGAGAAACATGCCGAGTCCTGGCCAAAGAGCCGGTTGGATGTTTCTGATAGTCCCGTAGAAGTCAGGAATGACGCCTCGACTGCAGAATCCTTTTGGTTTTAGGCGTTGGTATGCTGTTGATTCGGCGATGAAGAGGTTGACTTCGCGGTCTGGTGGGTCGAATTCTGATGGGCCGCGGTCGTGGTACTGCTGCTATTAGGGAGAGGATAATAGTAGCTTTGGGGACGGGAGATACGCACTACTTTGAGGACGCATGGTTTCCCCTGGAAGGTGACTTTGTATACTACGGAGTTCTTGGATTCTTGTAGTGTTTCGAGGAAGTCGATCTCAGATGGGGTCACGGTTATTTCGGTGGGCATGGCTGGTATGCCAAGCATGGGAATAGATGGTGCGGTGGGATCTGATACTGAGTCAAGGGATTTCTCTGGGTAACGTTGATGGTTTAATACGACGGAATATGAATGCATCGTCACTGCGAAGAGTTGAGGTCAAGTAGGATGAGTGCTTCCGCCTCTTGGCGCTGCACTGTGCTCATCTCAGCCAACCATCGGAGAGAAGCCATATGATCACAAATTGCTGCAATAAAACATATATGAAGATGTAAAAAGAACTTGACTTGATATGGTGCATGCATGTATTTTTTTAATAGTCAATCGATTTACACGAGGACCTTCTCTATAAGACTCTTCTATATACACCCGAACAAACTCACGAACAACACTGCGATCCCTGCACACCCAGCCGACAAAAGCACGAAGACTTAATATCCACATCAGCCACACTCAAAGCAACATCCAGCTGCTGTTTAATGATAAGTGCCTCTGCTCCGCGTCCCAACCTCATCAAACACTCATGATACCCATGCAGCGCCCACACATTATTCGGATGCTGATGCGCTCGAGTAATTTCCGCATCAAGACCCAAATCCTCCGCATACGCCCTCGCAGCTTCCTCCACATGACCCTGCTCCAGCGACAAGGCCGCATACGCATGTCGCGTAGGTAACATCCAGCCCCAAGGTTCGGTATACATCAGCGCATCGTCATGACGAATCGCTTCCCGCAGACTCTCAAACGCCTGCGTAAAGTTCCCTCGACGGTACTCGATCTCGCCGTCTAGCATAGCGGTTGCAACCTTTAGAATATCAATGATCAGGTTCGGGTAGTCTTTCCGGCTGGGAGGAACGCGTTTAGCGGCCGCTTGGAAGAGAGTGCGTTCCTTCAGTGCTTCCGGAACGTTGTTCGTAGCTGCGAACGCGACCGCTTTGCCGTAGTGTGTCATGGCTGTGGTGACGCAGTAGAGGTCCTGATCTTCAGGGATTGGGAGTGCCTTGAGCTCCTTCCAGAGCCCGAAGCGGACGTAGACATGAACGCGTACTGACTTGAAGAACTCGAGCCAGTCTGCTAGTGGAGGGGAGTCTACCCGAAGTACGTCGTCTGTGATCGATGCTTCCATCTGGTCTACAGCTCTTAGAGCGATTTTGGATTGACCGGAGAGCATTGCCGCGTACACGAGCGAATGGTAGTTGTGAAGACGGTAGAAGCTGTACATGTTCTTTGCGCCTTCACGGGCGAGAAATTCCTCGTCTGCTTGAACTGCGGCAGTATTTGAGTCGACCGAGCGACGGTAATCGCCAACCAGAACATCGAGATGAGAAGGCATGTGATGCAGGTGCCCAGCGTCAGGGACAAGATGGCGCAGAGCGTCTGCTGGTGGGAGCGCAACGGCCGGAGTGGCGGACATTTCCCAGAAATGAATACAGAAATGAAGCAGACCCGGATGAGTATCTGCGCCAGGAAGGGCCAAGCCATCTCTGAAGAGCTTCTGCACGTCGTAAACGGGAGACGTCTCGATGGGGAGACCAGTCTTGATGTGGAACATCTTGCGCTGGGCCGTATGCATCTTTGCGTCTATGTAAAGAGCCATGACATCGAGATCAGTTGGGAACTGATCATAGACCTTCTTCATTGCTGCATCGTAGGCGTGGTTGATCTGGTCGTAGTCTTCGGCAGGATGGTCAACGGGGAAGCGAGTTTGCATAGCTTCTATAAGTGCGCGCTCGACGGGCGTAACGGACGCTATTTGAGAGAGCTCTAAAGCTTTCTGTGCAGCCTCATGGCACAGCTTCATGCTATTCTTGAGGTCCACTGGATCGAACAGACGCCAGGCTTTGTTATAGTTTGGTCCCATTGCGTAAGCTAGGCCCCAGTAGGCGATGGCGCAGTTGCGGTCTTGGGCTATTGCCTGTTCAAAGCATCGATAGCCTTCGGCGTGATTGAAGGCGTAGCACCAAATGAGGCCGCGGTCAAACCAGATCTGCGCATCTTGATTCGTAGTGATGATGGGTCGACTGTATGTGCCAAGGTTGTAGTAGTCGTCTGTGGCAGGGCGTGGGATCACGGAGTCGAGGACTAGGGACATCATGAAGTTGGTCTGAATTGATGCTTGTAAAGATAGTGCAAAATTTGCTCTGTAACCAATATTGAATGGGAATCATTGTAAAGCTGAGTTGCTGGCTAAATAACGATTGAACAATATATACTATGGCATATTTGCTCACGTGAGACGCAATGGCTCCACTGGGGCTCCTTAGTCCCCGGTTTGGAACGCCGAATCAAACGCCGATTGGCCTACAGCTGCCCCTTTGGTCATTCGACTGGGTTTGTACATAGTACCTATATTGGCCTCTTTTGAAGATATAATGCTCGTTGGACCGGCTTGAACATTTTACTAGTACTCAAGGCAAATATGAGATTATCCAGAACTTACTTAAAGGTACTTTTCAGTACAGTATATGATTTCTTGAATGCTCCGATGAACAGAGAGACGCGCATATTAATCTCTGCCTGTCTTGAGCACGAGACTTCATATGGATATACTAAGTCCTTATCAGATAAATTCGTCATAAGCTTATCTCCTTCAGTATCCATCAGCCCACAATCAGGGGACTGCCTTAAGGTTCAAAAGCCGGCAGATGCCCGACCAATATGATATGAGTTTCAAAGGCCGGAAGTAGCACTTCGGACACGGCGACTTATTGCTTTCGCTGAGTAAGAAAATGCGTATAATCCCGAACCTGTCATAAAAGAACATGCCCTACCGGGTTCGGCTTATTATAGTTTCTCTTCTCTTTCTACCAGTCCTAGATTTTGCCTAGACCCATTTCCCAGCTCAGTTGCTTTTCGCGAATTCCGCCATCCCGATAAGGACAAGCAATTATCCATTTCTAGGTAGACTTCGTCTCATGCTTCACTCGCCGAGACTTATTGAAAGGGGTTGTATGATGGATCTGCCATAGCCCCAAAGACCGAGAACTGTGCTCGACTCAAGTCGAGCTGCATGCTACCCAAATCATCATGCATCGCCAGGTCTGCAGAAGGGTCGGGGTTGTTGAGGGGAGGTCCAGTATAAGAAGCCCAGAACCAAGGTGTCGAGGCCCCCTCAGGGTCCAAGGTGTATGTAGAACTGGGGTCACTTAAAGGTGCAGCAGGCGTTGGCCAGGCAGAGAGACAATTATCACAGCGGATGTTGGCAATCATCACGCCGTTGTCGATCCCAGAGCCGGGGAGTAGAGTAACGTTTGCAAGGGAGTTGTATTGAGGTTCACTCTGGCCACCGTCTAAGCTGGAACGGGGAGACAAGGTGACATCCGTGGGAGAGGCAGCCCAAAGAATGAAGAGATTTGCAGAGGCCATTTGGGCGCCTTCACCTAAGGAGACCCATTGTAGAGTTGTCGGGGCGGATATTTGTAGGTAGATGGGGCCGGAGCCAGCTGCGGTGGTGGTATTGGGGATGGTGACGCTGTAGGATAGGCCTGGCTCGGTTGGAGGGGAGTAGGTGACGATATCTGCGGTAGCTAGAGCTGCATGGTTGTTAGACTGGTGACTCATTCGGAGTCCTTGAGGTGCTCGTACCTGAGCCTAGGGCTACGGGCGGGAGGAGACGAAATAATTGCATTTTCGTTAGTGGGTTTGGAAACTTAGGTTGGAAGGGAACGATATATTGATCGAGCGCGAGTTATATAGTATGATCTACAGTAACAAAGGACGGTGTGGCTGGCTGGACCCACCACGCTTAAGGAACAAGATACGGTATGTCTTGGAGTATAATCGTGAGACATAGAAACCAAAGATTCCATAACATTTGCTCTCTCAAGAAGCGCATTCCTCGGGAATGTCGGCCCCTTGCATCTAGCCCGACCGAAAGGTCACCGCGAACGCAGAAAAACTCAGGCGCAGAAGGTTTCATCATTTATAGAGAATCAAACAGACAAGCAGAGGGTACAAAGCTTTCACGTACGCATGGTAAACCGATCACGAGCATTTAGGCGAGATTTGAACGGTGCACGGCTCTGGCTTTGACTCCCGTTTGACCAAGTTGATACTTTCTAGATTTGTTACATTTTGTGGTATGATAGTAGAAGCTGTGCACATTTCCGAGAATTATATTGCTTTAAATATTTACTGGTTGCATCAGGAAATAGTATGGTCGTCGGGGAAGGGAGACTGCAAGTTCGATCATAGGGTTTCATATCGGCAACGCCTATTACACGTGATGTGAACACGGAAAATAATACCGGCAACACACAGGACATGAGACACTTCGAAAGGATCGTCTACAAGCTCTTTAAGTCTTACATTTCTAAGTTATTTACTTTTAGTTTTACTCTTTTAGGCCAGCTTAACAGTTTCGCTATGCCAGCTGGAGAACAGTTGTACGGTGAGTGAGATTGACTTCCCAAAAAGGAGGGAGGGTCCAAGTAAACTGGGCGCCAAGACACCTAGAAAGTTGGCTCATACAAGATGATAAGATCCTTCAAGAGGGCCTGAAGCATCGTAGCTATTCATTCGCTGACAGTCTTGAGGGATCGACTAGTGCGTGGCAGGGAAATAAGCGCTAAGCCCTCCGGCTAAGTAGGGCACTGCAAGGCTGTCCCATATAGTGCTCTCACTCCCGGCAGATTATTCTTGAAGTACAACCACAACCACATCGCGCGATCTGAGAAGATAGAGAAGCATTGAGCACGATCATGGTCTCGCGTCCTCCAAGTCCAGTCCGTCCATCAGAAGAATCTAACAGGTCTCTGGAGCGCTCCCTTCGTGGACCAGATTCCGATCGTGAATATCCCTGCTCCGACTCAAGAGAGACATACACGAACCAGAGAAATCCAAGTCCCGACTATGAATCGTCTAAGAAATACTTACTTCGCGAAGTTGAGGGACCTCCGGAGCCTCATGGACCAGGTACCAAGAAGAGCACGGCCCCCACTGGCTTATTGTCCTGGGGATGGGAAATTGGCGCATCCGTTTTGAGTGTTGCATGTGTGGTCATCCTGATCGTGCTGTTAAACCACCTGGATGGAATGTCCTACGCCGACTGGGCATACAGAGTCTCTCCAAACGCAGTGGTCGCGGTGGTAGCAACCGCTAACAGAGCTACACTGCTATTTCCGGTTGGGGTTTGTCTCAGTCAACTCAAATGGAATCACTATCGCAGCCAAAGGCGGCTATACGATCTATACGCTCTGGATCAGGCCAGCCAAGGAATCTGGGGGTCTTTGCAGCTGATCACCACGAACCGTCCCAGCCTGGCTACGCTCGGCGCAGTTACCTTGGTTCTTTCGGCCGCACTCGACCCCTTGACCCAGCAGATTCTCACGTTTCCTTCCCGTATCGTTCCCGCTTTGAATGAGACTGCTTCACTGCAAACTGCTCAGGCCTACGTACCCGGCAACGCAAACAGCGACAATACTATGAGTCTCCTCATTCTCCAAAGTATCTATGGATCAGACAATACCCAGGAGCCGACTTGCAGTACAGGCTCGTGCAAGTATCCGACTTTCGACACGCTAGGGGCATGTAGCAAATGCCAGGATGTCACCTCGGAATCCAAGCAGAGTTGCACTGCTCTCTCTACAAACAGTTCATATGCCACTTTCTTCAACGGCACCGCATATCAAGGGGCCAAGCCAAATTGCACATACACCACGCCGGGAGACCTACAGATAACGCCGGACATCTTCGAAGCAGCTACTGTAGACATTGGATCTGAAAACGCAGTTGAACTCGAGAAAGATACCTGGACATTCGCAACTACTGACATGGATCGCCTAAACCTCAGCAGTTCCCAAGGGCCTCGGGTAGCTGGGATCCTAAACCCAATAGTTGGCCTGGCAGCGGCGATATACAATGACCCCTACATAATATATACGGCCGAAAACCATACTGTCTTGGAACCAAAGCCACAAATCACTGAATGCGCACTTTATTTCTGCGCCCAGAGATACACAAACAACAGCTACAGCTCTGACCATCGGTCACTTGCAGCCTCTGAGACGGAGCAGCTCTATACGAAAAACAAATACTTCCAAATGTTCTACCCCAATGAGCTGGCTCCACTGAATAGCTCCACCCCGAGCTTCGCAACCAACGGCTCCTACACCATCTCAGGAAATACCGTGCAGCAAATCCTCAACTCTTTCACATCTACAATATCACTCTCTGACCAAATTGAAGCTGGATGGACGTATTCCGTGCAGGAAGGGAAAGGTACCGGCCCTGTTATGAAGAACGTTGCTGTTGGAATTACAAAGGGAATTCGCGCTGGGCCGAATAGCACCACAATCACCGGGGAGGCATTTACCACGCAGACGTATATATCCGTGCGCTGGTACTGGGCCGTGGCGCCAATTGTGATCACTATCCTGTCGATATTGTTCTTAGTTTTGATTGTTGCGCATACTGCGAGGGCTAAAGGAGTGGGATTGTGGAAATCATCAGCGCTGGCGTTGCTAGCGTGCCGTGTGACGCAGGGGCCTGAGCATCCGGACCTACAGACACTTGGGGAAGCTGAGATGGAGAAGGTCTCGAAACGTATGTTTGTCTCGTGGGACAGGGAGGGCGAGCCGTTGACTTTGAGGGTTGATGGGGTCAAGAAGGGATGATGTGTTAGGTAATCAGTGTATATGGTAGTCCAGAAGATGGATGAAAGTTTTGATCTGCTATCCCATACCTCACAGCATTTGCTGTAGTAAGAAGTAAATATGCTGTTGAAGTACAACCCTTCGGCTATCTAATTAAGATATACACATCCCACGTACACTGCTTGTTACTAGATCAGTTGACAATATTACAAGGCCTCTACATAGGGAGATACGCGATCATTACCATCATATGATGGTCTACTAGAAATGCACAGTTAATACTCCGAAAATCTGATTCGTAGGCATTGCAACAATTTAGTACCCTAGCCTAAGAACCAAAGCCACTCTCAAGCGCACACACGCAAGCGACACATTTCCCCCAAATCAATTTCCGTCCATACCATTATTCACGGAAAGGGATTCTCACACGATAATCAATATGTCCCCGCATAACGTTGGCCATATACGCAAGATCTACACGATCCCCAATGCCAGTCCCCTCGCCCTTCCAAACATAAGTCACAGCATTGAGAGCGTCCCGTTTTTCTCCTCCATCAATATCCCGAACTTCCGCTAGTGCCTCAATGAACCGTTTGAACCAAAACCTGCGCTCTTCATGAACATGAGAACTGGTATAATTATATCTATCAAGGTCATTACCAACGATCAGATTCATGAGACCGTCGATGGTTAGGTTCACGTTATTGATGCGCACGCGCTTGAGGATGTCTTGGGCATCGGGGGAGCTGTTGCGCACGTCAGTCACTGTGATATTCATGCGGCAGGGAGTTGTGTCCCTGATGGGTGGAGTGTCAATGATGAGATGCATGGAGGCGGTGTCCATGTCAGCTTTGGTGTGGATGTGGAGTGTCCAGACATTGGTAAGGAGCTGGATGTTGGTGCCGCTAATGTGGTCTTGCGTTGGTCGGGGTGGGGTTCCACATAACTCCAGGTATTCGATTTCGAGGTTACCGATCAAAGTCCGGAGGTGGTTGGGGACAAAAGAAATCTCGGGGACAAGGATTTGAGACATGGCGATGGGTGCAGTTTTGGGTGTCGTTTGATTTTGAAAGTGAGATGATGGTTCGACTGTGGTCGTTGCGAAAGGATGAGAGTGGACGTTCTGTTCTGTTGTACAGAGTGTGCAGGTGAAGATGGGCCTTTTATATCTTTTTCCAGCAATAGGACTATATACTGACATAGCTGTGTGGTAACCCTTGTTTCGAAGTATATCATACTAATAGGGAAGTTTCCGCGACGTCCTTCTCATCTCAGTCAGGTAGAACCTGGATATTGCCTGGGAATGTCCTATGAAATAGCGGATATTGTTCAAGAGGTTGTATGGTTTCTAAGGCATTAGGAGAGTCCCAACTTGGGGTTGGAACTTCCTGGTCTGGAAAGTAAGTTGCAGTACATAGTCTCTGTTTCTTTCGGCTATTTACTACACACCCGGAGGTTCTGAATGTGGGACTGAAGATATACCGTGTCACTAGGCAGACTTTACAGGAACTTCTCTATTTCCACAAAGATTTGAATATCATTCATGACAATCTCAAGTGCTCTGAAGTGATCATCACACTTGACGGTGATGTGAAAATTGGTAACAGTCCTTCGTCTGAACGCATTACCTAATACTAACTATCATAATTGGCCTTGAGAGGACTTCATTCTGGAGTCCTGGTCTTCTTGAAAAGAATAGCGATGTTCAGAACGTTTGCGAGATCGCGCGACTACTTCGTGAACGAGACGACAGCGTCTGTGGCCCAGTCCGATTACTTGCGCAGGGGCTTATTGGCGTTCTCCTCACTACAGCAGCTGAAACCCATCTTGATGTATGGTATTTCTTTATAACTAGCAGATGAAAGTGGTTAATTGATTTTAGCACGCGTTCCTGTAGCTGAGCGCACCGTCATGGTGTCGAAGGCCTGTTCCGACTTCCCACTCAATTGCGCAGCAGAAAAAGGCTCAATGACCTAGATGGGACTTGCGAATATTCTATAGGAATCAGGTATTCTTTCATAGATAATCTGGCACCCGGAGTAGCTTGAAGTAATTTCCTGTCCTGGGCCCACTCGCCCAACCTATCTTACAGATGTAAATCAGGCAGATTCCGTGCCCCTGCAGTTCATGTCAGCTAGTATAAAGCTCCAAGCACATTTATCCCGGGTTCTATGGCCAGAACCACCTGCTCAGGGCATAGTTGAGGTGTACAGTATCATTTTCTACGAAGGCATGGCATGTCAAAGCGCAGAGTGATTCATCTTCTCTGTATTTATTTTGTGTCTGACAATTTCTTACTCTAGCCCCGGACTTCATATCGTGCGTTGAATATTTCTATATACATATCTCGATTATTGCATATATCACAAGAAAGTAATTGAAATGGCTCAATACGATAGTACTTTCAATTAAAATGTGCTATTCAGCTCAGACCTTCGAATTTTTAGCTTTGTAAGGCACACTCCACTTTAGCCGAGCTTCTCGGCGATAAGCTTCTTCAGGTCTGCTGGTGCCAATTCTTTGATACCAAGCAACTCGTTATCCGTAACATCAAATGCGGCACCATAAGTATCACCGGCGAGAGCGGTACCTTTCAGAAGTTTCATGAAGGTAGGCACACTGAAGTCACCGGCACCAAATTCTTCAAGACTCTCCTGCAAAAGCAGGCTTGATTGCTCTTTGCTAATGCTCCACTCGATATCAGGCCGAATCTCCTTTGCGAACCCAATCAGCTGGTTCTGAGTCAAAATTGCCTCTGATACATGCATGACTCTGTTCTCCGTGGCGTCAAAGTTTTGCAGGATTGCAGCTATAGCTCTCCCCACCGCGGGCAAGCTGGTAGAACTGACCCGATTGTCGCCTTCGTCGAGCATAGTCACAGTGTGGTTCTGAAAGTCCAGCAAAGTTGGAGTGTTCAAAACGAGGTCCAAGAAGGCGCCGCATGCAAGGACTGTCCATGACAACTTTCCGGCTGCTGCCTTTTCCTGGAGATAATTCCGGATCTTAAACACGGAGCTATAAACTGGAAATTTTTCGACCTTTGGATTGGTGGTAACATTGCCAAATTCGGACGGAATGAAACGCTTCACTCCCGCGGCAATGGCGGCGTCGATAAGCACAGTTTGATTGTCGACTGCTTCACCACCCACAGTGGATACGACAGCGTCCACACCCTTAAGTGCAGTGGTTAACGACTCCACTGAATTGAAGTCAACCTCGAAGACGTTGATGTTCGAAGCATATGCTCCCGGCTTATTAGAACGAGTGAGAATCGAGACCCGAAAGCCTGCATTGACAAGTGCCTGAAACACGTGGGGTCCCAGGGTGCCAGATGCCTATCAAAACGTATCAGCCTCTGGCTCTTGTAGGTTCTTTGGAGCACTTACACCAGCGATAGCAACAGTTTCAATGTTAGGCATCGTGCTGAAAACCAATGTTATTTTGGGTGCGCTTCAAGGAATAGAAAATGAGTTACAGAGAGAATTCTATTGCGGGACATAAGACCATTATATATTCATGTTCAAGCACAGTTCTTACAAAGCATTCAAATCACCTTGCTAAGGGTCCGCTATGAATCCGCACCTCCATCCATGAAAGTCCGCACTGTTCCCGCTCCAGCCCGACAAACTCCGCCGGAGTGGTGACCGCAATTCTGGCTGACTAAACATTCAACACCGGGAAATTCCCGCCACAATGCGGATTCACGTTATCCAATATCCCGCAATCCAACCCTTATTTTTAAAGCAGGATAAACTCGTCAGCATGAATGCTCGCCGTCGGGTGCACCTTGCCGGAAAGGCTTGCGCACGATGTAGATCGCAGAAGAGGCGATGCGACAGGGCTACTCCTCAATGCGGACTATGTCGGAGGTGAGTGCTTGTTTGAAATGGTATTTTGACGCCGTGAAATCACTAACACAGACTCTAGACTTCGTCAAGCCTGTCACTATAAAGGACAGGTGGTATCATCTCCAAGTTCGACACCCTCGTCCCCCCTCGATGCAGAGCTCCACCTTGGAGTGTTGAATTCTGGCCATATCAAAGACGCTATTGCTACGAAACTCACATCAGCCCCGAGCGATATCTTTGCGACATACATCCAATCCATCCATCCTTGGTTCCCTATTATCGCACTAACATTACAGGATCAGCTCCCGAAATCCTGGAACGAAGCTTCCCTGGATTACACGCTCCTCGCCCTTTGTATTAGTTTGCTTTGCACCTCCCCGCCTCCCTCTTCAGGGGACGGGACTCTGTCTGGTCTTCAGTCCACGTACCTACATATCAAGAGCTGGATCGCAGTGATCGAAGGACTCGGTATTACCTCGCTCAAAATCGTCCAAGCAAGGACACTGGTCACCCTATTTGAAGTTGCACATGGCTTCTACCCGGCAGCGTACATCTCTATTGGGACTACTGTCAGAGCTGCCGATGCACTTAAACTTCATGATTACTCACCTCCATCATCTTCACTGCCTACTAACGAAGAGTCAGCGAGGGAGGAGGCCGTACTAGTCGGGTGCGCAATCCGTATTTTGGACAGGTACGGGTCCCAATTCATCCCTCAAACCTATAAGTCCCCTTTCGTCCTGACAACATTATAGATATATAACAGTACAATCTGGACATCGTCCACTTCTCACTTGCTCTACCTTAAAGGGTATTTATGACCCCAACAAAGCCCCCTGGCCCACCGGCATCGACAAAGACACGGGGCATCCTCTCTGGCAACTCTCCCGTCTGTTCGAGGCGTCCACACTTCTTGATAACATTCACAATGCGTTAAAAAACCCCACTTCAGAACGAACATTCAACACAGAAGAAATAAGACTTTTGGTTGAGACATCATATACCCTCCGCACGCTCTTAATCGAAGAGGTTGAAGATGCGGACCAGATATACTCCGGTGGGCTAGGACTTTGTCAGACGTTAGTTGAGCCGCGTTCTTCTTTTACAGATCTCCTTGAAATATTCGCATCGATACTGATGTTGCACAGTGGTATTTTGCTAGCCTACGAGAACGGTACCAAAGTCCAGATTACCGATGCACAAACTCTAACTTGCCAAACACTTGCCACATCATCTATAAACCCCCTTCTCACCACCATAACTGACATGGTCCACCCCTTTGTTAGTGGTGCACAAGTCTTAGACTTGGATCGCTTTCCTCCCTTTATCACATTTCTTGTGTACAAAGCGGCAAGCATAGTGACAGAGAGGATATGGATGGAAACTGACACCAATGAGGCCTTGAGAAAGTTACGAATCCTGAGAGGATTCTTACAAATGGTGAACGCAAGGTGGTTATGTTGCGGTACGTTGACCCAAAAGCGTCTAGGACTGGGTTGGCTAACTGTGCGTAAATAGAGTATTACCTTGGCCTTCTCAATGAGAATACGGCGCCGCGAATATTAAAATCTATTGAGGGCAGGTAACATTTTATTAGCTTAAAATTTCAGGAGATAGGCGCCGAAGCAGATTATGTCTATTTGGATTATAAATAGGCCGAACAAACGATTTAAAAGTCAAATATGAAGTAACTGTAGTCGATGTCCTGATAGCGCTCAGTATACGCTTATATTTCATTGAAGCTATAGAGCCTTGTAGATATGGCGGCGAATTGGCGACGCCAAAAATTAGCAATGCCTTAGAGGAGAATTTATGTTAAGAAGGGAGTTATACAACCAAGGCCGAGGCAAGACGAGGCAGTTACTACTAAGATATACCGCGTGACGTAAAAAAAGTGCGGTGTAAGGTGTAATAATTGGACGAGTATACATTCAAAGATATATCCTTCGCGTCAAAATAAATTGAGCAGAGGGGCATGCCCAAAAAGATAAACAAGCGCTTTTACACAAGCCTGAAGAAGCGTAATTCACAAACTAGAACCCAGTCATCGACAATCTGACAGTTCTCGCGATACAGGGCTTCAGTGATGAAGAATAATAGCCAAAGCGGCCGCAATCAAGATGATAGGTGCAGGCTTATAACTGGGACGTGAATACTCGTGGAGGGTCTACAGAGGTCGATTGCGATAATTTCTCTAATAGCAGCCTTGGGATTGACTGTGCTCAAACTACGGCCCGCTCGCTGTAGATTTCTGGCTGGATCACATGAAACTTCGCGAGAATCCCCACTATGATGAACCTTTGTAATTGAGTTGGCATTACTGGTCGCTCTGCAGGGGTTCAAAGTTCACCATAAGGGGTCGAATGTAAATGGATGGCCCCTAACGTCCACCCTACCGAAAGAGCTCGTTCCGAGGTCCGGCATGGACGGCAAACAAGGGTCCAGCGCGGCACGGGCAGCCTTACCCGTGGACTTCTTACAAGGATCTAACCCAACTAATTGGTGGAGAATTATCCAAAGCTCAAGCTGCATGCCGTGTATGCTCTTCTTGGCTCGTGATGTGGAAGATTCCGACAAGAAAATCTGGCATGTATAAGGATCCTCCAGGCTAAATGGGGAATGCACTTAATGTGTTATTGTCATAAGGAATTTAGTCAGCAAGTGATTGAAACAGAGCTATCCTAAGCGCTTCTTCATGTATGAGAAAAGCCATTCGTTTTCGATTACCACGTGCTGGCCGCTACTTCAGGCACGTTGGCATCGAAAACATTCCTTGACAGGTACTACAACGCACGATTGATGCCATGTAAATTCTATACGCTCGGAAGGAAACAGCTTGCCGTCCGCATGCTGTTTGCCAAGAGAGGTCCTGCCACTTGACATATGCTTAGTCCGGCTATATTTCTCCATATTCATAGCCCACGATTTAGCCTGTTATCTGCAGTCTCGGAGCAGCCAATATCCACGGGTGGGTAGTTACACGGCTGAGGTGTCACGACACGACAGTCAAATTCTACTTTACCCTCAAATGCTACTCCTTGTGCCTCGTTAATACCTTGGTTCCTAAAAGCAACAATTCCAAGCCAATTCATCATGAAGCTCCCCATCCTAGTGACTCTATTTATTACTCTGCCCGCGCTTTGCGTGTCTAGCAAAACTCCTTCCGCGCCTACGATCTCTGCATATCCGAAATCTCCAGGGAACTTCAAGCCCGCCTCTGGACGCCAGAACAGCACAAGCAATGTCTGTGAGGTCAAGCCGAACCAAACAGATGCTGCCCCTGGTATTCTTGCCGCAGCCCACACTTGCAACAATGGGGGCACCGTTTTCCTACCACCGGGTGACTTTGTCGTCGCAACCGCACTGGATCTCACATTTCTAAACAACATCGATTTTGCCATCTGGGGCAACATCACTTTCAAAAAGGATATCGATCTCTGGACAACCCAGGCATTTCAATACACATTCCAGACTGCGAGTCTTTTCTGGCGATTCGGAGGCAATAACGTGAACATCTACGGCGATGGGAAGGGGGTGATTGATGGTGAATATTTTTTTTCTTGGTGCTGGATTTGCTAGGGAAAGATTAATGACCTTGATGTTCTAATATAGGAGCTGGTCAATACTGGTGGAGTGCGATGGCTGAGGATTCCAGTGTCATGCGTCCTTGCCTCCTGGGCACAGACGGACTGCATCATGCCACCATTTCTGGGCTCACGATGCTCAACTCCCCAAATTGGTTCAACCTGATTGCAAACTCCACGGACATCCTCATCAGTAATATGACAATGTTGGTGGAGAGTGAGATATCGGATGCTCCAGCCAAGGTGCGACTTATAATATCACCCCTGTTTCCATCTGCTATAGCCTACTGCTACCTGAACCTGACTTGTACTGTGACTAGAACACAGATGGCTGGGACATCTACCGCAGCTCGAATATCGTGATCCAAGACTCAAGAATTGTCAACACGGACGGTAAGCCATGGCATTCCGTAACTGTATTCTCTGAAACGTCACTCATGGTCTCCGCCTTAGACTGTGTATCGTTCAAACCAAACTCCACCCAGATTGTCATCCAAAATCTCGACTGCACTGGTTCCCACGGTATTTCTGTCGGCAGCTTGGGTCAATACCAAGGGGAAACGGATATCGTCGAAGATCTGTACATCTATAACATCTCCATGACAGATGCATCAGATGTGGCCCGAATCAAGGTCTGGCCTGGTGTTCCTGCTGATACGTCAGGATCAACCAGCGGTGGAGGACTAGGCCGCGTCCGCAACGTTACCTATGAACACATGCAAAGCGAGAATAACGATCACATCATTTCGGTCTCGCAGTGCTATGAGTCGAAGAACCAAACGATGTGCGATTCATATCCTGTACGTACTTACAAGCTCCTGATAGGCAAAAGATTCAATAGCAGCAAAAAACTGATCAGTCTTTCAAAGTCAAAACTCGTGATTGAGGATGTACTTTTCAAGGACTTTAAGGGAACGACATCTAAGAAGTACGATCCTGAGATTGGAGAGTTGACATGTAGTAGTCCGGATGTAGGTTTCTTTGCTGCAACTTTGCATTGCAGATTGACCCACGGCCACTAACAGCTGCTAGGTCTGCCATAATATCACTGTCCAAGACATCAATGTGACTCCACCCAGTGGTGACTCTCCCACTTTCACCTGCAACAATATGGGGAATTCGAATTTGGAGGACATTACGTGTGCCTGACTTCGGGGTACCTCTGTCTTTCACAGTAGCCAGGCACTATCCCTGATCCTGTGCCGCCTACGTGGCCTTACCTATCCCCCCTTTGGGTCTTTCTCTATTTGGGATCTTGATAGTAACACATCTGGCCCCACATGTTGATACCTTGAGATCTTTCCCCATGGCATCGTGTAATCTAGGATACTCGAAGGAACAAAGCAGAAACTGGAAGCTGCATAGACTTTGTCTCACAGATCGCAGCTCTGTTGTTTAGAAACCCAGTCTGTCACCGGTTCGCCAGATTGAGCGTAAAACATGTGACGGGCACCTAAAAGCTGACAGCCTCGGCCTGAGCTCGTAGAGTACCCTCTTCTAGGTCTCTGTGGGTTAACTGCAAGCAAAGGATCAAGATCGTCGGAGAATTTCGAGCGTTTGCATGCAATTATTCCGACGGGGTTCCGAGTATTTCCCGCGGTGTATGTTAGTATGGTTAGTATGGATGGATTTGGTAGTAGGGTTGACCTGAAACATTGAGACATCTGATTAGTAGTATGTTATAGATTTGGATATACATTATTGCAATGACATGTGATCATATGAACTTTCTGAAATGATGGAGATATAAGCACAGTCGTGAATACGGGCGTGGCCTGTTCGTTCTCAGCCCTGACAGGTGACATCCCGTTCCGCTGTTCAGTGGAAAGCCGCGTGGCTGTCTCGGGGGAGTGGGTCAGGGTCCCCCAGAAATTTACTTTTTTAAGTTAGTTCTTCCAGTTTCAGGGTCCTCCAGACCCACCACGGACCAGCTGATTATGGCATAACCGTCTACCAAACTGGCCAGCAAATTTCTGCATAAGAAACCACTGTCATGAAGATATTTTGGTGTCTTATAGAATGCAGCTTAGTGTAGCTCGGTAAGTGAGCGCACAACAGACCGATATGGCTCAATAAGTCCGTAAAATACCTCTAACTGTCCGAAAGATCAGACCCACAAAGTGCTGCGAAGGCCCATGATCCTTCCAAGAATCTTAAAAAAGACCACTATAGTGGACCGCAATACGTAGAGCTAGGAGTTCGGTTCAAGAATTGCGCGATGTGCACAACATATATCTGAAACCACTGTCACTGCAGACCTTTCCTACTTGTGCATCCGGTTCGCATTGCAGTGGGGCAGGGCAGTTCTTGGCCGAAGGAACTATGATCACTTTGTAACAATGGTGGGCCCTGTAGCTACCAGTGCTCTATTCTTCGGCAAAATTCAATCCTTTGCTTCTATATGTCACTAGGTGAACTTGAATACATATAAAGATAAAGGGTTGGAGCTCTGGACGGTACCTCTGTCTGTCAACCCAATCTATACTTTTTCCAAAACCCTTATCCATTATGAAGGTCCCCTTCCTCCAACTTCTCTGCCTAAATGCCGCCTTGGCTAGCGCCAATGTTGTTAAAGGCGCGGCCCAGGGTTTCGCAGCCGGCGTGACAGGCGGCGGCGATATAACTCCCAGCTACCCCAAAACCAACGAGGAGCTTGTCTCCCTGCTCGAGAGCGACGAACCCCAAGTCGTCGTACTCACCAAGACCTTTGAGTTCATCGGAACCGAGGGAACCACGACCGAGAATGGATGCGCACCCTGGGGTACTGGGAAGTCCTGCCAGCTGGCCATCAACTCCAATGGATGGTGTGGTAAAAATCCCGTCGTAACCATCACGTATGATAACGCCGCCAAGAATGGCATTCATATCAAGTCCAACAAGACTCTTGTTGGTGAGGGAGACAAGGGCGTGCTCAGCGGAAAGGGTCTCTACTTTGAGGGTGGTGTTTCCAATATCATCGTGCAGAACATTAAGATTACGAACCTCAACCCTGGGTATGTATCATCCCAGTAACTAGGAGTTCTCGAATGCTTTGGGAGACACCATATGTTCTAACGTTTTTCACTACAGTTTTGTCTGGGGTGGCGACGCGTTTACTTTCTTTGGCGCTGATCTGATCTGGATCGACCACTGCGAGGTAAGACAGAAATCTCCATCATCTGATAATCATAATTGAGTTTCTCACATTGACTTATGGATTAGACCTCCCTCACCGGACGCCAACACTACGTGACCGGCTTCCACCCCAACACCCGCATGACTTGGTCCAACAACTTCCTTAACGGCGTAACCACCCACTCCGCAGGCTGCGATGATCACCACTATTGGACAATGGAGCTAGTTGGCCCTGGGGACCAAATTACCTTCCAGAGTACGTGTCCCATGAAAACCTAAACGAAGCATCTATTCGACTAACATACGTGTTCACTCACAGACAACTACGTCTACCACACCACCGGCCGTGGACCCGCTCTCTCCGGCACGACCCTCTTCCACGCAGTCAACAGCGTCTGGTCCTCCATCCCTGGACACGCCATCGAGGGCGGTGACAAGGGCCGCGGTCTCTTCGAGGGATGCTTCTTCGAAGATGTTGTCGAGATTGCCCCCGCCAAGCCCGAGAACCAACTCTTCAGCGCCAGCGAAGCCAACGCCGCATCTTGCAAGTCCGCCTTGGGCCGCGCTTGCCAGGCCAATAGCTATAGCAAATCTGGTGCTTTTGGCAGCTCTGAAACTGGCTTTTTCAAGGACTTTGCCGGACTGACTATTGCACCGGCCGGCTCTGCGACGGATGCTCTCGCTTATGTTCCTAAGAATTGTGGTATTGGGCGTCTTTGAAGCTGTGATGCTTAAAATTGGACGTGTTCCAGTATGTATCAAGCAGGAGGGTGGATTGTAAGTTACTTAAGTTTGATTAATGTATCTAATATATCTGGATTCTGCGCGCAACCAATATTCTCCTCGTTTCTGCAGTATCCTTCATTAAACATACTTCACGTACCTCAACAGACTATGATTCGTTTTAACATAGCATACGACACTTCATATCTAGCTCTAAGGCTCGGAATTTCCTTCACGTGAAGCAGCCAAACTGGTTAGATCCAACTTGAGAATTATCTCCCTCTCTGCTCCAACTACCCACATCAGTAGCCAATAATCACGACCACAAACAATATGAACCTTTCTTTCGATGAAAATACACGCCACGGAAAGAGAAAAAAACCAAAGCAACAGCCTTAAGTATGGTAGCGATTGCTAGGCACCGTACGTTTGACAAAAGTGAAAGTAATTAGTCTAGCCAGGATCTAACAATGTCTTGAATTGCATCCCACAGCCAACCATCATGTAGCTTGGCCAGGTGGTCAAATCCATGCTCTCCATCCCGCACGACAAGCCGAAAGTTGAGGCTAGGGTCAACCTGGGCAAGTTTTCTTTGTAACATGTAGCTCTCTTCAACAGGGGCCACACTGTCATCCCGTCCATGGAGTATCAAGACTCCACCACGTGGAAACTGTGCCCCAGCATCGAGTCTTCCAAGAAGATAGGGACTATTGGGAGCTGCTGGGAAAAGTTGGCCTAGCTGACCATGCTGGCATGCCGCAAACATTAAGCGGAATCGATCGGCGTCAGCGGCGGCTGATACAATCAAAGGTTTCTGCGTAGCTGCCTCCTGTCTCCTAATACTGTCTAAGTGTAATCTCAGAGTATCCGGTGGATAAGCCGGGAGGTTGAGTACAGGTCGCTCCTGGCCATTGTTGAAGTAGGATGCTTTCGGGTTGACCATAGGATAAACGGCATTGACTGCTCGAATCTCGTTTGGGTGACTTAAACCCATATGCAAACTGAGATAGCCGCCAGCACTGTCACCGATTGTCATTATCCGGCTCAGATCGGCCTTCACGGTACCATTTGTTTCTCGCTGCAGTAGGGTGGGAAGCGATTGATGCATCCATTGCCAGTGGTCTTCCACGTCCTCAAGTACATCCAGCACAGAAGACTCCGGCAACAGTCGGTAATTTGGAGAAACGATGATGGCCGAGTATTCCTGCGCTAGTTCGAGATACCACGGGCTGAAAAATGGAGGAAAGAGACTGTGTCCCGCAATAAGGCCGCCACCATGATAGCGAAGTAGGACTGGTCGGGGGACAGAGAGTAACTGCTGCTGCTGCGTTGGCTCGTTCAAGCTCTTGGGATAGAGCACGTCCACGGTGATATTATGGTCGCTAACTGTCTTATAGCCGACGGAGATGATGGAGAATGCGTCGAACCGTGATAAGTCGGTCGCACCCAAGCTCAAAGCATCCATCTTGACAGTAATTTTGATAGTCAGAGGTCTTCTTCCTCGTGATTTCAAAGGCGGCGCGTGACGAGTGAGAAGCCTACTCGTAGGTGTATTCAACTATCAGGGTATCATCACTTCATGTACGTCGGGGGTGGCATAAGCTAGCCAAAACCGTCTCTAACGTGCCCGTTCAAGCTCGCATTATTGACAGAAGAGGAAAGTCAAGTGGATCCAAGGGGCTGCTAATATGCACTCTCTACATTGAAAATTTGTGGGCAACCATTATGTTGCAGCTACCCCCTGGCGCGGAGCAATGAAGAACTCCCACAGAATAAACTTAAGCCAAGTACCCCGTAGTTACTATCTAAGGTTTCACTAGGTTAGGTGGCCCGCAATGTAAGGTTTATCGTAGGATACTGGGAGTCAAAGAGAGTTCTAGACATCATAGAGTATCTACGCAGTGTTTACTTTTCTCATCAAGTCTCGAGATTGGTGGAGTCAAGCACGCCAATTGAAAATGCTAATCGGATGATTGGGATGGACCCTCGCAATCTGTCCAAAAAAGGGAAAAACCATAGTGGGGAGGTCTTGCTGTTTCCATGGACACGGCCACTGGTTACCCGCGTTGGTGGCCAAATGTTGAATTCACACCTTGATAATTGGTTTCTCATCTATTTTCTAAACGGATGGCGATATCATTTTTCCGCCCTTCTCATTGGACAACAAACGCCCCCCATTAAGTATAACAAAGAATGAGTCATCTCATACCGAGCGTCTCGGTATACACTCAGGGCACTACCAAAATTATCTCAAGCTATACAACTATGCGACGAAAAAGTAATCACTGGTCTGCGTCCGGCCGCAGACAGAAAAAGAGGTCCCACTCCTGGCACAAGCTTGCACCTGAGTAAGGATACTTTGTGCTGTTCTCTCAGGCGATGATGACTTTTTCGGCCGCTCCGTAGTCGACCAGGGCAATCTCATCGACATGCGCGCGATATAGACACGGTCAGTGCCGGGGCGGAGTGATTGCAGCCGCGTCGTTCATAGCAAAAAAGTTTCAATGTGGAATCGGATATGGTACATAAATCTGAAGCGATTTGATGTTGTTTTTGCGGACGATATTAGTAATCCCGTGGTGTTGCGGCAACCCTCGTGGCGATCCTTCAGATTCTACCCGATAAGTCGCCTCCAATGCCACCACGAGACGCGTAGAACAACTCAGGAAGCCAACAGTCTATCTGACCAGATATGGACTTCCAACGGTTACGTTTCAAACAAGTGATGGTCAGCGGATCTTCAAATCCGACCACGCAGCAGGAGTACAAGACTTCACCGAACCGAGCGCGAAACAAAAGCAAACTGGGCTGCCGAGAATGCAAGACAAAGCGGGTTAAATGCGATGAGGCCTATCCAACGTGCAAGCGGTGCCAGCGTCGAGGCCTTGTCTGTTCGTCGGCACCGCGGCCAACACAGTGGCAAGTTGAAGCACCGTGGCTCTCGTTGCAGCCTAAAACACATGTCAATCGACGTCTACTACAGTATTACCTGGAGAAAGTCAGCCAAGCGTTCGTTATAGATCCTGAGAACAATCCATTCTCTTTTCCTATATTGAAAGACATTGCCCAATCTCCGGCACTTCTCCATGCTATCCAGTCAATCAGTGCCAGCCATGAACAGTACTTCCCGGTCCAAGCCCCCATTCTGGCCCTTGAGGAACGTGGCAAAGCCATAGCTTGCCTTCGAAGAGAGATAGATCAAGTCCAACGTGCTCATTACACGCACTTTCTGACAATTATGCTGTTGTCTCTTATGCAAGTTGCTGGTCCTGACCCGAAGGACTACGGCAAACAGCACTTATTCGGTGCCTGTGCCTTGATCAACAGTATGCTCCAAGACACATCTGTGTCGACGACTAACGACCCTGTGGTTCGACTCTGCCTGGGAGTCTATCTTTACTGGGACATGGGCAGTTCGTTCTTAGTAAAGCCCGGTGAACTACAGGGTGTCAACTCATTCCACATATCTCTCGCGGTGCGCAGGATGGGTGACTGGCACCACCCAATGTATGGAACATGTAGCCGTCTACTACTTACCATAGCGAATGTCGGACGATATTGCCGGCAGGTACATGATATGCCGCAGAGACGAAACTTCGCCCAAGAAGATATGCTGGAGGCGGAGCTTAGTAACTGGACGACGAACTCCAATAACCCCGACCTGGTCCACTTATATGAAGCGTTCCGCAACCACGGTCTTGTTCTCCTTTATCAATCTCGTGCACATGCACAGAGGAGTCTTTCTACGGATACGAATTCGACCAAAGCACAAGAGTCATTGATCCTACGGTACGCCGAAGAAACAGTCCGTCATCTGATGCTAATCCCTTCGTCCTCGTACTATCTCAATTTTCAATCCCTCGCTCTTCTATCAGCCGGGTCCGAATTGACCGAGTCGCATCACCTCCTGCGCGATAAAGTGCGTGACAGACTGCGCGCCATCTACTCTTTGAATCGCATACCCGCAAATTTAATGGCTCTTCAACTTGTTGAAGAACTTTGGGATGCCCGAGACAGTGCTAATTCCACTTCCTTCTGGCTATCGCACATGCTGCAGAAGGATTGGCTGTTGCTTCTAGTATAAGGCTCTAGATGCCCCGCACTCCAGTTTTGAATTACAAGAACAGTTCCATGCTTTCCGGAAACAACTTGAAATTTTTCCGACATCCCGAGACCCGTTAAAAACCATGGGCAAAGATAGCGACAGCCGCCAGCCACATGACTCTACCGCGCCAATTAGCACTCAACATCCAACCCGAATAAACGACGATGAGAATAAGTGGCGGCTTTCGAACATAACAACCCACAGACATTGGCAACGCCAAGGTCTCATCAGCACTATTGAGCGCTGACATCACCATGCCGCTTAGGCATAAGGCGTCAGCATAACCGAAACGGTTTGACCCGGTTCAGAGACGCACTCGATCGGCCGAAATGGCACATAGCAACACAGCGTGGCTAAGAAAACTAGTAATATAAATCAAGCTAACAAGCCCCGGTTTTATGTGTGGAACTGTGACGTTCCAATCTCGGGGTCATCAAGGGAACATCAACACTGCAGCCAGCGGTCGGTGTTGAGGATCGGCTGCTACGGCAAGGACAGGAAACCCCATGGATTTAATCTTGAAACCAATACGGCAGGGTTGTACCTCACTGATAAGAAGCTGGCCGACCAAGTGCGGTTTGCTTGAGTCATGTTCTTGACGTATGGACCTTCAGTCTGCCGTACTAATTATGTATTTAAGCAAGGTGTGAATAGTATAACTTATCGCTTATGCTTCTTCACCCTATTTCAAGCGGAATATATACTCATAAGGCTGATCACAGGACGAACAGTCCACTGTTATCTGCATTCATTACATTAGCGTGTGAACGGTAACTCGAAATACCAATTGCAAAACACATAATGTCAAGGTCAGCAATATTCGGGAAGTTCCTGCTTGGATCCCGACAACTTGATCCTTTACACAACGTAGGCATTCAAGCAGCAGCAACCTTTGGCAGTCACCCATAACTTAGGTCTGGATCTCGTTTGAACAGAAAATCAGTATCTTCCAGAAACTTCCGTCCTTCGAGAGCATGCGGAAGAAACCCCTGGGTAGATGGCAGCCTTTTCTGACTTTGTTGGGAGTCGGTAGTCACGACCAGGTCAGCCTCTCTCAGAAGCTCGGGTCTACGATCCAAGATGTGAAAAGGAATTGGAAGATCGCCCATCCCAGGCTCCTTCACTGCAGCAAGGGCATTATTAAGCCCGCGATAAGATCGAGTGCTCTTCTTCGACAAACACATTGTTATCACCAGTTGAGCCAAAGCAGACTGTGCGTCATTGATCCCTAGCTTCTCAATCATCAAGTAGATGGAGGTTGCATATGTTTGCAACACATTATTCGCCAGCCCGATGTCCTCCGACGTCGCCACGATAAGCCGGCGAGCGATGAACAAAGGATTCTCGCCTGACTGGAGCATTCGTACAAGGTAATATAGCGCAGCATCGGGATCACTGCCTCGAATTGACTTGTGGAGTGCTGAAATGGTGTCATAGTGCTGGTCGCCCGAACGGTCGTAGAGTAAGCTCTTGGTTAATGAATACTTCAGCTTCTCCTTGGTCATATTTGGTCGTCTGCAGAGATCGGTAGCTATCTCCAGAACGTTCAGTGCGGTTCTACTGTCCCCATCAGCGAATCCAGCTATGTATTGAAGGAATTCATCATCCAGAAGTGGGGATGACTTTAGGTGGGTTTGTGATATCAATGAACGACGAAGGATAGTGGCCAAATCAGTGGTAGTTGGCTTTGCGACAGTGAAGACCCTGCATTTGTAGACAAGTGTATGGTGAATATTCAATGATGGGTTCTCTGTCGTCGCACCGATGAGAGTGATTTTATTCCTTCGCATAGCATCGAGAAAAATATCTTGTTGTGGACGCGTGAGTCGATGTATCTCATCACAGAATATGATGGATTTATTCCGACCATCGTGTGTAGCCTTGGTGACGATGTCTCTGTACTCTGTCGTTATTGTAGTCAAGCTACTAATCTCGTAGACCTTTCTCCTCATCATTGGCCCGATGATTCTGGCAATTGTAGTTTTACCACTTCCTGGGGGCCCCCATAAAATCAGGTTCGGAAGCTCATCTTGTTCAATCAACCGCCTGAGTGTACCATTTGGCCCGATCAAGGATTTCTGACCGACGATATCATCAAAGCATCGTGGCCGAACTTGCTCAGCTAGAGGTGCATGCCGAAGATGTAATTGCTCCGTTGCTAATCCCGCATGTGCCTTCTTGCGTGTGGTATTGGAATCCGGTTGAGAGACCGCTCTCTTTGAGCTTCCGGTAACACTAGCGGATGGTCCTGTTGACTTGCGATTCTCTTTCGACTGACGTTGTTCCGTTGGTTGTAGATAGTTGCAGTCATTTTCGCTTAGGGTAGATGATATCGTACTTTGTAGGTGGGTAATTGCAATGAATTTTTGACAGCCAGAATCGAGGTGTTCGTTGATTTCTGAAAGAAGGACGTGTTTCTGGCATATGGGACATCTGATCATGGTTGAGATGGGATTAGCAGACTCCGTCAGGCATTGGATCGTATCGAATAAAAGAGGACTATTTCATTTGTATGGCTTATGGTGCTACACTGGGGTTCTTGGAAAATGGCTTGTCGGGTAACTTGGCATCTTTATCCTTCTGTGTTGCTTTGCTCCTCAAAGACCATAGAAGATCTCTGTCACCAACCATAGGGGGCCTGGATCCATGTAGTGAAAGTTAAAATCTCGCGTTTTGATCTAAAATGGTAATTCGGCGGACCCGATGTGGGCTAAAAGCCATAAATCTCATTAGGCAAAGGTCCTCCGCTGGGTGGAGCGAGTGGGTCGCTTATTTCGTTATATAAAGTACGCAGCCTCGAGCATGGTTCAAGTTGGTAAAGGGTGTTGTATGTGCTGCTCAATAGACAAAATAAAAACGGTACATTTGTGACTGAAAGACTGCGTAAAATTGGCCGATTCAACGAGTCAGGAAACCGTGAACACCTCGATTCAAAATCCTTAAAGCGGCAGATTCATGCCTTTTTCCCCAGCTCTCGTTTGATTCAACTGTCACCGGCTTGACATTTGGAAAGTCCATGTTTTGTAAGCCGTCTACGCGTGCATCCATGATTTTAACAAGCACCGTAGGACCAATCTCGGCCGTTGCTTCTCGAAGCTCCTCTCCGAAATTGTACGAGCCCTCTGGCTGCTCAAACACAATGACCTCTTTCGTCGCCAATCGGTTGATAGGCTCATATGTAGCCTCCCACTTCTGGCCTGTAAATAGCATGTATAGCATCACCAACTGAGTAGTATTTGGATGCTTCATTACACATCGGTCTCTCCGCCATATCAACCATTTCATTGAATGTAATCTGATCACCGGCGAAGGCACTTATTTTCCGGCCCCTTGTTGTCCTCGTCCAGCAACGCAGCGACGAACTTCGCCAAGTCACATAAGTGTAAAAACGTAAATCGCGCATTTCTGTCCCCCGGTATCCTCGCTCATCGATTCTCCATTACAATGACTTGGAATGGTGAAATTTCAACAAAACTTGAAGGAAGCTCAAAAGGCATAAAACCCTAAAACAGAAGGTGTGATGGGTGTCTCACAATTAGCTTGCCCTGATTTTACGCGAACATACGGAGTATAAAAGTGATTGGGTGGCCAGGTGGCACGATAGCAATCACCTCAGATGATACTTCTATGGGCATTTGATAAGAGGTCCCTCTAATTTAGATCTAGTATACACTGCCTAGTAGGAGACACAACTACAATAACCACGATACATTTCACTTGCTAAAGTCTTACATGTACTTCAACATGTCTAAGCCTGATGAAGTAAAGAAGGGCTCTGCTGTGAACCGCCACCAAATAACATCTTGCAATGCTTTGGGGGGGCTTCGAAACAAAGATAAGCCTTGTTGCAGCTCATCTATTATGAAGAAAAAGAAACACCAAATGGGTAGACAAGGCTACGCGCGAGATATGTGTTATCCCTGTAGTATTATTGGTTGATCCACTTGTGATTTTGTGGGAAACTGCAGGCGGTCACCTGGCAGTTGACGTGTACTATTAGACGCCAAACTGGCAGGGATCTAGGGAGTAATCCCTAGCCATAGTTGCCCGTAATGAGGAATTTCTTTTCCCACTGCCAGTTCTGTGCCTATAGTTGGAAGCCCCTGGAACAATCATCTGAGCAGCGATTATCGAATCCTGACAAAAGGTGAACATCGGAGCAAAGTAGCCGCGGATATATGACCAATCCTCCCAAAAAAGCGAGCTTTATAACTAACAGCATGGAGACACAACAACTACCAGCATACTGCATACACTGTATGCTCGTAGTCTTCAGCTACTTATTTATCATCTCTCCAACTGAGACGAAACCTCGACAATATCTTCCCAGCCTTGTGCTCTACCGGTATCTCCTTAGCCTGTTCACTAGGGCCGAGGTCGCGCTAATCTTCAAGCGTGGAGTGGAAGATATACAAGCCCAGGGGTCTTCGCGTATTGTGGACGGGATTCTAGAGGCCATCAAGAGCTATGGCAGTTTTCGACCACCAACCACAACCGCTCTTACCCCCTGCTCCCCCCGCTCTACTAATAGTAACAACCCACCCACCCCGCCTAGGTCACCGATTGAGAATTGAATAACCCCGAATCCGTAATCTTCTATTCCTGGGTCCACGGTCCAGCACGAACTAAACCAGTTCTTCCGTCGAGAAGACGATCACATCGGATTCTACACCTTCTTTCAGCTCGATCGGACGAGCGCAAATCCATCCAACCGTATATTCATCGTCGGCATAGGGAGACATTTGGTGAGCTTCCATGATCTTGGAAAATAAGCAAACAAAGTATAAATGTGGCTTTCTATGCATTCAGCAATGAGCTTGGGGAAAGGATATCAGTGGATGACATTTGTAGTCTTTAAAAAATATATACACAATATACTATATACACATATATTAGTTGGGCGAGACCATCATTCTATGGTAAGCGGCCCGCGTCACTACCTTCAGGCATCAATACACAATTCAGACTCTTTAGTAAATGAACTACCTGCGTTCAGACCACATTGGAATGTTTGCGGCGACAGCAAAGATGCTCGTAAATCAAGCCCTCAGTGGTCGGCCGTCGGACACTAGGATGATTAGCGCAAGGCACCTTATCCATGCTACCAAGGAAGACTCGCATCCGGGCGGACAAGGCTGTATGTAAGACAATCTGCCAGGCTTCCACCACTAAAGCCCTGCTGCCTAAATTGGCGGGGTAGGTGAGGGGGTTTGGGACAGCGCACGATCAATATCGACATTCCGAAGGCGCAATGAGGCTCTCTTGTTGCTTGTGATTGCAGTCCAAACAAACCCCGAAGGCTGGCGCATGTCACACCAGTCCATCCTCTCGGGCTCCAAAGGGACAAAATGGGTAGCAAAAAGAATGAGGCTCAAAATACTCTTCATTAGAGCACTTCATATCTTACTGCATATAAGTCACCTCCGGCAAATGCACCAAAATTGCATGGCATCCTCCTCATTTGTCATTCCTTCAATCCTTCCTTCCTATGAACTTCAAAATGCTGAGTAGCTCAACGAGTAAGTCAGGTTTGATTGGAGTTTATGCAAAATGAAGCTCACTGAGTATATTCTCTCCAGATCAAAACGCCTCTCCAGGCTCTCTTTGTGATGTATTTAACCTCTATCAAACAAAGCCAGATAATAGGGGTCGCACATCGTGGACTAAAGAACTCCCTGAAAATCTGGTCGAACCGGCCGAGGGCGCTGAATCAAGCTCTTACGCGATCATTGTGAGAAACATCAAATGTTACGATGGTCGCAAGAGTCTTACGATTCATTCAATTGTACTGCAAAGTGAACCGCTCAAGAAGTTTCTCACTCCTGTAATGGCGGGATATCCAGGACTTACGATGAGCCTGGACCGAATCGAGTTCAGCAAGCCATTCAAACCTTTCGTTCATCGCTGGGAGAACTTCACAGCCGCTCGAGAGAGTGAACAAGATGCGACGACCAAGGCACATGTCGACCTGCTGTATGGGCTTCTAGAAAGCGAACTACATGATACTATCTCCAGGAAGTCCGATCTTATCTCAAACGGTGTCGTGACTCACGCCTTGCTTTGGACCCTTTTCCAGCCAGGTGACATCATTTTTAGTGTCTTGGATAATCGACCCCGTGCTTTCATTTGTGGAACAGGCGATATGGATTCTCGAACCGGGACGTTCGAACTGAACGGAAAGTACATCGACTTTGATGGTGACAAATTTGGGTTTTCAACATATGAGTTCCAGCTGGAGGCATTCGAAGGAACATGCCCTATCACGGATTTGTCTGTAGCACCCCTGGCATATCACGAAAACAGGGATGCGATTGAGAAAGAATTATTATTGCGTGGAAGCCTCTGGGAGAGCCTGAGAGGATACCATTACAAGCAATATGATGGAGTCGGCAAGGGATACCTTTTCGGTCGTGAGGTAAAACTCAACATCACAAGTCGCATTGTAATTGACACGGCGGCATATATCACGTTCAATCCTAACGAAGAATTTCATTTGTCAAATACCATCGCGGGAGAGCTTTCCGAGGTTCAAAGGATGATAGCCACACCGATGTTGCGTGGTTATGCTCTCAAAGACAAGAAATGGCTCGAGTTCTTTGTCGACAATGTCACAGACATTACCTGGAACGCGCAAGCGTTTCAATCCTTGGTCCTGCCAGACAATCAGCAACATTTGAAGAAACTCATCCTTGCCGTCGCCAAGTCGAAGTCGAATGGCCTTGAAGTTTTTGATGATGTCGTCCAGGGCAAAGGACGTGGCGTTATTATGCTTCTCCGTGGTCCGCCCGGAGTGGGCAAAACTTTGACGGCTGAGGGTGTTGCAGAGGTCATGAAAGTACCTCTATACGTTTTGAGTGCGGCAGACCTTGGTACAAGCCCTTCAAGAGTTGAAGAAAGATTGAAGGACGTTCTCTCTATTGTTCCCAAATGGGGAGCTGTCCTTCTTCTTGACGAGGCAGATGTTTTTATGGAGGCCCGCAATTCAACTGATCTCGCGAGAAATGAGTTAGTTTCCATATTCCTCAGGGTTTTGGAATACTATGAGGTAAGATATAAAAGTCCTCTCGCTCTCCTGCTCGCACAGTATCTCACAGATTCCAGGGGATTTTATTTCTCACCAGTAACCGTGCCGAAAACATGGACCCGGCATTTGAATCCCGCATTCACGTGTCGATTTGCTACCCGGAACTTACTGAGACAACGAGACGTCAGATTTGGATGCAGTTCCTGGCTGCTCCAAACGTGGAAAAATTCTCCAACGAACAGCTTGACGAAATTGCGAAGTTGGAGTTGAATGGCCGACAGATCAAGAATGTGCTCCGAACCGCCCATCTGCTTGCCCAAGAGGAAAACACCAGCGTCAGCTATGGAGATGTTCAAACGATCCTGAGTTTGAGATCCGTTTAGCGCCACCATGGTCAATTGAGGATCTGCTTTCTTTCGTAGTGACATTTCGAACTTGCAACTCTCAGTCTTTCACATCCTGTAGTGGGACAATTTTGAAGTTCTTTCTTTCTCTGTTTCTTTCGTTTTCACTTATTTTCCTTTGGTTTTCTTCGGGAGACAGTGCAACTGATGGCACGGAAGCGATGACCACATGAGTCTTTCCTCCCAGCTTCCGCATGTATTCCCTCAAGAGCCTACTTTACGAAAGCTTGCTACGTCCTTCACAATAATATGTGTTTAGGTGATGAACTAAATTACAATCCTCCAGCTTGCACACCTAAATCTTGCGTAAACTTTTACTTAAATTACCAGACTAGACATCTAATCCTGCATTTTCATACGAATTGCTCGGAGACTTAAATTTATAGGACTATATAAAACTTCTTAAACGTTATAGGGTTTATAGAAAAATATCTGAAATTATCTGTGTCGTTCTTGAGATATATTCACTTGTTAGTTTAAGTAATATAATGGAAACGTAAGAGGAATATACGTATAAATACTAGCTGTGAAATCTATAATCATAATTTACTAGAAGAGGAATAATAGAGAATAACTTTATAGAGTTGAATAAATGCGATGCTATGGCTGGAGGAATCTTGGTGTCGTCAGATGGGATACAAAAATATACAACAATGGCTGCGAGACGCAGTTCCTTAAGCAGTGGTGGTGGCTTGTTAATCATTAATAGGATTATAGGATGATCCTGGTTCACTTCCTGTTGTGAACGACATAGATGTGCCTCCAAGTATCATTGAAAGTGTTCCGGATGTTGTGCACATGTGGTTATATGAGGGAATTATGAGTATCTAAAGCTCTGTTTTCCTATAACCATTCATCAATTCCCGCTTCAACAGAATGAGAAACATTTTTCTACAGTAGACCGGCAGTAGTAGATATACATATGTCGACTGATCACAATAAACACAACAAGGCATTACCCTGGGAACCACTACCTATCCAGGTCCCTAACACCCCCAGTCACCGCTCAACTTACCAGGCTATGCCCTGATGTAATACTCCATATTATCTATCTTAGATCTATATAAGAAGGAATAGAAGCAAGTCCAGCTTCTTCTATGTTACTTAGCAGCAGTGACTCACTCCGCCGGCTGTCTTTGGGGGTTTCATTTGCTGCCTCCTGCCGGCTAGCTCAAGTACTGATGTTATTTGGCTCCATGAAAATAAAATTTCAGCAGAGTAAGAAATGTATAAACTTAATAGCTGATGTGTCAGGGCACCAGACCCATTAGAAGATTAGAAGGGTACTCATGGTCTCTCTTTGTGCATGATTGGAGAAGAAATATCCAGCAATCAAGAAGGCCCCGTCCGCCTGCGGAAGAAAACAGGTAGGCTCATGTGATAGGATCTACTTGTCATGGTAAAGCCTGTTGACTAGGTAAGGAATCAACCATGAAATACTCTAGATTTATATAATAATAATAAAGATAGTCTATATCCAAGTAATAAACTGGTCCTTACGAGATTAGTAGCCTGATAACAAGTACTTTTATAGAATATATTTATAATAAATGATAATACAGTAGCTTCATATGAATAAAAACAAATTTCATTTATTTTATTCTCTGTCTCTATATCTCTTTGTTTATTTATTGTATTATTTACTATTCTTGTATATTTAAGTCTATTTTCTTTTTATTATTATAATATAAATTGCCATTCCTCGATCTATCCAAAGGGGTTAGATTTGGCCGACCGTCACGATGACTACTCTCACACATCCCTCTCCTAACCTCCGTCCCGTTCAATCACCATCCTTGTACAAAGGTCTCTCATCGACTCCAGGCGTACCCATGGCTGCATGGACCTGGTATTTCCGGTGACAAGTGGTACGGTTTTGACAAGGGTGGTCCCGACCCAATCAAAATTAGCAAGGAGTGGATCAAAGATCACATCCAGATCGGGCCTCTGAGGTCCGTATATCCCGCCGGACTATGATTCAGGCCACGAACGATAAGCCTCTGGGCGGCGGCGGCGGCGGCGCTGAAGCAATTGCGGCTGGATAGACACTGCTCACGCTAGGGAATACAGGTGACTTCTAGGTTGAGGGCGGCAGAGAATAATGATTCGCAGGCTATGTGGGCTAAGGGTTGATCGCGCGACATTAGCGTTATAGAGGCCCTACAAAAAAAATAAAAAATAAAAAATAAGAAGTAGTAGGAAATGGAACGGAATTGGGAAAGGAAAACGAAGAAACCATATTGAGATCAGATAGTGTAGTCAACCAGAGCCCTTCATCACCAAGACCTGCTCATCGCTTTCCCGACACTGGTCCGCCTTGGCTTTTAAATAGGGACTCATCTCGACGTCGGGCTCAGGAGTTGCAGTGATACGACCGGCGGAACTTCGCCTTGGTTTCTGGTGGACGTATCGGGATCGAATCGAAGTCATTCGCCCACGGTTGATGGCGAGACGCAGTAGAGGCCGATAACACGGTAAACACGCAGCAATGAGATACACGCCCACTTCGGCCACGCTCCAAACGAGAAAGGTGACGGAAAGCCAGGTGCCATCAGTTAAGGGATTGTTGGTGAAGAATGCGACGCATCGACAAATGGACGTTACCATGCCACTGGAACTCGGGTTAGTCATGGCTGGAGAATTTTAGACAAGAAGAAACGAAGGCAGTGGCTTACATGCTACCAGTCAGAAAAGTCACTGCGAGACCGTATTTGACTTGTGCTGGAACCTGCAGCTTCCAGACCACAGGCTGCGGCAGGATAAGCATCGCGACGTCGATGATGACGTTCGGTAAAGTGCCCCAGCGATAGAACATGGGAATGTTGTCACATTTACCACCGACGATAGTCTTATCCCAGAGATACGCCACCGGCCAGCATTCAAAGGCCCCAGCCATGATATCAGCGATGGCAAAGACCACGATAAAGGCCATCAAGCTGTAGCAGGCCAAACGGTAGCGACGATTTTTCTCACAGATGCGGAGGTAGAGCGTGAGGAGGACAACACGCGGAAAGCAACACCCGGCTGAGTAGATGATCGGAGTGGCATAGAGACACTTGGCCCAGGGAACCAGGGCTTGAGGGTCTATCACTTCTACAACATCTAGATGATAGCCGACTCGACCGATATCTATGCTCACTATGTAGGTCATAAAAGAGAGAAATTAGGGGAAGATCGCTTGGAAAGTCGGAGGAAACATCAACACCTTGACTTACCTAGGGAAAGGATACAAAGACCCACAGAACATAAGTATCCGGGAATCGTGAGAATATCATCAATGCTCAGGGGTTTCTCGCTTAACCTCAAGGCTACGAAGCGTAATGCGACCGCCAGCGTGACCAGCACGATAAAAGCGATGGATACATCCCGAAGTGTGTCGCCAGAATATTCCAGCATGCGCTCGGGACTGATGGAGGCAGCCATTGCGTGCTTTGGCTTTGTCTTGTGTGTGTTCGCGTTTAGGTTAGATAACACTGCTTGGTGAGTAAAAGATAGACTTGGGACATAGGCAAATGACACGCTTAGGTGGGGTTAACGGGAATAGCCAGCATCCTCCAGGAGCATTGCTCATTCTTAAACTACTCTACATACTGGGGAAGACCAGAGGGTGCGTGTGCTTTAGCATGATTAGCAGGGGTGGTGATAGTAGGACTTGGGGGAGTGCGGCGCAGACCAGATTACTTAGAACATGGGGGCGGGAACGGGACATGGGGGCAGGAACAGGTTGGCGTAAAGGATGTGAGGGGAACTTGTAGTCAAGCCAAGGGAAGTAATAAAGACCATCCTGGGCCGGGTGCTGACATGCGAAGGCGGCTAATTGCTCGATTGCACCCTGACTGTGCAAAGGGTGCTAAATTAGTCTCATTCCTAAAGGGGTAAAGATGTCGGACCACCGCCTGTTTTGTATGTAAGAAAAAAGAGTCAACAAGAAAAAAAGAAAGGGAAAAAAAAGAAACAAAGAAAACCAGAAAAAACCCCTTGTGAAACCTCTTAATCAACTTGCTGCATTTTCCGCACTTCCGCCTCCCCCCGCGCCTAGATGGTGCTGTCCACTTCATTAATTACGCTCTTCCTCGCTCTTTCTAGAGCCGCTTCCCTTCCCCCATGACACGCCCGCAATCCTATCCAATTTTTCTTTCACACCACTATCATGTCCAGCGAAAATTTCACTATCACCGAGCATGTCGTCCCGGGTTGTCACATTCGAGAGTATCCCGGAAGCACCGTCAATCAGGAGGATGTTTTGCACCTACATGTTAAACAGTACACCCCCAGAAACCAAGCCCAGCCAGTGCCGAAAGATGCCGTCACAATCATTGCCGCTCATGGAGCAGCTCTGCCCAAGGTAGTTCCATTTCTGTCCAACCAAGCGGAACCATTGCTATGTGTCATTCTTCGAGGCTGATTCCTGATGGTCAGGAATTGTATGAACCGCTGTGGGACACACTGTTGGAGCAGGCCAACAATTTTCAGATCCGTAGCATCTGGGTCGCCGACTGCGCCAGTATGAACATAAGCGGAATTCTAAATGAAGACAAACTCAGCATGGACTGTAAGCTACTTACCCTCTTATATTTCCGCCTCAACTGATGGCTAATGAAGAGTCAGGTTCCTGGATGGATCATTCTCGGGATCTCTTCCTGATGATCAACCACTTTCGAGAGCAAATGCCTCGTCCGATCGTGGGAGTCGGACACAGCTTTGGTGGAAATATCATGTGCGATCCATTCCCCCCACACTTTCCCCCCTCCTCATCTTTTTCATACAGACAACATTGATTGACTTTCTTTCTCGTCATTCTTTGTTTTAACAGTACCAATCTGGCGTATCTTCACCCGCGACTCTTCACCACTTTGTTACTGATTGACCCTGTAATCCAATTGACACCCCCGCCCATGGGGTTCGGCACCGACGCTACCGGGGCGATCAACTATACCCTTTATCGCAAGGATGTCTGGCCCAGCCGCGAGGTGGCTCTCCGTGCCAATCGCGCTTTGACTCATGGCTGGGACCCCCGCTGCGTGGCTCGCATGGCGCAATACGGGTTCCGCGATCTGCCCACCGCGCTGTATCCGGACGTGGATGCAGTGAAGGCGGAATTTCAAAGCACTACATCATCATCTACTTCTCAGCCTCCAGCACAATCACACGATGCCACGACCAACAATACAACCCCAGTGACTCTTACAACCACCAAGTATCACGACCTCCTCGCCCAGATCCGCCAGAACTTCAGCGCCCGGTCACCGGAGACGGGCCGGATCTCCATCCCACGGGCCACCCACGCGGATCTCGACCCGCTCGCCGCGTTTATCCCGATGTATCGCCCCGAGCCCCGGAGCGTCTTCCTTCGGCTGCCAACTCTACGACCATCGTGTCTGTGGGTGCTGGGGGGTGCAACCTTTCTCAAGCTGGACGAGATGCGCGAGGGGATCAAGACATGCGGCACCGGGGTGGGAGGGAGTGGGGGCATCCCCGATGGGAGGGTCCGGGAGGTGACGCTAGCAGGGCTGGGCCATCTGATGCCGTTTCAGGCGGTTCAACAGGTTGCAGAGCCCTGTGTGGCGTGGCTGGAGTCGGAGATGACACGTTTTCGCGAGGCTGAGAGGCTATGGGCGGAGGAGCAAAAGGGACGCAGTCATCTCACCTTAGAGGAGACGTGGTATCGAGTTTTGAAGCCTGTAACCGTTACAGGTGGGAAAGGGAAAGCCCGGAAAGCCAGGAAGGACAAGCTGTAACTAGTAGGAAAGGCTCCTCTTTGATGTGGAGCCTGTGCTATATCATTTCAGTCCGTGGGGCTCCGTGCGTTCTGATGAAATTTTGATCATTGTCCGGCTCCCGGCAGCACCTGTTTCCTATCACCTTAGTAATTGAAAACTACGTACTCGTAGCTACGGTGGCATGGCTGACGGAGGCATGGAGCTGATTTGTCATTTAAGCGGAAGGAACAGGGAAGATTGAGCTAAGTCTAACCATCCTCCGTCAAGGCAGACTCAAGGCCACTCCACAATCAGTGACTAGGAAAGTCAGGATCGCCTAATTTCTAAAATGCGACGGCGGACTCCCTTGGCCCCATCTTTTTCTCCCCCGTCTCCTCCCTGCCTCCTGCGCCGCTGTACAAACTGCTACATTGATCCCAGCGCTAAAATGGCAGTAATATATACTACCCTGTCAGTTTTGCATTGTTAAATGGCATGCAAGAAATTCCGAATTAGACTTCTACCTATCTCGCTTGCCTACCTGCTCACCTGAGATGGGGCCATTGAGAGGCATTCAAACTGTAATTATTTAACTGTACAAACCTGGCCCCCTCATATAGAGTAATAATAATGAAAAATATAGTACCAGTTGACTAAGCCTGCGAGCGCTGCCTGTGTTACTACCTAAGAATCCAACCAAAGGTCAAAAATTACGGGCGTAGGAAGCAGTGGAGGATATATATATATGAATTAATCAGATGCGTTGTCGAATCAGGTGCTTCGCGAAAGCGGAGGCAAGATATTATTGTATTATTTAGAATATCAGTAAACCGTACGCGCGGGGCTTTGCCTCGCTGTCTTACTAGCGCTAGGTCTTAGGGGGACAAATCTAGCAAGAAGATAATGAGATTTTTATTTTATTTATTTATTTTTATTAGTTTTTTCTTTCCTTCTTCACGTACTAACCCGCTGGAGATATGAATATCTTTACCTAAAGAGGCAAGGGACCATCTAAAGCACTTGGCGCCAGTTGGGGGCGGGGGCCAATCGAGAGATTCATTAGGCGGGGAAGGGTTTGAACCCTGATGAACTGTGAACCCGCGAGTTTCTGTCGGCAACTCCCGGTAAGAAGAAAGCCCTAAAGCATACCTCGACTAAACTACTAGCGCTGATTCAGAAAACCCCCGACGCTCACTAAAATCAAATCAGATGACATAGAACCGTAATACTTTTGTACTTATCTATCCAGACTAGTAATAATTTAGTACGCTGGTTCCACCGCCCCCTCTTCATGCCCGCTTCCGAAATTCCAATATGGGGCCTTCCTTGCCCACGATGAAATTATCCTTCATCTTGTACTCGCCCTCTCGCCCGACTCCGAGATGCTCCATCCCGGGGGCCAATCGCAGATCATACAACCACAGCACACGCGCGACGCTGACCTCCAGCTCGAGCATAGCCACGTTGCGACCGATGCACGCGCGAGGCCCGAGGCTGAACGGCACAAAAGCGGCGCGTTGGCGGGCCATGACCTCGGGCGAGACCCCGACACCCTCGTCGGCGGCCTCGGTCCCGCGCAGCATCCACCGATTGGGGTCATACTCGTAAGGGCGGTCAAAATGTTCCGGGGAGTGATGCAGAGAGTAGGTCGGGACCCCCACGATAGTTCCGGCGGGGAACTCCCATTCCAGCACCTGCAGACCCCCCGGGAGCACCTCGCGCGGCAGATCCATGGGCACCGGGGGGCACAGCCGCATGCTTTCCTCGATACAGGCCCGGAGATATCCCATCTTCCCGCTGGAGAGGGCGGGTCCGGAGACGATGGATTCCAGCGAGGCGAAGTGTGCCCGGATCAGGTTCGTCAGGCGCTGGCGAATGGCGGGGTGGTGCGCGAGAAAGAACCATGTCGAGGCGAGCGCTGTATTGGCTGTCTCGGCCCCTGAATGGTGGTGAGAAAGATAGTCAGTTCAACAGTACTAGTGTAGAAGTATAAACGGCTGGGGGTGAAGAAAGGATTGAGTAATCCAGAACTTACCCGCGCCTAACAATAAGGTCGATTCGCTGATCAATTCCTGCGTTGAATATCCTTCCCCGGTTTCCGGGTCGCGGGCCTGTTGCAAATAGTAGATGATGTCTCGCCGCTCCGTGGGATTAGCTGCCAATCGCGTACTCAATTGTTGGCGAGAGAACGCGATCTGACGCTCCCGGTCGCCGGCAGTCCCCATTCGTAGGTACTGATCGAAGCCAATGCGACGGAGCAGGGGCATCTGGCCACAAATATTCAAGATGCGTACGTTGACAGCCATCAAGCGGAAGAAGAAGGTGTTCTCGTCACTCCGGGTGGTGTTGAATGTCTTTCCAAAGCAGATCTCCCCAAGGGCATCGAAGATCAGGCACGCGCTCCAGTGCACCATGTCTTTGGGGCGCGACCAGCCGCCGCCACTGCTGCTGCTGCTGCTGGCCTGACTCTGCTTGCCTTGACTCTGGTTGGGATGCTCGTCTCCCAACGCCAGACACCAGTCGCGGATGGCGGACAGAATGTGCGGCTCCATACCCCGCAGAGCGTGGTCGGAGAATGCCTGGGACATCACCCGGCGCTTGCGCGCGTGCACGTTGCGGTCAATGGCGTTGAAGATACTTACGCTGTAGAAACTGTGGTACCATTGCGACTTCTGCACGTTGGCTTGATGGCCATAGATGGGCTCAAGAGCTCGCGCATCGAGGATAGTCACGCGGTTAGGTCCAATGCGAACGATTCGGCCATGGCGTTGATGCAGTTTATACAAATCCTCATGTCGGTCGCCACGCATGGCGTGTACCACCGAGTATAGGTTGGTCAATTTGGCCAAGAAAGGACCGGGATAGGCTGCTAAGGGATGGAACTGGACTTGATACACCACATAACTCAGGCCCTATAGATATGTGTGAGAACGGAGACCATCTCATAGCAACAAGAGGAATATTAGAGATTGAAGTGCAGCGGGTAACCCACAGCAGCAGAGAGAATGGCAAATAAGAGCTTGCCGAGCGAGATGGTGCCCAGCACCAATTGGATGAAGTTGTCAAGCATACTGGAAAACGAAGCCTACTGACAAAATTCACGAAGTGACAATGGTGCAATGTGTCTGAGGATCTGGAAGGCAGGGACAGTGAATTTAAAACCCGGGAATTATTTTTGTGTCCACAACGTCCCTTGGCCCCCACTGCCCTCACCTAGCACTTCTATCCAGGCGCCGGAGATATCCTGTCAGACACCGTATTTCTAATCGATCGATTCCCCGGCCTCTCTCGTATACATCACCCCCAAATCTTGATTCTCTATTGTTCTTACTTTCTTGAGCTCAGATTACCCAGAATAATACCTGCCCGTCGGAGAGCGATCCATTTTATCTCATCGTGAATCACCATCATGCATTTTCTCTGCTTGCACGGATTAGGGACCAACAGCCGGGTAAGTTCGTTCGAGTCTGGCCGAGTATAGAGAATCCGACTCTGACTTCTCTATGGCAAAGATCCTTCAAGTTCAGACTGGTCAGTAAAACCCAGTTGCACACTTGTAGTTGTGCCCGGTGCAAGCAAGATGGAAAGCCCTAACAACATTGCGAACCTTTAGCAAGCCTACGACATGAACTCGGCGATTCTCATACATTCGACTACGTCGAAGGCACCCTTCCCTGCCCCATTGATCCTGGTATATAGTCTATGTTATTGATCGTTGCATTCGAACAAGGCTGACTGACCGGCTGAATGCCAACACAGCCATTGCCCCCTATTTTCCGGAGGAAAGCGACGAAGGGTATGCGTACTTTGACCCCAGCCAACCAGCGACCTACGCGACGGCCCTGGAGCAGCTCGAAGCTTTCCTCGTAGCTGAGGGACCCTTTGATGGCATTCTGGCCTTTTCGCACGGAGCTCAATTGGCTGCTTCATTTCTGATTGAGCGGGCTCGGTCTGCGGCCTCTTCCTCCCCGGCGGGAGCGCGCAGCATCCGATGCGCGATTTTTCTCTCTGGAGGAATTCCTTATCAGTGGTCATCATCACCAACAGCGGCCGCACTGCCTGATGTGGGCAAGTTGACACCCATCGCCGAGGCGGAAAGGGAAGGAACCGCAACCCCGTCAGCACTACCGGTCCTGTTGCAGCTGCCCACCGCACACATATGGGGCCAAAATGACACCAGCTACCCAGGCACCAGTGTGGTCCTGAGCCGGCTTTGCAAGCCGGAGTGGCGGGCAGTGTTCGTGCATGACGGAGGACATGAGGTCCCTGGTTCGAGGTCACGGGCGTCTCTGTTGGGGGCTCTGGGGGCCATTCGCCAAACGATTCACTTGGCTGTCTCACTGCATTAGAGTGGGGACTGAGGAATGGGTGCTGAAGAAAAAGCCTGTGCCTATTGGTGGGGCAATAAAAGCTCCCTGTTCGGGTAATGGTGAATAAATAGTTTGATCGGTTAAGTTCTCGATGAGGCCATACACTTGTCTTTTGTAGTTAGTCTTGTTTGCCCTCGCAGGGGATCGGAGATTAGTTTGGGGGCGAAAGTGTTTCTGACCCACTCCCACCAAATAAATGCTGGTTCGTTTGGCATCGGCCCCTCACGCTAAGAGCCATCTTGCACCTCTTGGCAGCTGGGAAGCTTGGACGCAATCCCCGTAGACTTGTTGCTCCTTCCGGTGTGTTAGGGTTGGCTGGGTGTGAAGGATATGTGCGTGGCAGTTGTGGCAATTACATGTTAAGGACAATTATCTAGAGTATCTCGAGAGTCCAATAAAAGAGGACGCTGAAGGGTATCAGCGTCAGATCATATAAAAACCAACCCTGGTGCACATACACGACTGCTAGATGTGAGTGTCTCTTTTTGTTTGGATAATTCCCCCAATTCCACTTCTTCCCCGACGATCGCTGCACCACAATGGCTTTCGACAATTCGCACAACGATAAGGACTGCCTTGAGCCCATCGCGATCGTAGGCCTATCACTCCGGTTCCCGGCCGGAGCCACAGATTTAGATCGTTTCTTCAATTTGATCACAGAGGCCCGTTGCGTGTCGCAAGCATTCCCCTCTGACCGTCTGGATGTTACGGGCGCCTACTGGCCCAAGGCTGCAGCCGCAGTCCCGACGGTGAGCGGAGGACATTTCCTAGCTGAAGATATCACTGCATTCGATGCACCCTTCTTTGGCATCTCAGCCGTGGAGGCAGCCTCCATGGACCCCCAGCAGCGACTGCTCCTGGAAACCAGCTACGTTGCCTTGGAAAATGGTAGGCGGAACCAGCCCTCGAGCCCCCATTCCTTCGTGTTCGGGATGATAATTGTGTGTGTCCCTTGATGTAGCCGGGATCCCCATCGAGCAGATTACGGGGTCCAACGCCTCCGTCTATGTCGGCTGCTTCACCGATGACTACAAGGAACTTTACCGGAAAGACGTGCGCGACAGCGCACCCTACGCAGCCACGGGGATCACCACCACGCTGAACGCGAACCGCGTGAGCTGGTTCTACAACTTCATGGGCCCCAGTATCAACGTGGACACTGCCTGCTCCAGTAGCCTGGTCGCCCTGGACTTAGCCTGTCAGGCGCTGCGCGCAGGTCAGACTGATATGGTAAGTTTCGCCTCCTAGAGAGAATTGTTTCCTCTGGACCTTCTGTGAGAGAGAAGTGTGTGTGTGTGTGTGTGTGTGTGTGTGTTTGTGCGGCTAACGAACGGATTCGGTACAAAAGTGCCTGGCTGGAGGAGCTAATTTGATTCTGGCCCCTGATCTGTTCCATATCCTGTCAGAGATGAGCATGCTTTCCCCCGACAGCCGCAGCTATAGCTTTGATGCTCGAGGTAATGGGTACGGGCGCGGGGAAGGGGTAGCCATGTTGGTCCTTAAACGGATGAGCTGTGCGCTGCGGGATGGCGATACCATCCGCGCCGTGGTGCGCTCCACTGCGTGCAACCAGAACGGGTACACCCCTGGAATCACCCAGCCAAGTATGAGCGCTCAGGAGGCCCTTATCAACGCGTGCTACGCGCGTGCTGGACTGGATAAGGCTCGTACGGGATACGTGGAGGCGCACGGCACGGGAACCCCAGCCGGCGATCCCATTGAGGCGGAGGCTCTAGGTGCAAGCTTCCGAGATAGCCGGCGCCCGGGTGAGAGGCTTTATGTGTATGTTTCTGTTCCCACTCGGCTCTTCCACACGCCTTCTAACGAAGCATGCATTATCTGTTTCTAGGGGCTCCGTCAAAGCCAATATCGGCCATTTGGAGGGATCCAGCGGTATCGCGGGTGTGATCAAGGCGATTGCCATGCTGGAGCGAGGGTGGATCCCCGCTATTGCCGATTTGCAGAGCGTCAACTCGATGATCGATGAGGCTGCGTTACGTCTTCAGGTTGGTGAGCATTACCCATGTTCGTGTGGCGGACAGCTGACGCTCTTCCGTACTGTATAGTTCCCTCGGTCAGGGGTCCCTTGGCCTCGTCCCGGTCTTCGACGAATTTCCGTCAATTCGTTTGGGTTCGGTGGCTCCAACGCCCACGCGGTGTTGGATGATGCGTATCACTTCTTACTGGAGCACCAGTTGGACGGCGTGGCATATCGACCGCGCACGGATTCTTCCACCCCTCAGGAAGAGATTATCCCCGTCTACGTCTTGCGCGACCAACGGTCCAACAATGAGCCACCACTACTAGCATCATCTTCTTCAGTAGCTCCTACCGCAGCAGCAGGAGTGCAGCAAAAGCGTGTCCGGCTCCTGCCACTATCGTCGTCAGACAAAGCAGGTATCACTCGAACAGTCACCAGCCTGACCGAATATTTCCAGTCCCGCGGCGGCGGTACGGCGGAGGCGGCGACTCCCCCGTCAGTCGAATTCTCCGATGCACTGGCATACACGCTCGCCCAACGCCGGACGTTTCTCCCTTGGCGCGCCTGTGCAGTCGTCCCCTCAGACATGCCGCTGCACGAGTTTCGAACGATGGTTTCGCCTGCGGTGAAGTCGCCAAAGACGCCGCCCAAGATCGCGTTCGTATTCACCGGCCAGGGTGCGCAGTGGGCGCAAATGGGCGCCGACCTTTGTGTATACTCCGTCTTTCGTCGGCGGTTAGAAGAGGCGGATGAGGATCTGCGCGCTTTTGGTTGCGATTGGAGACTTTTAGGTGAGCATCTCTCAGTCCCCCACCCCTTGCCGGTCCGTTATCACCTTGGAGCTGCTCGATAACCGTATCCTCTGATAGATGAACTGGCAAAGCCGGCAGAGACAAGTCGGATCAACGAGCCTCGGATTAGCCAAGTCCTTTGCACGGTCGTCCAAATCGCTTTAGTGGACCTGCTCAATACCTTTGGTATCATGTGCAGCGTGGTCATTGGACACTCGTCGGGAGAAATTGCTGCAGCGTAAGCGAAAACATTCCCTCCCTCCTTTTGGAAAGTTGGGTGCTGAAATGGAGGAAAATATCACAGGTACTGCTGTGGCGCCATTTCCGCGCGCAGCGCTTGGCGGATTGCGTTTCTGCGGGGCACGCTGGTGTCTGCTACACTGCAAGAATCAACAATTTCCGGGGAGATGCTGGCAGTCGGGCTCTCTGCGGCAGACGCTGCATCCTACCTGGATGGAACCGATGCAGGGGAGGACAAAATGGGATCTAGTCAGGTCAGCATCGCGTGCTTCAACAGCCCGAATAACGTGACTCTGTCTGGGGATGAGGCGGCCATCGACGCGCTGAAGGCCAAATTCGACGCTGCGGGGATCTTCGCCCGCAAGCTGTCCACTGGCGTGGCCTACCATTCCAACCATCTGCATTCGGTGGCGGATGCGTACGCGAGCGCAATCGGGGAGATCGAGCCCGGGGAACACGGAAGGGAGCAGGGCCTACTGCAGCGCACCGACGCCTCGGTCGTCATGGTCTCGACCGTCTCGGGCCAGCGAGTCCCCGCCGAGATGCTGCGCCAGGGTAGCTACTGGGCAAGCAACTTGGTACGACCCGTGCGCTTCCTCCAGGCCGTTCAAAGTCTTTTGAGCAAGCGCGGGGTCGTGAAGAAGCTCGACGGAAGCCACCGACTCCTGATGGATATCAACACCTGCGTGGAAATTGGGCCCCACGGGGCCCTGCGCGGGCCGATCAAAGAGATCCTTCAGGCTCAGGACCATCCCATGACCTACGTCTCTACCTTGCAGCGGGCCCAGCCAGGGGCTGACGCCCTCCTCCGCTCAGTGGGTCATCTGTGGTGCCTGGGATTATCGATCAACTGGAACCGGGTGAACCACGAACCCCACTCCTCCGAGACAGATTCAGACGAGAGGGAAGGAGTAACTGTAGTGCCTCCTGCGCTTGTCTCGCTGGCCGACCTTCCCCCATATGCCTGGGAGCATTCGCGGCGGTTCTTCCATGAGAGTCGAACAAGCAGGAATCATCGGCTCCGCAGCAAGCCCCGATCCAAGTTGCTCGGGGAGGCTGCGGTGGACTGGAATGCCCTGGAGGCGCGTTGGGGCAACTTCCTGAAGCGCTCCGAGCATCCCTGGATCGAAGATCATCAGATTAATGGAACGATCCTCTTCCCCGCCGCCGGCATGATGGCGATGGCCGTCGAGGCCATGCAGCAGCAGGTCCAGCTCGCCGGAGCAGCCTCTATCAACCGGCCGATCCTCGGCTACGAGCTCCGCGACATTCACCTGAGCACAGCGCTGGTGATCCCCGACCACGAGCGGGGTGTGGAAGTCCAATTCATCCTGCGCCGGCAGCAGCAGCAGCAACCGGGGGCCGGAGCCGGCGGCGGCAGTCGAGACGGTGGCTGGTGGTCGGATTTCCGGCTATGCGCATATCTGGAGGGTGAATGGGAAGAAATCTGCACAGGGAGTATCCGGGTCGATTTCGGGGTCGCCGAGTCTGGCATTGGGACCCAGCGCGTCGCGCAGGCCCGCCTGCGAAGCCTGCAGGACCGGCACGCTTCCCTGCAGCAGCAGCAGCAGCAGGAGCAGCCTCAGTGGGAGGAGCGGGGAGAGCATCATGGTTTGGAGATCGCGGCCTTTTATGAACGCCTTGCCCAACATGGACTGGAATTCGGGCCCGCCTTCCGCACTCTTGTCGAGGCGCAGTGGGCCGGCGGCCGGGATTGCCGCGCCGTCATCAAGGTCCATCATCCACAGGATGATGACGAAGTGAAATATGTTGTCCATCCGTGCACGCTCGATGCGCTGCTGCACATGCCCATGGTGGCGCTGACGCAGAATCCCGTACGCAGACGATCTACGGCCATCCCCTCCAACATTCGACGGGTCTGGATAGCGTCTTCGGGCCTTGGATGGTCATCATCGTCGTTGTCATCGGAGTTGCAGACTGGGTCGGAGAACACGCTGGACGCGCTGGCAGAGATCGTGGCCACCGACCGTCGCGGGTGCGAAGTACAATCCCATGCCTTGAGTCATGACCGGGCGCGTCTGCTGGCAGAGTTGGAAGGGGTTCGGCTGACGATCGTCAATGACATGGCCGATCAAATGACCGACGACGACCATGGGGCGCAGGACTGTACCTGGAACCTGGTCTGGAAACCCGATCTGGATTTGATGACTGGGCCCCAGGTGGCTCAGTGGTGCAGCAGCAGCAGCCGCAGTATGCCCTCATCTCATGAGGGCCTGGACCCGACCAGCGGGGATCCTGCAGATTTCTATCGTGACTTGGCCTTCCTTCATTACTCGATGCTGTCGCAGATTACATCGTCGGGGGTGAATCCGTCGAAACCTCACTTGCAAAAATACATGGACTGGGCTCGCCGCCAGGTCCGGCGAGTCGAAGCTGGCGAGACGCCGCATTGGCAGCCAAGCTGGCCGACCTTAGCTGGAGACTTAAACTACCGCAATGCCCTGATGGATCGACTAGAGCAAGTCAACGCGCAGGGACGAGTTCATGTGGCAGTCGCCCGCCACCTGGACCAGTTGGTCGTTGGTCAAATGGACCCCTTGGAGCTGCTGTTCGGGTCGTCCTTGTTGGATTCGCTCTACGCCGAACTGAGCGGCAGTGACACGTCGGCATTTACCCAGCTAGGTGAATACCTACAGCTGTACTCTCACAAGTATCCAAACGCCCGCTACCTGGAAATCGGTGCTGGCACGGGGGGCACGACCGCCGCCATACTGCACTCACTTGGGGAGAAACAGGGACAGCTAGAGGTGACCGGCCCGCGGTATCAGGAGTATACCTACTCAGATATCTCAGAGGCCTATTTTGACGCCGCCAAGACCCGGTTCGAAAGGTACCCCGGCCTGCTGTTCCGCCGACTGGATATCGAGGAAGATCTCCTGAGCCAAGGGTATACCCCCGAGTCCTACGACGTGGTCGTCGGGGCCAACGTACTCCACGCTACCAAGGACCTCCGGGCAACGCTGCAGAAGGCGCAGGCCTTGCTTCGTCCCGGGGGGAAGCTGATTCTTTTCGAGATCACGGCCCCCGCCTTGGGACGGAGTGGGTTCATCATGGGCCTGCTACCGGGCTGGTGGCTCAGTTCTGAAGACTATCGCAGCGAGGGTCCCTGTGTCCCATTGTCCACCTGGGACGCACTGCTGCAGGATACGGGCTTCACAGGCGTGAAGCAAGAATTTCGCGACTATCGCAGCGATACCTGCCATGAGCTAAGCGTACTGATCAGCAGCCGCCAGGTCCCATCCGACGGAGCTGGCATGCTCCTGCAGGAGCTCGATACACCGGGTCCTGCGCCTCCAGCGGTGGTGAACATCGTGGCTCATCCAACTCACAGTCCTCAGGGGGAAGGGCAGAGTGTTCCTTACGCAACTGCCATCCAGAAATACCTGCAACACATCGGAGTCCCCAGCCAGATTACCCCAATGGACCAAGTGGAACCCGGGACGAGGCTCACCATCGTGACTGTCGACTTGGACCTGGATCGGCCGTTTCTACGCAGCATGAACCCTGAGGACTTTGCAGCGCTCCAGCGGATGATCCGCCACAGTCACAATGTGGCCTGGGTGAGTCGCACGGTTGACGATGGCTCCTCGGACCCAGCATACAACATGGTCACGGGCCTGGCGCGGGTCTGCCTTGCTGAAGAGGAAGGGCACCGGTTTCTCCGCGTCGGGCTGACGGGGGCGCCCATGAACAACACGCCTTCCGAGGCCCAGCTGAAAGCCCTTCTGCTGGCCGTCCAACAGATGCTGCGGCCCGCCGCCGATCCCTCCTCATCGGAGGCTTACGAGATGGAATATGAGCAGCGAGCTGCAGAAGGAAAAGACCTGTTTCACATCGCCCGACTCCAGCAAGACCGATATTGCCAGGAGGGCGTGCATCGAACGCTCCACCCATTGATCTCGGAGGACCGGCCGTGGCAGGAGGCGCCAATGCCACTGAAACTCACGACGCAAACCCCGGGGCTTCTGGAGTCGCTGCGATTTGTTGCGGATCAGGAGCACAATGCCGTGCCGCTGGCGGCAGACGAGGTGGAGATCCAAGTCCACGCCGTCGGACTGAACTTCAAGGACTGCCTCATTGCCCTCGGCCGCGTGCCCGCTGACACTCTGGGCAATGAGTGCGCCGGGGTGGTGACACGTGTAGGGCCCGCCTGCTCCCCGGACAAGGTCCGGGTCGGGGACCGCGTCTGCATGTCCACGGTCGAGGCATTCAAGACGTATGCCCGCAGCAAGGTCCAGTGCGTGTGTCGCCTGCCGGACGCCATGAGCTTCACCACCGCCGCTGCCATCCCGACGCAGTTCGTCACCGCCTGGACAAGCCTCGTGCAGATCGGACGGCTGACCCAAGGGGAGAAAGTGCTGATTCATGCCGGTGCTGGCGGCACCGGCCAAGCAGCGATCCAGATCAGCCAGTACCTCGGGGCAGATGTTTACGTGACCGTGAGCTCGGAGGCCAAAAGAGATCTCCTCATGGACACGTACGCGATCCCGGAGGGGCGTATCTTTTACAGCCGCGATGTGGCCTTTGCGCAGGGCGTCAAGGATGCGACCGGGGGTCGTGGAGTAGACCTGGTGCTCAACTCGCTATCCGGCGAGTGTCTCCTGGCCTCGTGGGACTGCCTGGCGCCCTATGGCCGGTTCGTGGAAATCGGCAAGAAAGATATCCTGGACAACGCGCGACTCCCCATGCTCCCCTTCAACCGGGGGGTCAGCTTCTCGGCGTTTGATGGATCGACATGGATGCTCGAGCGTCCGGAGCAGGCCGAGCGAGGCATTCACACCATCATGGCGCTGTTTGAGCAGGGCGTGTTGCAACCTGCCCACCCATTGCGCGTCCGGTCTGTGACGGAGGTGCAGCAGGCTTTTGCCGCGCTCGCCGACGGGAAGACCAGCGGCAAGACCGTTATCGAGATTACCCCAACCGCTTCGGTGCCGATGACCCTGCCCGCGGCGATGCCGACCCAGGGCTTCCTGGGCGATGCCACCTATGTGCTCGCAGGCGGCTTTGGCGGTATTGGCCGCAGTATCGCGCGCTGGATGGCCGAGCGCGGCGCCCGCCACCTCCTGATACTCTCGCGCTCGGGGCCGCAGAGCCCTGAATCCCGCCAGCTGGTGGCCGAGCTCCACGGGGCGGGGGTCCGTGTGCACGCGCCTGTCTGCAATCTCGCCGATCGGGAGACGCTGTCGCGCGTGCTCCACGAGGCCCAGTCCCCTACCGGAGCCGCGATGCCGCCGATCCGCGGCTGCATCCAGGCATCAATGGTTCTGCAGGATACCCTACTTGCCGAGATGACGCACGCCCAATGGGTCGCCGCCGTGCAGCCCAAGGTGGCCGGGTCATGGAACCTCCATGCCTGCCTCGAGCACCAACCGCTGGACTTTTTCGTCTGCCTGTCCTCCGTGTCTGGCGTCGCGGGTCAGCGCGGCCAGTCCAACTACGCCGCGGGCAACACCTTCCAGGACAGCCTGGCACGGTACCGCGTAGCGCGCGGGCTGCCAGCCGTGAGTCTCGACCTCGGGGCCATGGTCGACGACGGGTTCCTGACGCAGAACCAAACCATCCGAGACCGGCTGCTGGGCGGCGGATCCATGGTGCCGATTACCCGCCCCAAGTTCCTGGCCCTGCTGGAATTCTACTGCTGCCGTGCGATGGAGGACGCGAGTGACAAGGACGAGGAGGATCTTGTCGTCGTGGCGGTGGCGCCAGCGGACGCGCCGCCCCTGACGCTGGCCAACTGCCAGACGGTGTTCGGGATCAATACTCCTCAGGCCATGCAGGTGCGCGGACTGGATGAGCCCGGGTGGATGCAGAGGCCCTTGTTTGGCCTCCTTCATCGCGTGTCAACCGCCTCCCACCAGCACCTGGACTCGAAGAGCGGGCCCGGGCGTCGTCCGGCTCGCGATTTCCGGGCCGAACTGGGCCAGGCCGCCTCCCTGGAGGAGGCCACGCTGATCGTTGCCCAGGCCCTCATTGCTAAAATCGTGCGCAGTCTCTCCGGGCTGGCCGATGAGGATGTGGAGGCGAGCCAGCCCATTGTCAGCTGCGGGGTCGATTCGCTCCTGGCGGTGGAGATTCGCAGCTGGTTTGCCAAGATCTTCCAGGCCGACGTGTCCACCTTTGAGATCCTGGGTGGGATGAGCTTCGAACGGGTGGGCCGGCTGGTGGCCATACGTAGTATGTTGAAGAAGGGGTGGGTTTGAGAAAAAGGCAGGAAGGCCAGATGGCTGTCGCCTTTGGAAATCTTGTTCATTGGTACTATGTCCAGATGAACAGTTTTCGAAATGGTCTTGACTGGCCCCATCGTTAAGGAATAAGTAAAGAAAGCAGAAAAAAGAAAAGAAGAAGGGAAAGTACCCACTACGCCAATGTTGCGGGACTGCAAACATCTGACCGGTCTGAAGAAGACAGTGGAAAGGGGTCCAGACGTATGCCTGACAGGATGTTGAACGGGATGCCTCTGAAAATCTCAATAAAAGTACACAACTAGGCGTATGTCGGAACGATATCATTCATAGGATATCTTTCTTGGTATAAGCAATCATAACATAAAATGATCTCAATTGGATCTTAATTTTCAACACGATGGAATGAAGTGATAATGTAGCGAGTGGATATGAAGCGATGTGGTCCGAGAAAGTTCACCTGGGTCCAGCCACCTTGATGGATTCGTGTTGTTGCGAAGGCCCTTATAGCATGAACCTCCAAGGTGCAGCTCCTGTGAACTATCGTCAGCTCTCCTTCGATCTTTCAAATTGAACGGTGGAATAGATTTGCAAGGTGATGGGCGTGCCATGCCTGCGTGAAGTATACAGTCATGTCCTATCTGCCGCTATCTAGAGCCAGGCTGGTATAAATAGTGTGGAAGCTGAGGGACCCAACAAACTTGCTCAAAACGAGGTACAAATAGTGCTCAATACCTAGCTATCTAACTAACTTAAGGTATTTTCTGAGTGCGCCATGTAACAAACGTGAAATTTAATTAAATATAAGTCTATATAAAACAAAAACATACAACAGAAGGGATTCGCTGGTGGTCACCCACCCAACTACTAACCTCCCGGCGTGTGGCTTGAGTACGGCTGAGCGGACGGGAAGCCCTATTTTCCACACCCTGTGGTCGTATGTACTAATTGTTTTCTAGAAAAGTATAAAGAGGCCTGAGATCTAGTAGCTCTGCAGACATGACCCTACGCATGTAACATCCTTCTCGGTGAGTGCCCCTCTACAATTAGGGGTCCAGCTCACTCAATACTACAATCTACATTACCACCATCTTACGCTTCACTAGGGGGATTTAGGATGCATTGGGGTCTGTAGAAATTTTTAAGCCCATCTTTGTCAAAAATAATTCTGGGATTAAAATTAATTGGATTAGACGCCCTTAGAAACCACGCAGAGCTATTTCCAGAGTTTGGTGCGAGCTGTAATGACATGAAATATAGAGCTGTACGGAAGGCATGATAATAATATAACACGAACATACATGTCTGTAGATCCCTATTCAATAATTCAGTAAGTACCTCACAGTGTATACTTGAAAAGAGGACTCTTCTCTTCCATATCGCGAAGCTGCTCCTCAGTATACATTTCCTCAATTTCGGACACGGTCAACCGAGCCTTCTCCTTATTTGCCCTCCACAGACAAAACTCCAAGCACAAGGCAGCCACAAGCCCAGCAGCAGCGAATGCAAGTGAGGTGCCATAACCAGTTGGGTACCTGGGTTCTTCATCGGATTTGTAAATATAGCTGCCGATGATACCACCCGCATTCCCAACGCATATAAGATAACCAATAGCCACAGCTCGTTTGTGGGGATTGACAATGTTGCAGACATTCCAGGCATTAACGCCAGGAAGGATGGGATACATTCCAAAGCAGGCAAGGCAAATGGCAAAATAACACAGTGCTATGTTCTCCTCTATGCTGGCGGCTTTAGAGAATAGAATGCCGAATGAAGCTATGAGCGAGCACTGGGGTACCACGATAAAAGGCATTCTCCAGGAAAAGCGATCAGCGAACACAGAGAAGCCGTAAGCTGATATGGCGCCGACGGTGTAGGGCGGAATTGTCATGAGCTGGGCGGTGGCTGATTTGTAGCCCATGGATTTGATTATTTCGGGCATACTAAATTTGAGGGCGTAGTTGGGGACGGCGTTGGACCAGTTACCAAGGATGAGAAGATATATTTTCCAATCGGTCAGGACGCTGAAGATTATCTTTTTGTTGAAGCCTTTGTGATGACCACCGTGGTTGTTGGAAACGAGCTGTCGTACCTCGAGGTATCGGATCTCGTCTTGAGTAAGCCAGCCGGGAGACAGAGCCGGGGAATCTAGGAGGAGCAAGTAGCAAAGAACGGCCATGAAAACTGTCACAAGACCCTCGATGATGAAGATCTTGTGTGGTAGTCAGTCAATGGAGCCATGAAAGGATGTCCAAGGAAAGGACCTACCCAGCGCCAACCTTCGTAGCCTGCTATACCGTCCATTTTGGCAATAGCGAAAGCCAGAAGACCAGAAAAGGCTCCACCAGAAGCAGCAGATGTGTAGAGAATAGCGATGCGAGTCTGTGTCTCATTTGGAAGATACCATTTCGAGATTACTAGCACAGCACCTGGCAGGAATCCAGCCCTGTACGCTTGTCAGTACCGAGAAGGCATTGTTGAATGCGCTTGGGGAATTACTCGAAAAGACCCAGAAGAAATCGGATCACCACTAGACCGGCAAAATTGCGAACAAAGCCTGTGCAAAGCATGATCACACCCCAGCAGAAAATCAGTAGCCCTAAGTACTGCGACGGTCGCTTGAGTCGATTTAGTATTATGTTACTCGGTACCTCTTCAGGCCCGTCAGTATGTGTTTGCTACATGCCCATGGAGGTTTCGTACCAGCTAGGACATAAGGTATGAAAAAAATAGACAAGGCAATGTTGTATTGTATGCCGCTCATGTGTAGACTGGGGAGTAGGCCCTCGATCTTAGCATTCCCTGCTGAGTGTGAAAACTGGAACGCCCGAGTTGAGGGGGTCGACATACCGATATTTGTTTTGTCTATGTATGCCACTAAGTACAGAAGGACAAACATAGGAACCAGTCTCATCTAGTTTGAAATCAGTACCACATTCTCTAAATGAGTGAAGCGAGACGGAAGAAAACATCATACATCAACCTATATTTGGTTTTGTCAGTAAGGCTCCCCACACTAGCGCCATATAAAAACAGTTACCTTTCTGATGGCTTTCTTCTTGGCTTCAGGTGAGAAATTCGACAGAAACTCTATGTCGTCGCCAGAGACTCCCTGACCTGGGAGGTCCTCTAGGTGCATCACGGCAGCGTCCTTGTCAGTCATCTCAATGGCGTTGGGCTTGAGGGCGTATCTTGGGAGAGACTAATGCCAGAAACCGAGATCATCTTATGCGTTTTCGGGAAGGGAGCACTTGGCACCCCCACGGGGTAGATATAGGGAATAAAAATCCGGGGAAGCAAGCAAAGTTGGCGCCGTTCACGGAGCAGCCTTGGCAATCTCGGACTCTCGGTGCTGCGAGCCGTCTTTTCCGTGAAGTCCGGCCCTCTCATCTACGTAGGCTGAAGTTCAAAAAGTGGGGAAGTAGTTTCAGTAGTTCTTCTACTGGTCACCAGACACGATGAAGTCATTCAATTCCAGGAAAGTTTGTCGGAGAGACGTAGTTTGTATCGAATAATGGCAAGAAGGCCTTGGGGTAAGTTTAGCTTGCTGCAAAAGGCTGGCACACACAATACATACCGATGAGTCAAGCATCTGCCAATCACTAAATTGGAGATTCTCTAGCACACTGGGAATGTTTTCCTCCTGAAGCAGAAATGCTGTGTGAGGGCTGCAACTTTCCGTGTCCTGTGGAAATGCGAGGCTAATATCTGGAACAAGGCCTTCGGCACCATGGAGATTACCTGGGTGGCGATTTTGAAGATTTTCCCTCGCAGTCCGGCATCTCTGCGCTTCAAATCGTAGCTCATCAAGTATAACGCTGTATCGTTGGTTTTGTGATACACTTGTTGATGCTCGCTTCAGATAGCCGTGGCATTTCTCTGCGAGATCAAATAGCTTGCTCAAAGACTGGTCATCATTGCCATATATGCTTCGGGTCAATCGCTGGATCTCCCAAACATACACAACAGCCAACGCGCAGAAGATCACATAATCGGTCCACCAGAAAGAATGAAATAACGTACTATCCTCGGCCATTCTATTGAGAAGCTCTAGACTGTTCTGTGCGGCAGTTATGCATTTCGCAACGTTTTCGTATGCTCCTTCACTCAGAAGGAAAGGTCGATTGGCATGAATGAGAGCATGGAAGTATGCCAGCCGCATAGCAATGGCTTGGCGCCGGAAACTGGGTATTAAGGTGGATGGTCTTACTGTACCCAAGTGTGGTGGCAGGCTGGCCCACCATTCATGCAAGTCTTGACACAACCGTTGCGCAGCTGCCAAACGATCTTGGTTGGGCAAGTCGCTAATTGAGTATACCTCCCGTGATACCTTCCCGATGATTTGCGCAATTCTGCTAATCTGGTAAGTATGCGATCGTCGTAATAGGCTAGCATTATACTATACTTGGCATGAAGTATCAAGGCATCAATATAGCAATCACCTGAATCATCTGTAATGGAAGGCCCTTGCGGATTCATGTCCTCGTCATTGACCATGTCAGGGAGCTCCTTGTCGATATCCTCATCTTGGAAAAGTCGGGGCCGGCCGAACACAACGCTCAAATAAGTGTCAACGATATAAGCCACCCAAAATGTGCGTTTGTGGCATTCTGAGATGATGTAGTTATGGGGCCGCCCCGTGAAAGGGAAGTCTCTCCTCTGGTCTCGTCGCCTGTGCATGCCGAGGGAGAGAGTTACATGAAACGCATTACCAAATGTATACCACGCTTTGTTCATACGAGCCGTTTGAAGAAGATATAGAACTTGGATGATCCGCGCCTGCGCGGATTCGAGTCGTGGGAACCCCATCTCCATGTCAGTCAATTTCATGCCTGCGCAGAACAACCGATCACTTCTGCGTAAGCCATTCACGTCGTTATCTTGTGAGCTTTCTCCATTGATTTTATCACGGCGTAGAGAGGCGATAGCCATTATAGTAAGCAGGATTGCAGTCCTAGGATTTCCTAGCGAACGGGTAATCGGCCGCCGTCCTTGTCGATTGTTCAAGAATATGTCCATCCAACCTTCTACGACTTGTCGATGGAACATACGGTACGTCACCACACACGTTTCAAAATAGAACTCTTGCAATTCTCTCGCCACGGAGGCAATTGGTATCACATCGTCTAGAGCTGTATCATCGACATGAAATGGGGGATCTCCGGCTGAGTTGAGCAGTTGGTCTCTTCCCGCGTTGTTCAAGTGGCACAGTGCTGATTCGTCGTTTTGTGTCGACAGTTTCTTCCATGCTCTATGCAAGAAGTTCAATCCAGATGTAGGGTCAGAATATTGCCCCTCAATTTCGACCTCTGGTGACGCGCGAGATTGAACTTGGGTTTCGGGGGCATGATGCGCAGGTGGCCCTGAATGCTGTCGAGTAGAAGGCTGCTCTGAGCGATGAATTTGCCCTCCGGCCTGCTGCTCAGTGATCGTCGTGGAAGGTGGTGGAGTAGGAGGCCGACCCCGATTATATTTGGCGTTGTAAAAACAATGAAGCTTTCTTTTCGCGCAATTCCTGCATGGAAGTGTACCATCACAGCGGATCTTCTTTCTCTTGCAGGTATCACAAGCCCTCGTGATTTTTGGATCTTTCCGACGATTCTCATCGTCCCCGTCGTCATTAATTGTTGCCAAGGGGCGCTTCCCTAGAGAGGCTCTGAGCGGATCTAGCGCTAGCGAAGAGCCCTGTGATGAATGGGGGGATGTCATGATTGTTGCAGGTGCTTGTGTCGCGCAAAGAGAGAGAGAGGGTGGGGACGGAAATGCCGGATTTGCAGACCAAATAGAAGGAAGGGAGGGAGTCGAATAGCCGAGCATAGCCGGGGGTCCGAGATCGCAGGGTTAGTAGTCTGTCCAGAATACGAGGACAGCCAAACCTGAGCCATGGCTCACCCAAGGTAATTAATTCTCTCGGATAGTCGTTGAGTGCACAAGGTGGCCTTACACTGATCTTTACGATTAATACTACCACTGTTACAGATACTGCCTCAATTGATCACTGGCCAATGGATATGATTATATTCGCTCCCATGTACATTCTAACTCAACACTTCCATATACAAACCTGTACTTGGACATTCCTTTTCAAAAAGCCACCTTGTTGAGCGACGCAGCACTGATGGCAGCATGAATTTCCTGCTCTGCACCATCCTCAAGGGGCAGCAGGGGCGATCGAACAGTGGCGTGGGTCAAAATCCCCCGAGCAACAAGAGCATGTTTGAGAGCGACCGTACCCTCCATATGGGATCCTCGATGATACACACTCTTCGTAACCGGCAAGAGCTGATCATGGATAGCTCGTGCCTTGATGTAATCCTTGGCTTTACCAGCTTTGATAAACTCAATTAGAGGCTCGGGAGCGATGTTACCGTAGCCCACCAAGAAACCGTCGACGTCAAATGAAGTATGCAAGAGGTATTCATCGTGACAAGAAAGAATTTGTAGGTCAGGACGCTGAGCCCGAATAACGGGAATTTCCGTATCCCATCGGCGCATGTTGCGCACGCCGTTCTTCATAGCGAAACATCCAGGTTGAGCAGCAATATCAAGCATAGTCTGCAGATTGTAGGTTGCTTTGGTGTTGTCTGGATATTGAAAAAGGATCAACGGCAGACCAGAAACCTCATAGACACGACGGTATCGATCTTGAGGAGCACCGGGCTGATATCCGAAGCGCAGCCAGCCATGAGATGGGTAGAGCAAGCCAGCAGCCGCGCCAGCTTCTTTGGCACGCTTCGCTTCTAATGCGGCCACTTCGGTGCCCTCACCAGTGATTCCAGCAATGATTGGAATCTTGTTGTCCACCGACTTCACAAAAGCCTTGATGACAGAGATTTGCTCTTCGGTGGTGAGAAAGGTGCCTTCGCCAGCGTGACCAAGCACAACCAGTCCCTTCACTCCTTCGATTCCCCCAAGCCAAGAACCAAGCCGGTGGATAGCTTCGTAGTCGACTGCACCGTCCGGCGTGAAGGGAGTCACCGGAGCCGGGGTCAAGCCACGCATGTCAAAGCCGACCATATTGAATTGAATTGAATTGAATATCAGGTAATAATTGAGAAACTTATGGAGATGGATGATTATTTGTTCTGTGCTGTGCCAATGCCTCCTTATATCTTCTCCGAAACGTTGCAGACTTGTGTTGATAATTTGGCCATTTTCATCGGATTCCCGGATTATCGGATTATCGGAAACGCCCTGCGGCCCCAATGGCAACTGCCAGGGTTCGTGGCCTCCTTCCCCTCAATTGATGCGGATATTGGCACCGGTTGGTATTTGATGTAAAGGGTACTCAACCAATAAGATTCAGTTCATGAGCAAATGAGTCTTCTCAATGGGCTCTAGGTGTGTGACTGGGGCGGATAAAAACCCTATGCTCCACACCTTATGGGTGTTGCGGCAATCCAGGCGCACTGGCCTCTATCTAGCATTTTAGATAACGGGATTGACGAGATCAAGGAATATAACCTTGAAGCTGTCAGAGTTTTCAGTGCGCCAGGTAGTGGAGGCGATGTCGTAGAGCTGAACAAAGTCGGTCACCATCATGGTACCATTGTCTTGAAGAGTGATGGCGACAGGGCCATGCTCTTGACGGGCAGTGGGGATGGAGGCGAGGTTGACCCAGCGACCTGAGCTGCGGGAAGAGGCTCTATTAGTACTACCAAGCAGGCCGAAAGCAGCCAGTGAAATTACAGTAGAACTGTAGCGCATAGTAATGCTGATTTGTGGGTGACAACAAGAGAAAAGAAGGAGTGTTAAAAAATGACTTCCTGAAAATGTCCTGGTAATGCTGAACGCTGGGGACAATGAGATGCCCTAAGGACTGATGAGTTAGAAGTTTCTTATAGCTTGAGATGAAGTACGTATATTGAAAGGTCCGTGATGGTCTTGCAATAGTAGAAAAACACCACTGCTGGCACTGAGTTGAGGACGTAACTCTGGAGGGAGTTGGACTCAGTAGTTGCAGGTTTGAATCCCGCCACTGCTCACAACTCTATCCGTACTAGAACCAGTCCTCCTTCTCTATCTGAAATTTGTACTTTGAGATAGCGATATTTCTATTTTCTGTAGTCGCTACTATCTCTTAGTAAGATTTGATGGCTTTCTTACTACATGTCCCAAACATCGGGAACTGGTAAGTTGATGACTGATTTCTCTATTACTTGGTTCGTCTTCCAGGCTTTCTTGCATGAGAACTCTGTAATTATCATTTGTCTATATTTCAAGGGACACTTTCAACAGAGGACGGCTATCTAGTCATGATGTATTCAGTGTAAGACTTACCTTAGTCTGATAGCAACAGATTCCGTACACAGCGTTCCAATCCACAAGAGTCAGAGAGGGAGAGGGGAAGAGAGAGAGAGAACTGAGGAGCAAGAGAAGGAAAACAGACAAGCCCTCCCTGTTACGCACGGTGCTGCTAGGAAATCTTCATCTGTGGTTGCTTAAATTAGATACGTTAGGATCATCGGGGGGAGGAATCAAGCAATCTAGACCGATATCTAACGGGTTGGAGCAGTCGGCAGGCAACTAGTACCGAGTACTGGGAAATTATAGATATCTATGCCATTCAAAGTTTCCTATGCGAGGCGCACTACTCCTGACTTGCTTCATAGATGGTTGCGAGGCCCCAAAGATTAGAGCTCCTTCTACAACTATATTGGCTCCATACACACACTATATTCAAGTTCGATAACCAAATCCCGAGTGTGCTTTTTAGTAAATTATAAGGTTGAAATGAAGATATCCTGTAGTGGAATGTCCTCCCTAGAGGGGCAACAGATATGAAGTTCAGCCAGAGGTTTAGCTCACATTAAAACAAGTACGGAATAATATCACAATCCTCGTTGTGATCAAATGACTCGAACTTCCCCCTCAGCCTACCACAAGCATTGTTGATCTTTCTAGCCTCATCATTAGACGACTTGCAAGCCCAGATCAGATCCTTGTCCTCACGCAGAAACACCGCGATCGGGGGATAGCACATATGCCGGGGTACCAATATGCCCTGGCTTGGAAGACAGGTCTGTGCACCTAGAATAAGCGTTGCTGACTTCGTCTCTTTCTTTCGTGAGATTTTGTTCGTTGTTCCCTGGGATGGGAAGAAGTACATGTTTCGTGCTTCGATTGAACGTGGCAAAAAGATGGGTTTCTGTAGGGAACAAATATTCAGGTCCACTTTGTCGCCCGCGGGACGGAAGAGGGGAATTCGAAGGACGTCGAGCTTTGCGTTGCGGCTTGTGAAGAAAAGTTGTGTGTCGCTCCACGTCAGGAAGTGAGGGAGACTGGACACGGACAACCTAGGGGTGCTACCAAGCTCAACAGTGGTGCGGAAGACCATTCGCGGCGGGCTATTAGCTGTCTTATGCTCGGACAGCCGGTGTGTCGAGACCTGTAGGCTTAGGAGTATGGACGCTTCTTCCTTGTCTGATTTGGTGGCCTCACGAGCTTCCAATGCCGCGAGGTGCAGATGTTGCCCGTCACCCGAAAAGTGTGCCTTGATGAAGATGTGGCAGCTTCCATAGCCCGAACGACATAGCCCACGGGTGAAGTAGGTGTTCCTCTCGTAGTTGGCAAACAGAATCTCTCCATCGCCCAGTGGCCAGACTATAAGGGGCTTGGATGGGTGGAACACTGGAGGCGAGTCGAATAGCCTGTCTTTGATAAAGCATGTGAAATGGAATACGGGGATGCGTTCCTTTCTGGTAGCATCGTAGACGCGAATGCTTGTGCGACGAGTCCCCTCGGTGCTTGTGGTCTTATTTCCGGTCATCAGGTTTTCGAGTATACCACGGTCTTCATTTTCCGAGCCGTCTTCGCTGCCAAAGTCGCTGTAGTTCGTCGACGAACCGACACTCTCAATGTCGCTACCTTCATAGTCCGACGGTAGCATATCATCTCTCTTTTCCAATGCGTCACTCTCTTTATCTGACTCCCAAAGGTCACTGTCCAAATCATCGTGTAGCTCCAAAGCATTCTTCCTCTCATCACCGCTGCTGTAATCATCGTTGTCGCTCCCGAGGAAGCTGCCCTTCTCTTCGACGTCAAGCTCTTCTTGGTCCAGATTTTCAAGATCCCAATCATTCCATTGCTCTTCGTCCTCCATCTCATCATCTAGGTCAGTGGATCCCTCACTCCAGGAGGTATAAGCCGAATTCCCGGCAGATTCGGAAGAGCTTTTCAAAAGTTCGTCTGTACAGTCCGACACTTTTGTTGCGAGTTCCAGCGCCTTGTCCCTCTCGGACGATGGTTGAAGCTCATCTGGGTCTTCAAGCTTCAGTGAAGACTCAGATGTGATATCAGTGTCAATGGTCCCGCTATCGCTGTCGTCATCACTGCTTTTTGTGACAGTAGTTGTTGGCTGTGTATCAGCGGTTGAAGTTGGGGCGGCCGTACTTCTTTGGTCCAACTCGTTTACTTTTTGTTCTCGATCTTGGATTGCTATGTCCCCAAAATCAATAATTTTCACTTCGCCAGTAACTGCCCCTGGGATTTTCACATCGGACTTAGAGACCTGCCGTCTTGTTGACACAGCAACCATATTGTTGTTGCTGGCCATTTCATCGAAATAATCTTCGTCTGGATCAGTCACAGGAAGGGACGTATACTCATGGTCCACGCCTTTGATAAACAACTGAGACCCAATGCGCATGAATTGTAAATCTTTAGTAAATGAAACCAGACGAGGTCGGCCCGGAACAAGCTCCGTCAAGGGATACTCATAAAGTGACCAGGTCGAGGCGGATGCAAACAGCTCTTGAGTCCTTTGAAGCTCGGACTTGCGACCACTCAGACGCCAATGCTCGCAACAAAATTGTAGCTTTTCTTCGCTACTACTCGTATCAAATTCATCAATAAGCCATCGGCAATGGCAATTTGTGGCTATGGAACTTACATCGATTCCAGTTTGAGTACTGTCAGGCACGTTCCCGTTTCGTCAACCCCTTCAAAGTACCGAATTGGGGTTTTATGCGGCTCAGCCTCCGCCGTAAACATCAAACTTCGGTACCGGCTGGGTCCCTTGTGAAGGTAGTTGTTGGGTCCCAAGGCCCCAAAAAAGCATCTATCAATCTCACCAGGGAAGGCGCCTGTGACACTGGTCTCACGGTCCAACAAAGGCCCCCACTCACCCACAAAGGACCCATAGTCCTTTGCGAAGGGCTCATTGCAATTATCATCCAACCAATGAGGAAATACACGTCTAATATGTCTGCCAGCCCAGGGACGATTAGTACTGTACCAAAAGCGAAATTGGCCTGTATCTCTCATTAGTTAATATGGTTCTTCGCAAGCTAAAAGCTTTATAGAACATACCGTCGACAAAAAGGCTCTGGACTTGCAGCAATGTGAAAAAGTGCGAGCTTCTGATTAAACTGGAGGTTTTCTGGCAATATTCCAATGAAAAGTCGACGCTATCCAGGTGCTTGTCCCAATACTTGGCGGCATAAGAAAGAAGATGGTGGTTGAAAATGTCCTCCCCCTCGTAATCGACGAATGTTTCACCGTCCCTGGTAAGAAGTTGCTGATATCGTGGCTGCAGAAGATATTTTCGGCATATGTCCGCCAAAACATCGTTTGTGAGCGCATATGCTGGTGGGTTGGAGTTTTTTGCCAAGATCTCTGGATTCTTCAGCAGAAAGCTTTTGACCGAGCCATGGGTCAGCGTGCAGATTGAGATGGTGCCGGCTGGCCCATCACTTTCATGAATCTGGACAAGAGGCTGGCACAGCTCCAATACCTTGCTTTTCTTGATCTTTTGGCTCCTATCAATATTCTGCCCTTCAAGACCTTTCACCATCGCCGTGCATTCGCAAAGCTCATCCAGACGTAATGGACGTTTTGCGTGCACAATACAGGAAAGAATGATCCTAGCAGCTCCGAATTAGCCATTCTGCAAGTCACACCGCGGGTGCTCTGAGTTACATACGAAACAAATTCCTTCAGACAAGGCCGAATGTTGTCCATCTTTCTCTGGTAGTACTTTTCATAGCTGTCGGGAAGACCGCCCTCAATGATACTTTGGACCTTATGAAGAGTCACAGCATCCGACATAGAGTCCAACATCAGTGAAGCCCACAAAAAGCATCCGTCGGCTTTCTCGCGCAGATCACCTATGATCAACCTGATGTACCCTGCATCGAACTCGAGGCTCTTCAGGTCCTCGATCTTGTCTAGTAGATAAAGTTCGATGTCGCAACTATTCAAGTCCTTCGTAATCTCAATAGATGGGAGGCTGCTGAGGGGAGCATCGAGACACGTGCGGTGCTGAGAACTGTACCAAATGCGCAGGCGACTTGGCATAGCACGGCTCAGCTCCCCAAAGAAATTCAATACTTTGCAAAGCTCTTTCTTTCTGTTCTCTGTCTCGCACTCCTCATCGAGTCCGTCCAAAAAGATGTAGGTAACCGCCATTTCTTCCAGAAGCATTCTGATCACTTGCTTGACATCTTCAGCATTAGCAGTTGTAGCACCTTCCTGGGTAAATTTGTGGATGTCCTTCGGCATGTCGCCGGTCTGTTTACCCAGTCGGTTGACAAGCTGCTCTGCAAGGCAGCGATAGACCATTAAGGCCGGAAATTCTTCATCAAAAGTAAAGTAATGGTATATGACGGCAGCATTTTCTGCACTGGTCGCTTCCAGCTTTTCAACAGCATATGCAGTCAATACTGACTTCCCAGCTCCAGGAGATGCCTTTACCCATACCTGAGAGGCTGGGCTGTCTTTTTCCATCCAATTTTTCAATGTCGCATGCTCAAATACCCAATCACAAGTGCCTGGGTTTCGTTGCGCCAGCTTGCTGTCACGATGGCGAAAGTTGCTCCCATTTAGCGGCATAGTCCCGTCCCGCAACCACTTTCGTACATCCTCCTGCCTCTGTAGTCTCCTCTCTTCTTTCCGTTTTTCCATCTCTTCGGCATACATTTGGAAAAGCGCCGCTTGTTCTTCTCGCGCGATACCGGCAAGCCGACGCTCCTCGGCTGCATTTTCTCGCTCTCCTCTGTCTAGACGCTCCTGAACGGCAGGAATAAGACGACTCATACTGTCGGCTGTATCTCCGACGCTCGTGATAATGCTATCGAGCTTTTCTGTACTGAAGGGGGCGATCGCTCGAAAGGCACGATTAGCCACGCAGCGGTTACACTCCTTGTCAACCCTCCGCCAAAACCGAATGATGTCGATGTACGATGCTTGTAATAGTTCCCGCATCGTAGCTGAGTGATCGAATAAATCCTCATATTCTGTAAGCACGGTAATGTGTGTGTTCAAGCGTTTGATCTGATCGGATATTTTCTCGTAGAGCTCAAGAAACCTCTGTGAGCAGTCAATCACAGACTTCAAGCAGCCCCATATGATGGCCGTAGGCATGGGGTCTGCCGAGACTAGAGTTTCGACGATTCCCGAGTAGGTATTAAGCACCTGTATAACCGGTCCCAAGATCTTGCGGGCGGCACGAGCAGCTGTACGGTCTGTCGCCTGGCGGTCCAGAAGGAAAAGGTCTTTCTTGACGGCATCTCCAGTAAGTTTTGAGCCGGAACGTTGTTGTTCCTGCAGTTTCTTGAGAAATTGTGGTGTCTTGCTTCTCGCCGATCGGGGTTTGTTGATATATTCCTCTAGCGCACGCGCAAAAGCAGTTGAGCCTGTTGCTCCCACATTTTCTCTAGAATCCTCAGCCATTGTGAGAAAATGGAATTATCAGCAGCCTTGCAGAGGACCAGGATGGTTCGCTGAGATCACGCGAGATAATAACTATAAATAATAGACAGGGTCTGGTCCCACCGAGAGGCTCTATGCTTGGGGCTATGCGCGCCTCACTGCTCTGAGAGAGGATAAAAGACAGACTGCAATCTACCCCGCCAGTGCACACGTCAGACCTGGCATGATGATAGATAGTCACGTCTTGTTAAGCTAGTGTGACCAGGCTGTCAAACTAAAATCTGAGGTGATCCTGCGGGGGGCCAGGGCTAGCGCCGCGCGGCACGGCTCGACACCCTGTCTCGAAACCCTGAAGGGCAGCAAGGTTAACCTCTATTGGCAAAAGAAGGGTCCTTTACAAGAAACTCTCGAATAGCAACTTGGTACCTCCCATTCTCATGATAAAAGAAAGAGTTCCTGCCCACTGAGTTGGGCAGAAATCGTGGCGCGGCTTTGGCTGAGCTGACGCATGGATTGGGAAGGATGAGCTTGAAGCCTTGGATCAGCATCAGCATCAGCAGCCACCCCCACCGCAAGTGCCCCGGCCCACATCCCGTATACGAGTCAACTGTCAAAAGCCTTGTTCTTTCCCAAGCATAAGTTGCTCCGTTCGCCAATTTCATGTCTCGTTCAGCATTTGCCTGTTCTCTCATTTCACATGCCATAGCAGCCATTCTCAGCACGAAAAAAACGACATGGCGGATCAGACGGAGTCCGCAACGGCGGCTCAGCCCTCAGACGGGCCTTCCAAACCATCGATCCAGCGCGCCATGACGGACCGTGGTAACAAGTCTCAGCGTTTGTTGCGCGTGGATCAAATGTGAGATTGGAGACCGTACCTTGGGTCTGGGTATAGTGGATGCTGACCATAGTTCGCTCCAACAGATATAGCAGGTAGCGACGCATTGCGTGAAATCTCGAACAGCCGGACCATTAACATGTATACAGAAAGGACCGACAAATTCACTTCGTTAAGACGGCAAAAGTCAAGGCCAAGCCCGATCGTTTCAGTAAGACTGCAATGGTCGTCCGCCGAGTTATTTCAAAGCAGGGCATGGTCTCCCACGTCGAGATTGACATCCGGTCCCCTCCCCTGCAAGCTTTATTTCGTGATCTATTTAGTGACGTGGAGGGTCTGGATTTAAACAAGTCTCCTCCAATGGTTCGTTAGCTCATGCGGGCTCTTGAAGCTTCACTAGCTGACGAATTTCTCTAGGCTTCACCCGAAGTGTTTTTCTGGGCCGCCCCGGATCTGATGCGCGTCAAAGAAGAGGAGAAGCAGAAGGAGAATCCCAACCAGCAACTTATCAATGATATTGGAACAGCCCTGCAATTCGTCGAAGAGGATTTTGCAGCCCAGATTAGCAGTTTGAAATCGCTTATGAGTGAGAATCAGATCACCTGGGATCTTCTTTGGGCAATCTTCCCACCAAAAGAAGTCATTATCTCACCCCGATTTGGGCTCATGAGTGAAGAGCAGGCCTTCAATTTGAAAATGTCTAGTTACCAGTCACGCCCTAACGGCCAGCAATACTTCTCTGCAAGTGCCAACGTGATCAAACATGACGGTCAAGACTTCGGTAAAGCAACAATGGAGCTAGAAATTGACAAGTATGATGGTGCGCGAACAATAACTAGCTTGAACTTTTTTCCGCTCAGGTACCATGACGAGGAATCCGCCGTGCGAGAAAGGCTCATTGCCCGCGGGCGTAAATTCGTCGCGCTACTCGAACAGCCTGCATGCAGAGATTATACGGCTGCAAACGGTATAAGGGAATATGAACGAGCCAATGGTGACTCTGTGCCCGAGAAGTTTAATGTCTGACCTCTACTCTTATTTGATTTCGGACTTAGGCGCTGACTCACTTACATAGGCATTAGGGAGAGTGATGGTTGACCCGGCTGGTTACTATCTTCATAACACATCGTCGGATTTGAACAGGCCTCATGTACTATCAGAAGGGTTTTTGGATACTGTCGGCTTGTCTGATGACCAATACTTGATCTGTGCCTCGTTCATCAATGGCTTCAGCTTCGCACAAAAGGCTTGGTGCCAAATTTCGGTGTCGGCGTTATCCGATGTAGAATGGAACCACAATGCCTTCAAGCGACTGGTCATGGCAGAAAATCGCCGAGAACTCATCCATGGACTTGTTAAGGCCCATCGACAGGATGATGCGGTCTTTGACGACGTTGTTGCGAACAAAGGCAAAGGCCTTATTGCGCTCCTGACCGGCAGCCCGGGTGTGGGCAAAACTTTGACTGCAGAAGCCGTTGCCGAAGTGACCCAACGTCCTTTGTATGTGGTAGCAACTGGCGAGCTTGGAATTGACCCTGATGTAGTCGATAATCGACTGGGGATGATCTTAGAGATCACCCGGCGGTGGGGCTGTGTCCTATTGATTGATGAAGCAGACGTATTCCTTTCGGCTCGTGGCAAGGACCTAGCGAGAGATGCTCTGGTCAGCGTCTTTCTCCGACGACTTGAGTAGTAAGTAACCATTGGGTAGGAAATTTCGGCCTAGGCTAATACTCATGATAGTTTCCGTGGCGTTGCCATACTCACCACGAACCGAAAGCACGACATTGATCCGGCTTTCAGGAGTAAGACTCCGCTGAAACGTTTGATGCAGCTACTGATGCGAATGTCACAGGTCGAATTCACTTCACCATGCACTACCCGGATCTTGATACTGATAGCCGAATGGAGGTGTGGAAGAATTTCTTAACCAACGTCGCAAAATCGTCGGAGCTGGCTGGATTTACCTCCGACGACTTTGTGGCACTTTCGAGGCATTCCCTGAATGGGCGACAGGTTCGTCAGCATTTGGTCTTTTATGATGACATGTAGACTAACCTGTGCTGCAGATCAAGAACATTGTCTCATGTGCCGTGTCACTGGCGCGGGAGATGCAAAAGAATGTCACTGTGAAGGATATTGAGAGTCTTATAGAAGTGATGATCGATTAGACTGAATTCAGTAGGCCGTCATATGAGTGTGCTAACTGGGGATTTGGGTGGAGCTCAAGTCGATGACACAATGAAATACAACCGGGGGTGGTGATGGAACACATGTAGTTGAGATATATCGGCAGGTGTTAGTAAAACAGTCGCTCGACTGTTGTCTTGGGAAATAAAGATAGACGGGAGAGAAAATGGAAGCCAAAAATGAAATTGGAAAAAAAGGATGACCTACGCAGGACTCGAACCTGCAATCTCTTGATCCGTAGTCAAGCGCCTTACCATTGGGCCAGCAGGCCAATTGATGTATATCTAGGTCCATTTAGTGTTACTTCAAGGGAAATTTAGTTTTCAGTATGAGAAAATGCTGCGCAATACATTAGTTGTGCCATGGAAACAATAAGTAGATGTTAGGTTTCTGGTAAAGCTCCTGCTATTGCCATCTGTAAATCAGTGGTCCTAATTTGCCGGGCTAAATTATGATTGGCTAATTTTACTGGCAATGTCGGCTGCACTGAAACTGAAATATATCTTCGCGTATTGAACTGATAAGCTCCCGGGAAACTGACGGACAGGCCTCTAGACGATGAGCTACAAAAAACAAATGATGTTAGCTGAAAAGCAGCACACTATCCCTAGTCTCGATACCGATGCCCACACATATATTCTCGGACGAGGAAAGTGATACTGTCATTTACTTGCACTTTATCGAAGGCCTCCATGCAGTCGACATAGTACTACTCCGTTTTCCACCTGCAGCCAATGGCGGGAGTAGACCAAGAATGAAAATGGAGGATTTCTTGACGAGAAGCCATAAAAGTAAGCCAAAAGGACGAGCAACAACTTCTTCACCTTCATGCAATCAGACGGACTACCTTACAAACAATCATATTGGTGAGTTCGAACCCACGCGTTCGTAGTATGAGGTCGGATGGGACCCACCAGGCCGAGATTCAAAAACAAAAAAGAATGGGACGAGCCGGGCTTGAACCGGCCACCTCCAGATCTTCAGTCTGACGCGCTCCCAGATGCGCCATCGTCCCTTTTTCTTGAAATTGTTGTCAAATGCTTGCTTTATCTGGCTGGATATCCGTCTGCATCCTACCTGCATGCCACGCAAGGGCTCGCATAGTATGAAAGACTCCGTGACCGCAGCTACACACTACATTTCCAGTTGGAATACACTCGGTAAGTTATTAGAAATAACCCGAAGAGATATAGACGCCTGTTGCATATTTCATAGGTAAAGTGCTTAACCATCTCCAAGTGCTGCAAGAAACCATATACGCTCAACGATGGCCATTCTCTATATATTGGGAGGAAAACAGCACCGGTACTCTCTGAGACACTAGTTAAGATGGATAGTTCTCACTGATCCTTTTTCAAAGGCTCCCTCACAGCCGACAAATACTGTACACAGTCACCATCAGCGCAACCGAACTCATAGCACCACAACGAAAAGAACATAAGCGAACCACTCACCGGAACAACAAGCGCCTTCCCCAGATCCCAAACGCCACTTTTAGCATAGATATCACCGTTAATGAGCTGGTGCACTTCGTCCAAATTTTCAGCCATATACACAAGCATACTGCCCTTGAATGCCAGATCTTTGCCTTCCTCGGGATGAGTGGCCAGCATCGCACCTGTGCAGGTATAATTAATCAACTGTAATGCATGATGAAGGGATCAAGTATAATTAGATGGTATGATATGAGACGAACCACCGGCGACCAGCTTTCCCTCCTGGACGAGAGGGCCGACTCCTTCCATGTGAGTCCTACGTTATTTTGTTAGTGAGAAGAGTTGAGCTAGACTACCTCCAGATGAGATATAGTGACCACTCACGCTCGAACCTTCTTCCTCAGTTCGGGACCCTCAGGTGTATCAGGAATAATGCATAGCCATTCCTTCTTGCTTGCTGTTGCAATGGTGCGGCGGGCGACGTGTTGGCGAGGGAGCAGGTTGGCGGGTAAAGCCCTTGTAGATAGGCGAAGGAAAGACATGATGAAGTCGAGTTCACGTATACTTTGATGATATGTATATTTTGTTATGCTTGGTTTCTGCACTCAGATGTACTTCTGAGATGGCCGTTGAACAGTCACTGGTCGTCGGGTACAAGGGCCGATGCCGGTCCGTCGCGTCGGGGTGACTCCGACGGTCCACCTTATCTTATCTACCGATAATATTAGTGCCTGGATCGTCAGGCAAAAGTGGCGAGAACATTCTATGCCTCGAGATGATTCCCAATCTACAGAGACATTGCTATAACTGTTGTTAAGCCGAATGGACTGACTTGTAATGGCTACATATGGCAATAGAAAGCATGCATATGATTTAACATTTTATTAAGTCGCCTAGTCTAGAATGAGAAGTATTCTATATCTAACAAGACTAAGCCCAGATTCACAAACTTCCCTTATTCCTCCTTTCCAAACCAGCCAGGAACTCACTCTTCCCAACTTCATCATCCCACTTCTTCCTAGGCCTCTCAAACGTCGACGTAATTCTCCCATACGAGACCCCACCCAACTGTGCAACAGGCCTCAACTTCTCTAAATCGATATGACTAAACTCCTCATCCGCCGCACCCTCCTGCACCCAGAACCTCGTTGCTTGAATCAAAACCACCGCAGGGGAGCTCATGCCCGGCTTATGGGCTTCAAATTCTTTAATATCAACAACCTTTCCCTCGACAGAGAAAACCGACTCTTTTACCCTCGCCGCCTTGACAGTTGAACTAGGAGCTTTACCAAGCCCCGAGACTTCCCATTCGGATACCCCATATGGGGCATCAATTGACGTCGCGTTCACTGCCTCAACCATTCCCTCTGAAACGGTGTTGATCACACACTCACCCGTCTCTTTCAGGTTGCGGTACGTATCCTTAACTGCACCAGGACGGGATGAGAATCCGACAATGAACATGGGTGGGTCGTGATCCACGACTTGGAAGTAACTGAATGGCGCGAGATTCTCGGTCTTGCCATCACCGGAGACAGTGCTGATGAAGCCGATGGGTCGAGGTGCGATGCCTGACACGAGCAGTCGGTAGTTGTTTACCATTGGGCGATCTTCAGCGTAAGGATCAATCTCGTGGTGGGTTTTGCTGGAGCTGTTGTTGTTATCGGGCACACCTTGGCCGTATGTCCAGGTAGGATAAGGGGATTTGGTGGTACTGATGGGGGTATTGTGGTCGAAGTTGGGTCTTTGGGATTCGGCTTCGTGGAAGTTATGGTGGGAGGTGACGATTTGGTAGTTGGCTTTTGCTGTTTGGGTGGCGTCTTCTGTTACTGACGTTGCAGCAGCAGTAGCAGATGAAGAACTCTTTCTGGTGTATATAAATGGCGTGACACTAAATGTTCTCTGGGATAGTGTTCTGCCGCATGATTAGTTGGTTTCCTCCTACTGGGCTGAAAATTTGGGGCTTACTTGGCCGTCAGCCGGGTGACGCTTTTAGCTGCTACAGTTGCCATGAGTAGATCAGACTTTAAGTCTCAAAAGATTGTCAGCTTTAAAATTTCAATAAAAAGCAGTATCTTAGTCCGGGAAATTACTTCTATCTTGTCATCTGGGCTGACAAATTATCCAGTATCTCGGTCGGTGGGGCCGAACCTGCGCCCTAACTCTCCGGAACAGGAACCCGAATCAGTACTACGAGATGTATAGTGCTGCGAGTAGAGACTGATAACGAACAGGAATGATTTAGAGAAAGAATTTCTCTTTATCTCATCGATACCTACTGGACCGCAAGTCTAAAGATGTTCAGATGTGGAACCGCCCCATCCCTCATCGCTCGTTGTCTCCGCATTATAATCATCTTTTTACCAGAATGACCTTCATACTACCCAGGGCTCAATGCCGATGGAATTTGTCATGTCGAGGCTGATACGGCGGATATACTCAAGGATAGCAATCCATAAAAATCAGAAGTACTCGGATATATGACACTATTGCATATCACATCTATTGACCTCAGTATCCTTGTACGTGCTCAACTCCGAACGTAAAAAGCAGTCACGCCAGCTACAGCTTCGCCTCGAGGTAGCTAGATCAGAATAAATTTCCTAAGTGTGCCTGTACTCCTCGTCGATCTGAATCAATGCAGCCATCCCATCACGTTCATATACCTCCGAGTCCAAGACCATAACAGCCATCAGGGTTGCCGGTTCCGTCGGACTGGCATTGTCACTGATGCGGTGATGGCAACCCGGGGCTTCATACCATGAGCCTCCCGCAGAGACCACCTTCATCGGGTCCTCATTCATCTTGTTCAGGAGAGTGCCGCTCACGACATAGGCCGAAACTGATGCGCCGCCGTGCCGATGGGGCGGAGTCGATCCGTTTGGGGGAAATTCCACACGCAGGCCAACGATGGTTTTGCCCGGGCAGTTGATGAGCTTGTGTGCGTAGACAACTTCCAGGGCTGGCATGGGACGACTGTTTAAGTTAGAGAAGTTGAAGTAATGGGAGGCGTGTGTAATACATACCTTGGATCATAGGTTGGCTCTTCCATTATTGCGAATGATGGGATTGAGATGTAAGCACGGCTGAAATAGCTAATCTTTGTTCTTTCGTCAACAGGTTACCCCGCCAGAGAACTTGAATATGATCTTTTATATGCCTCAGAGGTCGCGTATGCGCAGTTGCAAAACCCGGGGGATACCCGGAACCCACCACGGGTTGGGTGCGGGTATTCGACATCGATAGCCTATCCGGATTTATCGATAGGCTAATGTTGTCCCGTCCACGCTTTCTCAGATATCCCCCCAACAATCTTGAGGATTTCGATGATCCTAGTTGTATACGAATTGATTCCGACCCCCGATGCTTTGATATTCATCTATTTAACTTAGTGATTACACTGGATTTTCTTCGGAGTTAAGGCGAACAAACCAACTAGCCAACTAATCATGCAACTACTGCCTCCTGCTGCCTCCTCCAGGCCATCGCCCCCTCATACAAACAATTATAATCCATGAACTCTGCCGGATTCATCGCAACCCTCACATCTTCCTCCACTGGCCTTCCCGCCTGGCGACTATACGCCTGAATTGTGCTCGCTCTCTTATATCGACACTCAAAAACCTCGCGACACACTCTCTCCACCTCCTCCCTGGCTTCACCCCCTTCGAACCCCTCGAAGAAAGCCCCCAACGCCTCAGCATCCTCCACCGCCTGACTCCCACCCTGTCCCTGCGTCGGCAGCATCGCATGCGCAGCATCCCCAATTAAAATGGCCCTGCCCCGACACCACGTCTCCAACGGATCCAGATCTCTCAGCTGCCAAAGACCAATATCCTCCTCTTTCCTCGCCGCCAACCGCAACGGCGTCGTTGCCCATTCCGAAAAGTCCGCAAACGTAGCAAGCATCTTCCCTTTATCGCCTGCCGTCATCCAACTCGTGGACTCCTCATCCCTCTTCTCATCCGGCACCAGCGCAACAATACTATACACCGATGCATTCCTCGCCGGACCCATAATAAGTCGTCGATCAGGACCAACGACCATCGTTGTCCTCGCAACCCGTGGATCGATCACATCCACGAAGCCCTTCTCAGCAACCAACTCATCCGTATCTACCATCATGCGATACGCACTCAATCCTGTCGTCTGACCGGGCACTTCTCTCCCCAGTACAGCGCCCCTTATAACGCTCTTGATTCCATCTGCACCGATGATCAAGTCCCCTTTTAGTATTTCCCCGTCTTCTAACTCAACCACCCCATCCTCACAATTACACCCCTTTACCCGACTCGACACCCGTAACGTAGCAGCCCGCCCCGGATACTCATCCGAGGTAGCCCGATGCTTCAGCACCTGATGCAGATCCACCCGGTGGTACATCATCCTATCTGCGCCATACTTGGATGTCACCAGGGGAATGCGTGTCTGCAGTTCGCCACGGAGATTGTATACTTCGAACGCGGAGTCAGCCATTGAGCCCTGCTCGCGGAGACGGTCTGCTAGACCCCATCGCTGTTCGACAATCTTGCTGGCGTTGGGTTGGAGGGAGATGGTGGCGCCGATTTCGCGCGACTGGGAGGATTGTTCGAGAACGGTTATGGTGTGGCGGTCGGAGCGGAGCGCTATTGCCTTTCCTTCTGTTAGTTTTGTATATGGTGGAGAAGGAGGTGTGTGCATACGGCTGCTAGGCCGGCGATGCCGCCTCCGACTATAATGATATTGAATGTCATGACGATGGTTTTACTTCAATTATTTGAGTTTTATTAATTTGAGCAAGTGAAACGAGAAAGGGAGAGGTGATTGCACCTTTTTGTTAATATCGTTCCATCAAAGCGGTCTCCAATGTCGCATACCCCATCTCGGCGACGGCCGACCCTCGGCGCCCATCTCGGGGCGCCCCGAGCCCTCCGAACCCTAGTAAACTCGGCCACCTCTCGGCGCAGTATATCACACTACAATTGAACCAAATGACAATCTGACAAAGATCCACATCGATGGAGATAAGTACGGACTAAATTCAGCACCTACATCAATCCACACTCACCCATACTTCACTGCCAACATCGACACAGACGGTATTATTACAACGGGAACGAACAAAACACCAAAATGTCCACCACAGCCACTATCACCACCACCACCACAACCACTACCACCGCGGAGCATCCCAAAGGCCAAAACCGCATGCTTCTCGATGGCAAACCCACCAACTACGGCGACTTCCGCGACGCGCTCAACCGCGATGGTTACGCCGTGATCAAGGGAGCAATTCCACTTGATCGGGCCAATGGATACGCGGATGCATTTTACTCGTACATGGAGGGATTGTAATCATTCCTTTTCTTACCTTACCCCAATCATACTCTCCTCTTTCTTAAACTGAATACTGATTGAATGTAATGATAGTAACCTCGGCTTCAACCGGAACGACCCCAGCACCGTCCGACGGGCCAAACTGCCCGTGCTGAACGAGAAAGGCATGATACTCGACTATGGCGTGACGCACGAGCAGTGGGTGTGGGATATTCGCGGAGAAGAAGGGGTAGTGGATGCGTTTAAGAAGGTGTATGATGATGAGGACTTGATTGTTTCGTTTGATGTGGTGAATGTGGGGTTTGCTAAGTATGTCTCCTTCCCTTTTCCTTCCTTGATGTGCTGGATATGTGTTGCGATGCTAATATTTTGGTGTGTGTTGGTAGTCGGGAGGATTTGCCTGAGAAGTGAGTATACCACCACACTATACCATAAATGAAGGAAGGGAATACTGATAAAGAACACAGCAAACCCTGGCCCCACCAAGACCAAGACCCCTCCAAACCAGGCTTCAGATGTACGTCTACCCTCTTCCTCTTCCCACCCTGTCATTTGATTCCACAACCACTGACAAGAAATAATGGGCAGGCTTGCAAGGCCTCGTCAACCTCCTCCCCAATGGCCCCAACGACGGCGGTCTAATCGTCTGCAAAGGCGGGCACGCGCTCTCCGCACAATTCCACGCCGAAATGGCGCACGAAGAGCGTATTCCCGCCTGGACGCCCGAATGGTTCGGGTTCACTGATGCGGGGATGAAGTGGCTCGCGGACCACGGGCTTAAATGGGAGAAGGTATGTGCTGAGCCTGGCGACTTGATTGTTTGGGATAGTCGCACGCCGCATTATAATGTGGCTCCGACGGGCGGTGTGGATCGATTGGCGGTATATACGTGCTATATGCCTGTGGCGGAGGTTGAGAAGGAGGATTTGGTGAGGAAGAAGGGGGCTTTTGAACGTGAGTTGATTTATTCCCTTTTTTTGGTGATATATGGGTTTGGGGGTGGGATGTGCTAATAGAGTGGTTGGTAGGTCGGTTGGGAACGACGCATTGGCCGCATGCGAAACATGTCTCGAAGACTAATATTGCCATGCGGGATGGGAAGCCTTGTCCGGTTGCGAGGGAGAGGCCCGTGCAGGAGCCGGTGTTGAGTGAGAGGGTGTTTAAGTTGACGGGGATTCCGTATTTGGAGAGGATGGAGGGGGTTGCTGCTTAGGTTGCTGTTTAGATGATTGTTAGAGTCGCTCGCTGTTTGATTATTGTAGTTTGTATTTAAATATTACATTTCTTCGTTCTTACTAGTTACAGTTGTTACTTATCTTCCCTATGGAGAACTACCGTATATCAGGCATTGATCCAGGACTATCCAGGCATCCCATCCAATTCCACAGTTCCTCCACATTGTATCCCTCAAAAGGAAATACTTGATCCACATTGACTCCCTCCGCGACGAACCCATCTAACATTGATGTGCTGGAAAATCCTAATGAGTCTAGATGGTCATGTCCTTCATGGTCTATGGCAGGTGTAGACACAGCTGATTGCATCACACGCTGAGATTGGTATCCACCGCTGCTCTGTTTGTGCAGATCGCTTGGCTGCATCACTCCGGTAAGCCTCCAAGGTGGCAGCGAGTCGTCAACTGCTGGCGTGGGAAGCGGATTAAGTTTTGCGAGACTGTCACGACTTTGTGGCCGCCTTTTGGCTTCTGCAGCCGACCAGGACCGGAGATGGGCGTTGCATTGTTCGTAGATAGCCGCGATACCTATCTCGCTTAGTTGGTTGTGTCTGTGTTATGCTTCGTGCTATCATACCTTCTATAAATCGTGGGTCGGGGTCGTATCGAGATAGGTGCTGGCTACTATACTCTAAACACGCTTTGAGAAGCTGTCCTCGTCAGTACTTCATTCTCAGCAAGGTGAAGCGTATCTTACCTGCAAATCCATGGCCTGCAACCGAGAACCTGGATGCTTAATCAGGAAGATGGCCAGCACAATGCAAGCCAAAAGGGACGGTCCAGCCGTAATGATCTGCGAGTCTGCCTTGCGTTCCGACAGCTGGACACTAAGTTTAGCAATCGCTCGAGCGCTGCTCACGCAGATTGACTCTCCATGACGCATTCGAAACTGCGATGGCTCATCGGAGCAATACCTTGCCACTTCTTCCTCAAAGCTCAATGTCGGGGCAATGAGGGCCGCGCGATGCAGCGAGATCAGCGTGCTGTGGTACTGGATGGACAGAAACGCGGCTGCATGAAACTCTTCGTCCGCGCAGAAGATATCGCTCCCCGGACGCAGGTCACTAGGGACCCGATTGGCCCAGGACAACAGTTCGCGGTCAAGTCGCGCTGTATCCAAGAGTATCTGTCGTACATCCCTTGTCCCTGATTGATGGCTGTAAAGATGGTCACTGATGTTGCCTTGGTATTCCCCAAGCTCGACGTGCCACTGCAGAAATTTACTCTCTCCTAGAGCATCCTCTGGCCTAGGATGCTGATATCCGATGACGGTTGGTCGTCCCGATTCCAGATGCATCATCTTTTCCAGGCACCAACAGACTGCCCACACGCGTCGTTCGATATTCTTTCCTTCGGAATTGGATGTAGATGTCCGGTTGATCCCCAGTGTATAAGCAGTCCGAATGGCCATGCCTAGTGTTTGCCAGGCCAGACCTTCCTGGTTCCGTCCGCGATATACCATGGTGAAAAGGAGCAATGTCTGCACCGTCGGGAGATACGGGATGATAATAACATGGGCCAGTAGACACGCCGCTGCTTGCAAGTAGCGATCACCGTCCACGGTTGCGCCCTGGCCTTATCTCGTCTGCTCCTAGGCTCATGATCAAGTACGCTGACACGATTCGTGGGATTTGCTCGCGCGGAAGATTGGTGAAGCCACCCGCCGTGGCAAAGAGGTCAGTACCCGCACGGAGTCGGGCTGTATTGAAGATAGGATACAGAGGGTGTATGCGAGAGATATAGGCGGATAGATAGCGTTCTCGTCGGTCACGGTCCGGTAACTCCGGCAAAGACAGAGATAAGGGCAGGTCAAGTTCCTCCGCATGTCTCATCCCGTACCGGAAGCAGCCCGATACCGGCTTGAGACGGGCAGCCTTGAAGTAGACATCGAGAGATTTCGCCAAACATTGCGAACTACTCCCACCCATGATCTTAACCTTGTCGGTGCCATGTTCCACATTGAACGAGACGTCGAACGGATGATGCACAGGTGAGACCTCGTTTGGCGACAACTTCGGTGGGGAGTCAGTCGCCTCTTGGTGATTCTGATCGCCCACTGCCGGATGCTGAGGCTGATCTTCGTTCTGAGGGGTCTGTTTGTCCGGTATATCCAGCCATTCTCGAATGCCAGTCACTCCTGGTCGCTGAGGATCGGTGGTGATACACTGTTGGTTGCGCAGGCGGCAATTGCGGCACTTGGGATACTCTGCGTCGCATTTGACCTTGCGCTGGCGACAGATGTTGCAGGCCATCGACAGCCGCGGCCGCTTGGAAGGCCTGTCCATGATGACTAGGGGGGTGATTGCATTCTGCGAGTGTGGCCTGATGTTAGCTTATCTGGTTGCTGGGGAGGTAAATGCATCATGACAGCTAAGCTGGAGCCTGCTCCAGGTTATTTTCCGACCCCCACATCGGCCCCCGCATTTTCTTTCGCATCATCAGCTCGAGTGCTAAGTCTGCTAGTCTTTCTTCTGCTAAACCGACCAGGTTATCTGCAGGCCCGAGCCAGCCTCGGGTCCAATCGGGCGGCAGCTGGAGGATGCACTATCGATGATTGGGGCCGAAATCGTGGGGTCATGGGACTCGCGGGCGCCAATCAGGACGGAGGGGTTGAAATGCAACTATCCCCATATGATATTAATTCAAGTCAGGTCGGGGTCCATATCAATGACAGAAGACAGTGTTATGGGTTTGCCTTAAGACCTCAGGCAGAGAATATCTCCATAGTTATCTGCTCAAGCACTCTCCACCACCTTTTCATCACATCCACCACATCTCGAACGTGACACAATGCCCACAAAAATCCTCATTCAAATATCTCTCGCAGCAAGTATCTGCTTCCCTTTCTATATCCCCTATCTCCGATCCAAACACCCCCCACCTACACCCCATACACGCAGGTAAGTCACACAATCCTACACAATTGCATACCTACTATACTATACTGGTATACTAACTAACGACCTACCCATCAATAGAACCTACCCTGCCATGGGACCCTTATTCCACCTCTACTGAACAAACAGCAACTCTTGAACCCATTAAACAACAAAAATGACATTCAACAGTACAAAACATCAGCATACTACCTCTCTTACCACAAATAATCCTTATACCTTAACCCCACGACCAACCCACCACATTAACAAAAGATCAATCCCTACGAACACAACCTGACAACCAAATCCCTCTCCGCACCCACAACCCTAACCTGACTCCCCCCAGCCGGCACCCCATCCTCCCAAACAATACTCTCCTCCCACCCTCCACCTCCCCCCTCACCACCCTGAACCGCCCTAACCTGCACACTCACCCTCCTTCCCTTGAATGGGTCCCCATAAACATCCGACAAATCAAACCACACCTGATTCTGCCCTTCAACAAAGTTATACGCGAAGATGGTCTGTGGCGCACCCGTATATAACCCATTCCGGAGGGTCGTGAGCTTGATGCTCACCCCGCCGGTCTGCGGGTCGTGGTGGTAGGGTTCCGTGTAGTTGGAGTATTTGGTGCTGGCGTTGGTGTTGTTGCTGCTGCTGGTAGAGGGTGGAGCTGCTGGGATGGTAATTTGGGGGCCGACTGTGCTGGAGACGGACCATGCGTAGATGGGAAAGGCGCAGGTGTTGAGAATTATGGCGTGGCCCGGGGTGATGGTGGTTGTGTCTTGGAGAGTGGGGTGGGTGGTTGTTAGGGGGAGGAGGAGGGTGAGGAGGGGGAAGCTTTGAGGAATGGTGGGCTTCATTTCGATGTAGAGATGAAGAGGTATGTGATTGATTGCGGCGTTGATGATAGGATGTGTATATAGATGAGCGACAGGGTCGAGACGTGGGATATATACGTCTGTCTGACTGGAGAGATCATCGCTGGCTATAATGTTGGTTGCACATTACGTCTGGCTGCAGGTACTTGTGCCCTGAAGGCTCCTAGCTTGAGCACGGTCATGACATCTCTGCCGGTGCTGTCACACTGGTCCTCCCCAGAGAGCCGGATGGGACACACAAGTGCGTGATAGATGGGACATCGTGTGACGTCTGATTTGGAAGAGATTTTTATTTCGCCGTCTGAGGATGCCTCAGCAGTGTGTGCTGTTCAAACGACCAAAGTGATCAGGTGCATTAAGCTAGATGGACATCATAAGGCTCTATTCATCATTGTCAGCAACAGCGAATGCCGCCGTGGAACATATATTTACACAAAAATCATTAATATATACAATAAAAACCTGCATGTACACCCCGACCCTCGCTCCACACCATCCCAACCGTCACTTGTGCGTCAGAGCAGTGTCTAGAAGTACGCCATGGCGGATGTCCCCAGAGGAACGTTACCCTTCCGAGCAACCACTTGGAGCCAGTTGGTGCGCAGTCCCGTCACATGCGCCGTGGTCTCAAACCCGTTGCGCTTGATCGACGTGACGAATGTCGGGTCGACCGCATCTGCCGACGAGGCCGTATAGATGGCCCAGTTGTCATACTCCGTGGCCCCGTTCCAGCTCATAAACAGAGTGGCCGCATCCGACGTCGTCCGGACGATCGCCACCGCGGGCTGCCAGAAGGGAGTCGCCTTCCACTGGCACTTGTAGCCGCGGTAAGACGCCACCGCATTGTCGTCACCAAACTGCGCCGTCATCACCTCATTGTTGTGGGCGTCATATTCCTTGACTTTCGCGATGGAACCGTAGCCCAGCACAACGTGGGACGTCTCCTCACTGAGAAGCTGGTAGCTGCCCTGGCTAACACTGTGTATCACGTCGCTCGAGTCTTTCAGCGTGCGCAGCGTTGACACCTTGCGGTTGGTTAGGTCAACGTGCAGATTCAAGCCGGTGGTTGCGTCGACAGTATCCGTGGGTGTGTTGGCGTTGTTGAACAAGCTGATCTCCATGCTGTCTTCCGTCTGGTGGTAGACACGGATGTCGTGCTGCCAGGAGAAGATGGCACCGTCATCAATTTCAAAGTCGCCGGCATTGCGCTCACCCTATCAAAAATTAGCTGGTGGGTTACAACCAAGAGCTAAGAGATTTCACTTACACTGAGCTGCCACATCACTGTCCCATTGTTGTGGACATAGAAGCCGGACCAGTAGTGACGCAGCGAAATGATGTATCCTTCATTCATCAGCTCGACCGAGTTGATGTGGTAAGCGTCCCATGGCTTGTCCTGCGTTCCCTGATCTGCTCCCAAGCCCTGCTTGGAGGCCTCGAGGGGGATGTCCTGAAGGTGGTCCAATGCGCTCCACTGATACACAATCTCGTTGGTTGCGATATCGATTTCGAAGAACATGCCGTCAAGCATGTAGTCGTCTGGTTTGCCGCCGATGGAAGACAAATCGTGCTGGGTGACGTTGTAGGCTGTGACTAAGAGTGTGTTGCGATCCGTCACATGACTCTCGTGTAGATCGATGTACGAATCTCTAGGGGTGCCGTCGGGAGAGACGAAGTTGTCCTGGAGGGTGACGGTGTAGATTTCGCGGTAGGTGTTGTCAAGAATATGAACCGTGCCGTATCCAAAGCCCAAATCCATCATATTTCCGGCCCAGAAGGTGATGACGTCCTCGTTGAAGAGTTTCTGCACCTTGAAGTTGGCCGTTACCTCCTCCGGCCCTTCGTAGACCAACTGACCATCCTCATCGTATATCAGAGCTGCCGTTCCTTGCGGCTGATTTCCACGGGGACCGACGAAAATATATCCAGGGTCTGTTTGGCCGGACTTGGTGACCTTGATTTGGGGAGGGGTGTATGGAGCGGTGCGGTAGGAGTTGTAGGGGAAATTATCGGCGGCTGCTTGCGTGGCCAGCAGCAGGGCGCTGCAGGCGGCGAAAAAACGACGAGCCATGTGGGAAGAAAAGCTGAGCGCCTAAACGAACGGTGCGAAAATTAAAAGGGTCTATAGTATATAACCAAGCAAACTGAGTGCGTTGAGCGAGCGACTAGTAAACCCCTCCGACTAAGGGTAGGGGACTCGTAGGTAAAGTGGAAGTGGGTAAAGGATCCCACACACAGGGAGGTGTCTGGTAACAAGGCGCAGACACACAGGAATAGGCTGAAAGAAAGAAGCAAAGAAAGAGGCGCTAGAATGGACAGAATCGAAGAAAAGAAGAAATTAACGGAAGATTATAATGGGAGGAAAAAGAACGAGGGACACGGCCAGGCCGCCAGATCGGCCAGGAGAGATGGAGACGAGAAGCGTAACTTGCTGGAGACCATCCCGGCAGAATGGGGGATGGCAGCCACCTTTCTTACCGGATCCGGTAGGCGGAGAACAGTATGGGTTCCAGGCACGGGACAGACTGGCAGATAACGGCCAACTATTGGCGGAACTGGGTGGCCGATCAGGCTGGCGGTGGGAATGGCATCCACCCCTCCGTTTGGCTGTTTGCCTCTGGTGCATCCACAGGCCACGCACCCCTCGCCGCTGTCCGCGGCTCTCAATGGGCCCTGTCACCCTTGACCAGGGTCCTCATCTGCTGTTCCAGCTGCCCATTTATTGTGACCGTCCCCGATCGTCTCCCCCAGCCTCAAATCAGTCAAATGACGACCCTTTCCACCTCACGATCTCCCCACTTGCACCCTCTGCAAGACCCTGTTTATCCTGCCCTGTTCGCTGATCAGGCCTCGGACTCACCACCACACACCATCTCGAGGCAACTTTAGCCGTGAAACTGGACACAACGGGCATCTCGCTTCGACGCGGTTCACCCAGGTCAATCCGTGCGCTGCTCATCCTCAGTATGCATCTCGAAGCGAAGGTGCCGCCACGGCACAAGTATAATGACGGATCAGCAGGGGACAGAGTATGTCTCGGAGTTATCAGGCCATCTGCAGCAGCTGCAGAGGACTCTACACAGAATCCTGTCGGATCTCTTATCTATCCAGTACTCACGCTGTAAAGCTTGGTTGATTAACAGACAATATACAGGAAACGGCTGTTTCACCCTACGCTCCTGTCATAACTTATACGACGAATGAACTGTCCATCTTTAACTACCCGCCTTTCGCTGCATGCGGAATATCTGTCTAGTCAACACACCAGCACAGTACACAGTACTACTCTCAGGGACAGCTATGAAGCATCCATACAATAACTAGATAACAGGCTGTTTCCCAAACTTTAACCCCCGCATGACGCATCCAAGCAGCAAGATTTGGGCAAGATTTACGGTCTAGTACCTGGGCGGAGAATTAATTTCCGCTCCCTTTCCCGCAGATATATGACTAAGCGGTCCCGTGACCGAGGTCTTGCTGGCCTCAGGTCGGGATAACTGTTGCAGGAGAAGCTCAGACCTTCGCTTAGGCGAAATTGCCCACGGCAAGGGGTAGCAAGGTGAACTGGGCGACTGCTGGAAAATTCGCGTCAAGTGTATAGAGCCTGCGAACTACCAGCTTCTTTGACCCGAAGCAGTGCCTAATTAACCGGCTCTCGGAAAATTTCAATTCTCGAGTCCCACTGCCTGCATGGACTTATCACTGTTAGCACTCAGGCCCTTTCATGAAAGTGACTTCAGTCAATCACTGGATCGCTCCGTTGGCGCATCCTCGAAGTAAGGCCTCAAGTCACATCTTGACTAGATGGTGTCTGAGACACGCCTCGTCGAGTATGCTGGCGGATGCTAACGGGTGAGACGTTCGTACATTTGAGAGAACAATACCTACAAGTGTAGTTTACACACTCTGTCTGAACCATGTATGTCTTAGACTCTGCTCGTCGTGAACTACAGATCAACTCCGATGCCAACCATAAACGGAAGACGATACATATCCGGTTCTGTGAAGATATTATAAGGCCAAGTAGGAGAAAACACAAGGTCACTTTATTATAGCTCTCAATTGAAAAGAGATCATATCACTGATGCCCCTCAACCAGCCTCTCCTTCCCCTCACTGCTCCGTGGGCTAAACGAAACCAGATAAATAGACTAGATTGGGCCTCAGTTATGTAGAAGCATCCGTAAAACTACATAAATTGGGTATAGAGATCAAATCAAGCAAAAACTTAATCATCAGCGTACATGAGTTTTTACACGATACATTGTCAATTCGAGAACACAGCAGAACTCCTACCAATTACCACAATCTCAAAACCAGGTACTAGTTACACCTTTTCCTTTATCCTCACTGAATATCCCATTCCATCTGATGAATCATGTCAATGCCACCCATACTTGTCTCTTCATCCTCACACCTCGCGGACCTCAACCTGTCAGGCACAAGAATGACAGTATCACCAACCTTGCATACCAGACGGGTCTCCTGTTCCAAACATAAGCCATCAATTCTCCATCTAACTCCCTCCCCACAATCACAACATCTACCCTTATTTCTTTTTGTGAGAAATTCCAAACATTAGCTAACGGTAAGCTGTCACATATAATGATATGTAGTTAGATTGGAGTAGTAGTTGTGGTAGTGGTAGTAGTAGTACTTAACTAGTACTCAAGAGGGCTAATTGAGATCTCCGGCAGAAATATATATATCTTATCCTAATGGTAGTATTTGCACCTTCGGATCTGTCTTTCTTTCTTCCCATATCTTCTCTATCTTCATTCTTCTAGTCTTGTTTCACTCGAATTCTACTAGTTGGCTCATGTACTTTGATTGGAAGCATGACGGAAATATATTCCGATGCTCTCTCTGCCTGGAGTGACGTTACTGGTGAGCATGAAATACCGCCTATTATTACCTAATGACCTTATTAAAAGACAAGAGACTACCTTATTATGGTCTTCACTCAGTGAGAATAACATTAAGGGTATTTTTGTTTACTGAGAGGATAAATTATGAATCACGTAAGAAAAACCAAGACATTATTAGTCTATGAAAGCCGTAATCTATCGTCTATACAACAGCGCTAGCTCGAAACTGTATGTACAGGAAACAACCACATATAAACATTACGTACGGGGTATGTTACAGATTTTTTTTTTCAAACAGCAGCGCACGCCTGCTGGGTCTTGCACATGCGACCCGACTCGGCCACAGACCAGTACTCGCTACCGGCACCCTTGGTGACGTAGAAGACATGGTCGGGATCATACTTCTCCTTGACCTCGCAGAGCTGGGCGTAGTTATCGCCGAAGAATTCCTTCTGCCAGTTCTGCTGACGGAAGCTGCCCTCGTTCTCGTAGGCGCCCGAGCCAGGGGTCACGGCCTCGAACTGGGGAATGTAGTCGTGGGCAATGCGCAGCTGGTCGGCGACCATCTCGGACCAAGGGGCAGTCTCGTTCCAGGTGGAACCGAACTGCATGGTCACGGCGGCGTTACGCCAGGGCTGGAAGACAGCGTTGGCGGTGTCGTTGGAGTTGGTGACGTTCAGGCCGACGCCGACGGCGATGAGACCGTCGGAGGTGATGTTGCGGAGGACGGAGACGAGATCGGCGGCGTTCGAGGTAAGGGTGTCACGGGGGAGGAGGCGGCCGCCGTAGTTGTACTGGCCGACCTCGAGGTTGCCGTAGGGGAGGGGTCCCATGTACTTCTCGTAGTGGTCGTAGTAAGAGGAGTACTGGGTGTAAGCGACGGTGTACTCGATGCCCAGGTCGGTCAGAGCAGAGAGGAAGGGAGACAAGATGGTCTTGACCTCAGCGGTGGTCTTGTTGTAGGCGGTCAAGGGGTTGATGAGGAAGACCTGGTTGGTCATCTCATAGATGACGGTGGTGCCGGCATCAACCATGGCGGGCAGCAAGGTGTGGAAGCGCTCCACAGCCTCGTAGAAGAGATCGGAGGTGATGTTGGCGATGGTGAATTCGAGCGCAGCACCGGAGATGGTGGCATCGGGATGGGCCTTGACGGTGAGAGAGGTGACAACACCGAAGTTACCGGCACCACCACCACTGAGGGCCCAGTACAGATCGGTGTTGTTGGTCCGGGAGGCCGTGATGACCTCGCCCGAAGCGGTGACAACCTCGAAGGACAGGGTCTGGTCAGCACCCAGACCGAAGGCAGTGCTCAGGGCGGAGTGACCGCCGCCCATGGTGTATCCACCAGCGAGGCCGACAGTAGGGCATTCGCCGCCGACGACAACAATTCCCTTTCCGTGAGTAGCATCGAGCACATTGTAGCCCGTGACACCACTGCCCAGCTTGACAGCCGAACCCGCGTAGGTGGAATCCGACCACTCTGTGATTTCGACGTCGTTCAGGTAGTGAGTCCAGATGGCCAGGGCACCAGCACCGGTGGAACGGCCAAGGTAGCTGAGAGATGGATTAGCATCCTAATCTACATGATTCAGAGGGGGGAAAAAATGAAACTTACTCATGACCGGTGTTCCTGATCACGAGACGGATGTTGTTCTCCTGGGCGAACTTGACCGCAGCAACAACATCATCGGTCGTGGAGACGTTGACGGCGTAGCTCACGTAGTTGCCAAGCAGGCAGGGCCGGGACTCGGGCTGGAAAGGATCACAGCTCTGGTTGGCAAAGTACGGTTGCATAACAGATGAAGAAGAGACCAAGCTGAGATTGACTGACGTCAGCATGGTTTAAATTTGGGAAGTGGAGGAGGGGGTGCCTTACTGAGTCTGCGGGTAGTACCAGTCATCCTGCAGGTTCGTGCACTCGGCGCCATTGTAGTTAGGGTCATGGCAAGGAGTACCAATGGGAACAGTCGCAACCAAGCGACCGCCCACAGTGTTGTTGAGGGAGTCCCAGCTGGAGGTCGAGGGCCAGCAGCTATCGCCGGGCAGGCAGTGGCAGTCGCTAGAAGCGACGGCCTTGGAGGCGAGAGCAGCGACAGATGCTGCAAAAGACCAGGAAGCCTTCATCCTGTAAAGCTAAGGGAGGACGGAGGGGATGGAAAGAAAGGAAGTGACTGGATTGAGTGAATAAAGTGACGATCCCTGCGGAGGGACAAGTACTTTATATGCAAATTGATACAGCAGCCGTATCTCACGATCAGGAGGAAGCTATTGAGCCATCATCGGACATGTTCCCCAAGTGCGTAAAGTCGCGGAGCAAGCGGTGGATAATTCTACCACCGCGGATTAGCCGGACGCTGGGTGTGGCAGAGATACTAGAGCGATGGCCAGGAACTGGCCGAGTCGCCGAGGCAGATGGTGTGGATGGATTTAGGGAATTATCTGGCCGACACAGGGGCCGGGTTATCGTCCAGGCACACACGATCGGAGAACGACTTCCAGTTGGGCGATGGCACAGTGGCACTTCCTCCAGGTAATTTCGGGCCCCGCTCGCTAGAGTGGCTATGAGGCGTGGTATTGGATCAGAATGGCACCATGCAACCTCCAGAGGGCAGGATTTAGGCTTTCGGCGAGCACTGGAACCGGACGAAGTGGAGCTGTGCTAACCGTTTTATTGGCAGGTGGCCGATGGTCCGTCTAAAAATGAGTACCGCGGCGGATGTTCCGGGGATTCGACGAACAGACGGTGCCAAATCCATCACACGCTGCCGACTGACTCCTTCGGTTTGCTTCGGTGCATGCTAGCGAGTCCTCTATGGTCTGAGATAGAAAGACTTGTCGCTGACATTTCTCGTGTCTCTAGTGCCGCTATTTTTAATTCAAATCTGCCTTCCCTCCCCCCTGCTGGTGTACGTAACTCTCTCCGACCAGAACACCAAAGGTTTGTTCCTGAGTGTGTCGGCTGCGACGTCTCTCAACTCTGGAATGTGGCTTGAAGTTGGCCGAGGAATTTTTTCTCTCAAAGTTTGACAATGACCCACCATCAATTCAAACAGACGTGAGGGTCCCGTACCGGTCGCTGGGCATGGTGAGCTTAGAGCAAGGGATCATCTCTCTACCATCCCCCGTAGGGCATGGGTAGATCTGCATCAAGTGGGAAGACCATAACGGTCATTTGATTATCTTCAGTGCCGGCTGCAGAAATTCCAATAATTGGAGTACCGGCAGGTGAGGATCCTGGTCGCATTCTAGAAATGATTAAGGATGAAGCCGACCCCTGTTCCCCTCGTGGCGAGTGCATCCACTGCTGCACGCTAAGCGCCACCAGGATTCCAGTAGTAGGGTTGAATTATTCATACCCTGGGACTCTGTTCCCCGGCGACGTCTGCCTATTGGGGAAAGCTTTGTCCAATTGCCCTGGCCAACTGGGACAACAGTCTCCACTATCTTTTGCGAGATTTGTCCGTCGGGTAGCCGGAGCACCCAGGAATTGGATGGACGAAGGCACCCAATCTCCCTAATATTATGTTATCTGCGCCATGGATCCAATATTCCAGCCATGCACGAATCTGCCCAGTCGGCAGCCATACGGGCTAAGGCGACTCTGAAAGTATAATTCCCCTGGTGCCGAATTCTTGTGGGAAGTAAGTTAGTTCCACGATAAAATAAATATACTTGAGTAGTCGCATCTGTTCTGTCAAAGGATGACCACCATCGTCGCGGATCTCTGCCCGTCGTGATGGGTTCCAGCATAACCAACCCTTCCGGACTGGCCCTGGAAAGGGGCATGTGGGCTGCAGTCGCAATAGCCACCTTTATTCTCATTCTTCGAATCATTGCGAAGATCAAAATTCGCAACTTTCGCATTGACGATGTGTTGATGATCATAGCCTGGGTAGGACGACCTCCTCTCCCCCCGCGCTAACCATGGGCCCTTGTGTCGCATCTCTGACCATCTGTGTTTCAGGCACTGACACTCGCATCCACGGTCATCTTGACACTTTCTGTACAAAATGGCTTCGGCACGAACCTCACCAAACTCCCGGCCCATAACACCTCGCAAGTGCTGAAATACATCGCCTTCGAAGTACTTCTTGTGACCCTTAGCACCGGCATAGCCCGCTCCTCATTCGTCCTCTACCTGTTGGCTATTCTTGGTGGAAAGAAGAAATATTGTGTCGCATTATGGATTGCCATGGTGCTGCAGCTCTGCGCCAACATCGTCTCTGCAGTGCTGCCACTCTCCATCTGCCGCGACGCCCGAATTCTGTGGGATCCGACCGTCAAGACAACATGTGGCAATAGCGTCGCGGTGGTTAACTTCTCCTACTTCTCCTCATGTAGGTCTTTCCCATCCACTGGCTAACTCCCACGGGACTGAGAGCTGACGATGGGTGCATCTAGCCGTCAATTCTGCTACCGACTTGTTCCTGGCAGTGTTCCCAACAATCATTTTCTGGAACCTGAACCTGAAGATGCGGATCAAAATCAGTTTGATTATCCTGCTCAGTCTCGGTATAGTGTCAGTATATCCCTGCTTTTACTTGTTGACCTGTCAACTTACGCGGAGTAGTGCCATGGTTGCCTCGATCATCAAGACTACCAAACTCGACGAGGTCCCCAGCATCACCAACCTCGGTGCTGGCGGTGCGGTGGAGCTGATTCGCTGGGGATTTTCGGAGAACCTGATTATTATTATCACCTCCTCCGTGCCCTGCATCCGACCTCTGCTTATCTCTTCTGTGAGAAAACTCTCCAGTGCGGCGCGTTCTCGCTCGTACGAACTCAGTGGTCCGTTCTCGGCCCAGAAGGGAACCGCGAAGAACGGCACCTCCCAGTCTCATGCGCAGGAGCAGCCTAGTACAGACAATCGCGATGACTGCGACAGTATCGAGCAAATCCTCAAGGATAGCTACCACTCGGGGTCGATGGTGGAGTCCGGGCGCGGCATTAAGAAGCAGGTTGAGATCTCGGTGGTGTCGAACCAAAAGAGCAGCCGCTGGGGTGGTGACCGGGCGAGCCGCTCATAGCGGACATGTTTCTTTTGTTTGTTTCTATACTATTGCTACTATCACCATTACTACTATCTGTCTAACTTAAGACAGCCAGACGCATGTTCACGAGTTACGCCAACTTGTTCCTGCTACTTAATGCCATATAATGAGTTCAGACTTCTACTGTGTGCCGTATATCATTTTGCGGAGCCCGCTTATTCTCCGGACCCAAAGTTATCCCTCTGTATCTACAGAGTACCCTCTTCTCCAGAGATCTCTCCACATCGCTCTGTCGGGAGTGCGTGCTTCTGTACCATCATTAGACACCGGGGGAATTACTCGGTTAGGCAAGTTTTCCATCGCCTGAACCCATGCCTATTTTCATGTCGGTCGGCGTACCGGAGTGAGACATCGATCCGGGCTTACGGTGAGCGAGGAAGCAGGCTATATCCTCCTCCTCAATAGTGCGCTTGGCCGGCTGAACCATAATCATCCTTCATCGCTTAACGACTCATTCCTCGCTACATTAGGCAAGCATCCGAACGTCGGAAAAGCGAGTCGCACACTCAGAACCGTCCAGACCTGTCTCAGGATTGAACCACGGTTCAAGAACACGGAAGTGGACCCGGCTTCAGCTGACTGGGTGTCGATGCCGACTACAGCGACTCCACCCATTTCTGTGAATCAAGGCAAGATCGTCCAATTTTTGGGCCGGATCGGGAACGGTCAACCATGAGGCCCTGGCGGCAGCTCTTTGGACGTGACTGGCTAATCGAAGTCCCTTATCTGGCAGTTCCCGGTTATGCCAGTGATCGGAATGCGTTAGAAGAGATGCAGACCCCTGGATAAAAGTACCGTAGTCCCTTGCTAGCTCGATGTCTACAAATTGTGAATTTGTGGGAGGGAATGGGTGGTGGTGCTAGCTTTGGTGCTTGCTCCGGTGTGGCGCTGAATCGATCACAGGTACACCTTGCTTTCAGCCTCTCATGTTGATCTACGCAGCAGGATGTCTTGGAACTCTTATCACAACTCAAAATATGGACAATGATCTTGGTTGTGGCAACGGTTCGTTTCAAACGTCCACACTAACCTGCCACATGTAGATCCTACCCATCCATTATGGGGAGGGAGTCCGTGGCCGCTCGACAATCATGTCGATCACTAACCCAGTCCAGCGACTGATTCATTTGCGACTGCCATGGCCATCAGCTGCCTTGATGAACGACGTCAGGACCCTGGGGTGATTGCCTGGTCAGGAAGAAACACCGTACAAGACTAAGATGTTGTATTTGCTTGTGACTGTTGTCTTCTTTTAGTTGCTAGTTGTGCTGCGGTGCAATAGCCGATCGTCATACAGTCTCAGGCATATGTGAACTGATCTAAAATGAGGAACGATATCGCAATAAGCAGAAGAATGATTAGATGGTATGTAATCAAGAACATGCGGGTTCAGTCAACCGAGGCAGCGAAATTGTATACTGGAATGCCAGTATGTTGGCTGAAAGGAGACTTGGAGATTTCCCCCTAGTGGGAGTTTGAAGCCACACAATTCCGTTGACTAAGCATACTATGGAGGAGAATATTAATGCAAGCTTGCATAGATGACAGAGCTTGCATATTTTTGTTTATGCTTTTTCTAATGCCTTAGGAATACATGGCTCTGTGATCGCACGTGACCCCGATGCTCACTGACATAAGCGTCTGCTTACATCAGCCCGGCCCTGGACATGTGATTGTGAATCCTGCACTATACCATTTACGGTGATGATTCGGGCAACGTCCAGACCATTTTGGGAAAGGAGGCATTTGCTCCGGCTCTCCTCCAGCTCCGATCTGAGCTGGGCGCTGCCTGATCGATCGCGACACAATCTGTATACAGAAAGACCTCCAGTCCAACCGCATTTTGGAGACCTTGGATACTACCACTTCCAATGTTGCTGGACAGGACAGAATGCAACCGATGAGGGACCACTAGCGGCCCCGCTACGAATCGTAGGAAACGATTGCGGCCAGCCAGTGAGTCGAAGTAACCTTAAGTCCCCTTAGTTGGATGGAGTGCATGCTGACTGGCTTGATCCCTCATCGCTCAGTCCACCAATGGTTGCATCTTCTCGCTCCCCGTCCGCTGTCGATCACCACGACATTTTGCGGGGTACCGATCCTAGCCCTTCACCATGTGCGCCATGTCGAGATCTCAATGTACCGCAGCTGTCTCATCTAGATGTCGGAGACTCTGGCGGAAAGGAGGGCCAAAGAATTAGCGATGCAAAAAGCAAATAAAGATCTACTCCAGAACCTAGCTTCACCGATATTCAAACTCAGTCTCTATTATCCGATTTGGAGGGCCCGAGCCGTGTCGTCACAGATGGCTAGCACGTCATCCGCACCAGCTGTTGCCCATCCGGAACCAACCATCGTCGCAGAGTCGCAGACATCACAGCCTGACGTCCGGACTTGGCTGCCCTCCCCTCCGCTAGTGCTCCAGTCGAGCGCCCCCGGGCGGGGGTTTATTGCCTGATGACCTCTTTCATCGATATGTCAACATAAGAAGATCTTCGCACGGACGCCGCATACCTGCCATCTGATTGCACAAAAGCAAGGGGCCTACCTGCAGGCGCCACAGCTGACGGGATAGTCCATTACTTGTTGTATCCCGCCGAAGCTTATAGTTGCCGTGTAGCACGCGCAAGCGTGAATCACGCAACAACGGGGGTCTGCCAGCTGAGCCACCTAGACTTTGTTCTGATCGTCATAAATATCAGTGCTGGCACTGACAGGTTATTTGGCTCTCTGTCCCCCTTATCTCCCAATTTGGCTCTCACTGCTCCCAACCCGCACCGAAAACGGTCGCTTTGAGGATCAGTCTTTCACGATGGGTCGGAAATTGGGCCTCTTCCGTGCTATCTATCTGGTGTCTGCCAGCTGCATGGGCTCTTTTGCCTTTGCATTTGACACCGGTGTTATCAGTACGCTACGCTCTCTTTGTTGTTCGTAATATGTAACGACGAGCTAACCAGAAATTGGCCAGGCGGTGTTCTTACTCTGTCTTCTTTCCAAAATGACTTCGGATACACAGTGGCTCAGAAAACCTCTGTCAACTCCAATGCCGTGTCCATCCTCCAGGCAGGTGCCTTTTTCGGCTGCTTTTTCACGACACCCATCGCATCCTACCTAGGCCGCCGGCTCGGCCTCATCATCAGTTCCCTTGTATTTACTGTCGGTACCATACTACAGGTCGTTAATTCGCATACTCTGGGGACGTTCTATGCTGGTCGAGTGATAGCTGGTCTTGGTATCGGCGCCGCCACGGTGCTAATTCCCGTGTATGCGGCTGAAATGTCACCCAAAGACCTACGTGGCCGACTCGGCTCCTGCTTCCAGTTGTTCTTTGCCTTGGGAGTTATGGTCGCCTACTGGGTCACGTATGCTGTGTCGATAGACCAGCCGTCCGCAACAAAACAATGGCAAATTGCATTGGGCTTGCAGCTTCTCCCTTCGTCTCTTCTTCTGTTCGGTATGTGCACGGTTAAGGAGAGCGCTCGGTGGCTCGCCTCCAAGGGCAAGATCGATAAGGCTAGAGAGTCCCTGAAATGGGTCAGAGGCGGAGAAGAGACCGAGGAGCTCCAGCAAGAATTCGATGAGATTTTGGCAGGTATTGAAGAAGAAGCTCGAGTCAAACAAGGCTTCACCTTCCGGGAACTGCTGCTTCCCGCAAATCGCTACCGGCTGTTCATCGCCTTTACGATTCAGCTAGCGGCGCAACTTACCGGAAACACGTCCCTGGCGTATTACGCCACTCAGATCTTTTCCGCCGTTGGTGCAGGAAACTCAAGTAAGCTGGTGACAGGCTTCTTCGGTGTGGTCAAAGTGGTCGGTGTCTCTATCTTTCAGATTTTCGTTATGGATCGCATCGGTCGGCGATGGCCGTTCATGATTGGCGCCGCCGCAATGGGATCGTTCATGCTCATCATTGCCTGCATTTTGGCCACGCATCCGACCAGCTCCAGCGACACCGGAAGCGCCTCGCCAGCTGGAATCGCCATGATTATCATGACATACTGTGAAGCTTTCAGTTACAACATGTCCTGGGGCCCTCTTCCCTGGCTGTACGTGGGAGAGATTTTTTCGAGTCGCACTCGTGAAATTGGCGTGACCGTCGGCGCAGCGTCACAATGGCTTTTCAATTTCATGATGTCGCAGGTCACGCCGCATGCGATCGACAACATCGGATGGAGGATGTTTCTAATGTTTGCGATTTTCAACTACGCGATTGTTGTATACTCATATGTATTTCTGAAGGAGGTGCGTCTTAGGCCCCATACTGCATTACTGAGCAATTTACTAACAAGGAGCAGACCTCCAAATACTCTCTTGAAGAAATGCAAGGCGTCTTCGGTGGCAGCGACCCTGCCAAGGATGATAAACTCACGACTACTGAAACAGCAGATAAGACACATACCAGCGAGGTTGAGGACAATCAAGGGACCAGCAGTGCAACGCCAAAAGAAGGATAATCGATATATTACTTAATTATTCATGATAATGTGTGCATAATAGAGACGAAGTGATGGGACAATAGCATTGCACAGCCTACGATAATGGCGAGGGTCGTCTATACACAGTGACATTGACGTGGCATCATGATATATCATTTAACAGACTTCAATATCATCACAACACAACATCAACCATATCATAAATCGGAGACTCTACTTTCCTACCATTACAAAGAATCTGGCCTGACGGTGGCTAGGCAGAAACTAGGCCAGATCCGTCATCCTGTTCCTGAGGCATCAATTACTGCTGAAATGAATACCTGAGGCAGCAATGCTAACTAACCAATGAACTTACTAATGCTCACAGTGCAAATCAGAGATAGATTCTATAACTACACACGAAGTGTTGATATACAATCCCCGTCCATTATCACCCATTCGAAGCACCAGAAATCCTCTCCTACGCCACATCATCCACCCCACCAAACACATCCCACGAGAAATCCAACAACTCCATCGCCGACTCGGGCTGAGGATCCATAAAGAAAGACATGAACTCAGGTGTAGCATTGGGCTGCTGCACCGGCACATAGTACGGATCATTTAAGACCTGCCCTGCCCCATAATCATCAGCAGTGATGTCATCGGTACTCGGCCTATCATTCAAGATCGTAGTAGGCAAGTCCACTATCGATGGCTCTTGAACGCTGTTTCTCTGCAAGGTCCCGCTATTCCCTGATGAAAAGCTTGCCGATGGTTGACCAAGTCTCCGAGCAAACCGCCGCATCGTAGCCCTGGTGATGCAATCTAGTACATCGCGAGTTCGTTTCACTTCAAGCCAATATTCTCCGGCGGCACTGAGGATGTCTGAAGCGGACTTCAGTGAGTGTAGGACGGTGTCGAGGGTCGTTTCTTCCTCTCCTAACCCGTTTGGCGCCCAGATACAATAAAAGAGGGTAACCGTGCACAGGAATAGCGATTGGACGATCGTTCGGTTATAGTGCAGCGTACTGGTAACATATAGCTGATGGTAAAGTCCTGTGCATTGTAAGGCGGAGTCGAAGCATAGTTTAACCAAGGACCTCGAAGGATATGGGAAGAGAGGACTGGGGCGTACGGCCAACATCACTAGCTCGTGGTATTTGATCTCGAGCAGACTGTTCATGTAGTACACTGGGCTTTGGGGAGGATGGTGAGGGATGGCTGCTTTCCACTCATGCAGACGGTGGAGCATATCTTGTTGCCAGTGGTTGGGGTCTGTGATGGTGGGCTGAGTGTAGGGGGGATAATTTCGGTCGATGCAATATAGAACGCATTTGATCTCGGCGCTGAATCGGGCGAGTTTAAAGAGGTGGATTGCGCTGGACATGTCTTTTATTGTTGTAAAGGATTGTTGAGTCGGGATCGGTTGATCTGGTTGTAGGTCCTCGTCGTTGATGTCGCGTGGTAACTGTGATGATTATCAGCGTCTTCTCTCTTGCAGTAATTGTGGGAAAGGCGCAAGATACTCTTAGATCGCACTGCTCATCCATAATGCCTATCGCCCTACCGAGCGAGGTGCAAAGGTAGCGATCCATCGTATACACGCACCAGAAGACCCGGGTGCGCATCTCTTGATCAAACTCAGTGAAGGCAGAGCCACGAAAATTGCGATGCAAACCGAGTTCCAACACGTGAGCCAGACAGTGATAATGCAAAGTCCACAGACTGATTGCCGAGGAAGGATTGTGAAACGTGTACATTTGCAAAAGCAGCATGCACTGTACGCCGCGCACCGACGACTTCTGGAAGATGGTGTCCAGATGGACGATAGCCGAGGCACAGTATCCTTCTGCTGAAAGCAGCACTTTCAATTGTCGTGATCGAATAGTGGCGCCGATGGCCAGGACCATATAGATCTGGAATTGATCGATGGGCAGGAGTTCGATACCATTGTAGGCTCTTTGCAGAAGCTCCAGGTGAGATGGTCTATGCAGAAAGGGAAATTGTCCATGAACCGCTTGGAAATATGCCTGGGTCAACCACTGGGCCTGGTTTAGATCAGATGGCAGGTCTTTGGGCTGAATGTCGAGAAGTTCGGCAGGGATGAAGTTGGTTTCCCCGGATGGGGATACTGATTCTGGTGCCAGTTCGGCTCTTCGTCCAAGGCCGGTCAGCACGAACCTGGTGAAGAATAATCCGCTGGAAGGGCCTAGATAACGAAGATCTGCCTCTGCGTTGATCGAGATCAGTCCGAGCTGATCGGTGATATCACGGGCTGGGCCCCAGTCATCCTTATTGTTATTGGTTTGGGAAGGATGTGCTTCCGAAGCAGAAGATTGGTTCGATACTCTGCTGACCGAGCCGCCATGACGACGATCCAAGCGAGTACTTCTCTCAGGCTCATCAGGTTTGCAGAGGTCAAAGTGTGGCAGGTGCTCACGGATGATGGACTCTAGCCATTCGATTCGTGCTTCTAGCTCATCGACGTAACTAGATTGGAGTTTTAGCACTTAGATACTAGTAAAGTACTGGGATCAATAGTCGGGTGGCTTGCTTTCGGGAAATGTCGCGGAACGAAACTCCTTCGACGCAGTCCACATGGGCTCGTTGGCACCCCCCACAGACGGGAGTAACCCCGTCGCACTAGAAGATATTATTGACTTAGTGCTGAAGAGGAGGGATCTAGCGTATGCCACCAGACCAACTCACTCGGATTTTCCGTTTCTGACACCGAGCACATGCGGTCATAATCCGGCCTCGTGGGGCCGTTCGATATCGGGGATGTCGGGCTGGGAGTATTCTCTTCCTCTGCATTGTAGCAGTCAGCCAGATGCGCTGTAGTAAGTAGCAGAGACTTAAGAAGGGTTCAATGATGAAAAGGTTGGCTTGTACATGATATTGTCGGTGATGATTGTCCGATGTCATTAGAAATCATGCATGTGCTTAGTCAGCAGACTAAGCAGAACACAGCATTCACCACAAACTATACATAATTTGAGGTTCTCCAATGTTCCAATACGCGTTTTTTCTTATCTGACAGATGAAACTCCGTCATTTGGCGCCTCATTCCTGGTCTCGTAGCCTATCTCGCTGTTCGTCAAGCAGTTGACGGTAGTAAGACGGGTAAAAAACCCGCAAGTTAGGGCAGGCGGGGGCGGACAATAAAACCCGCGACGGAGAATACCTCCGCAACAGTAGACAGACAGACAAATAGGCCTATATAATACCTATATATTCCTCTCTCAATCTCTCTTTCACTATTTTATCTTCCTCCATGTTCATCCTTTGATCAAAATGGCATTGACATACGATGTCTTCCGCGGCTCTCCCGAGGGCAAGATCGTCACCGACAAAGTGTCCAGCGACCTCGGATACAATGAAGTCTTCATTGAAACCCTCGTATCCGGCGTATGCGGAACAGACGAACACTATCTGAAGTCGGACCAAGTCCTAGGCCACGAGGGTGTGGGGATCATCAAGGCCGCTGGACCCGGTGTGCAGACGGTGAAGATCGGTGATCGCGTGGGATTTGGTTTCACTCATGGGATCTGCGCGCGATGCGATAACTGCGCGAGAGGTAAGATGTGGCATTCTGTTAATTCATTAGCAATTTGATAGTTTATGGTTATGTGTGTTGAATATACTAACATAACCTTGCTGGGTGTAAAAGACATGGACCAATTCTGCCGAGAGAAGAAACAATACGGCACCAACGATTTCAACAACGGCAGCTTCAGCTACAACGCCATCTGGGATGCAAACTGCGTATTTCCCATCCCGGACGAGATAGAATCAACCCACGCTGCACCTCTGATGTGTGCAGGGGCAACGGTGTGGACTGTTTTGACACGGTTCGACATGCGTCCCGGTGATCGGGTCGGAATCCAGGGGGTGGGCGGACTCGGTCACCTGGCTATCAAGCTGGCCGCTGCTATGGGGTATCATGTTGTCGTGCTGTCAAGTTCTGAGGCCAAGAGGCAAGAAGCTATGGAGTACGGCGCGTCGGAGTATCATGTCTTTCGGGCAGAAAGCCCTCTCCGGTCGTTTAAGCCTCTGAAGCATCTCCTGCTTTGTGGGAGTGGTGGCGTGAAGTATTCCTCGTGAGTGGCTCTGCTGTTGCTTCTGGTGATGCATGTGTCGGATCGTGTGACTGACTGAATGTGTCGTGGACAGTATCCTACCGCTCATGGATAGTCCTAGTGCGATTTATCCGTTGACTGCGACGTTTGAGGCCTCACCCATCCCTACCCTGGAGCTATGCTTCAAGGGCTGTAAGATTCAGGGCTCCTTAGTCGCTTCCCGTCAGAGTACACAGGCGCTCTTGGAATTCGCAGCGAAGAAGCAGATTTATCCTACTATAATGACGTTTCCGTTCACCAGCGCTGGGATCGAGGAGGCGATGAGCCAGTTGAGGGATGGAAAGGTGCGCTATAGGGCTGTGCTAGTTCGGGAGACATAGGTAGTAAATACTATCCATCTACGTACCTTGAATAATATAGCAGAGTGCTGCATACAAATTACATGTCGTGGACAGTAAATGTGCCAAAGGAGCTGGCGCGGACCGCATTCGACAAGGCCCTAAGCAGCGCCGCAGCTCCCGCCCAAAATAACCCTACTGTTTTGCTCATTACACACGCTAGCGTGTATTTTGAAATTCCCAAAGTTTAGCCTGTCATTTGCTTAGTATCTCATCTTCTATTCTCTTTGATTTTCTTGTAATCTCTTTCCGAATGCACTATATGAGAATGATCAAAGGTAAAATTAGCACATACGACCATAGGGTGTGGAAAATAGGGCTTCCCGTCCGCTCAGCCGTACTCAAGCCACACGCCGGGAGGTTAGTAGTTGGGTGGGTGACCACCAGCGAATCCCTTCTGTTGTATGTATTCTTTTCTCTTTATTCTTTTTTGTTGTTGGCTATTACTCTTGGTTGCACTGAATATTGTCATTGAGGTGTCAAGAAGCACATGGCGGGCTCGTATGTGCCTTCGCTGTACTACTAAACTTCCGACATATATTTGTGGTTCCGGTTCCAGCTACCATATATCTCATCCAACCGCACCATATCCTATTCCCAGATAATACGTCCGCTTTATCGAAATGCTATTTCGGGATCAGGGTCCAATCTACCACCACTTTAATACTTTGAAGGCTAAATAAATCAATATCTCTAATAGCCCTTTGCATAGATATAATCTTGCTATCGTTGCGCTTCACTTAGTGCGAGACATGTCGAGAGATCAATTAGTACCGAGCGTTAGGAAGTCTGAGTACACTCAGCTGCCAACTTATATATCCAGCTTATTTGGAGTTAGTAGCGACAAAACGCAGACACGAAGCACAAATCAAAAATTCCATTGCTGAATCCAACGCTCCATCATCTCCGGGGTAATAGGACCCATATTACGCAACGTCTCGCTTGCCAAATTAGTCCTCTCAGTATCATACGAAGGCCTAGTCCATCCGTGATTGAACAGCTCCATTATCTGTCGATATAGCGGCAGTAAAAGCCGCGTGGGTATAGTTTCTGCGCTTCCTCCAGTCAGTGATTCATGTTTTTCCACCTCTGAAAGCCAAATATCAGACTCGGCTACTTCAGCCGCATAATGCTTCTGAATGACAGGTAGGAGAGATTCCCAACGTGTCAAGCATGGGTTGACAACGTTGAATGTGATGTTGGAGTCAACCACACCACTTGATGATGATCTTGACTGGAATATTTCGCAGATGGCTTTGGCTGCTTGGTCCTGAGAGTGTGTTAGTATGGTCCGGAATAAGAATGATAATTGGTAGTCGACTTACCACAGGCATCCAGGTTACTTCCGCCGGTCCCAATGAATTAGGTACTTTGCGAATTAGCTTGGAGCTGTGCATAATTGAAGGAAGCCACTGGTTTCTGTCCCAAACCACCCCATTGCCACTACTACTGCCTGCAATCTGCCCAATCCGGTAGACAGTGGTAGGTAGGCCCCACTTCGTGGATGCAAGCCTACACATTTCTTCCGCAATAAGCTTTGACTCAGTATATCCAATAGGCCACGGGGAGGCCGGCTTTTGGCCGGGACCTTGGACATTAGATGATGAAGATTGTGTCTCCTTGGCATATAGGGCTAATAGTGAGGACATGAAATGGATATGGGGCCGGTATTGACAGCGCTGACTGAGCTCAAATAGACGAGAAAGCCCCCGGATGTGTATCCGCTCGAATATATCAAATGCCTTGGAAAAGCTCAGCTCCCAGGCACAGTGAACAACAATGTCTACTGACAACCTCAGTTCCTCGTACTCTGTATCCGGCAGACAGAAAATGGCGTCCCCGCTTATCACCTTGGTCGCTTGGCCAGTACTTCTTTGGACAGCCACCTTATTCCAGCACCACTTCTTGTCCAGACGTGGCTTAACTCTTGCAGTATTGAGCGTATTACTTGCAATGAGCGTCCATGTGACTCTCAACCCATTCACTACTCATCCTTTTGTCAATGGATGCATGGCCTTCATGTCCATATACTGGATAATGCGCTTCATAGAACTCACAATGATTCGCGATCTAAGCAAGTCGAAAAGGATCCGTCGTCTACCCTTTTCGCCCTTTCATCCAGCTCCTGCGTATACATGGCAATCGTATCCGAAAGAGTTGGGCTACGAGCGCATTCTATGGAAGCTTGATCTTGTTATCAATCCGCGCGCGGTGGCTTGGAGTCATGGTCCTGCCGATTACCGCCCACCATTGGATATTTTTCTCGGGCAGGAGGGGAGATCCTTAAGGTTGAACGTCCCTGGACAAGGCAGCAAGAGGGCAAACAATCTGAACCAATCGAGTGAAACGCAGTCATTTTGCTGGCTACAACTCAGACGTTTTCTAACCGCTTACGCAATTGCGGACTTATACAAAGCGTTTTATTATTCTTCCGGTTATTCCGTGACGTCTCGGGCCCCCTCCGAATCTTGCGGAAAGATTTTGATCAAATAGCAACACTTATTTGTGTATATGCCTTGATAGATGGTGGCCAGGCGATACTTAGTTTCATCGCGATAGGAATCCTCGGCGGTAGATATCTACATGCAGCAGGGGAACCATGGGCCTATCCCCCCCCTATTCGGGCCCTTCAAATTCAGTCTCGGAGGTATGTATATGCATCGATTCGCATTGATTTCAATTACTCTCTCATACAAGATAGACTATGGCTAATAATATCTCTCATCTCTTAGCTTTGTGGGGAAGCTTTTGGCATGGCCTCTTCCGCGAGACTCAACTATCCATTGCAACTTGGCTTGCCCCGACAACAGTGAAACATCCGGTTCTGCGAGGCCTCATGGTAGCTTGGCTATCATTCATGATGACAGGCCTGGCACATTGCGCTTCCACATACGCGATTTCACGAGATCTATGGGCCGCTGGAAAGCTCTTTGTCTGTTTCATGGTTCAGCCACTTGGCCTCGCAATACCGTATATATTAGGCCGGAATTTTCGGCGACCAGGTTTGGCCTGGTTAGTGAGTAATCCCAGAGTAAATAGGCTGGTGGATTATGTGTTCACATATGCCTGGTTTCACTGGACCATCCCTCCGCTGTTAGATGATCCCGCTTTGGTGGCTCTGCTCACGAACGCGCCAATTCCTGTCAGTTTAGTTAAGTTTGTTCAGCAGTATCTGTCACGGGCATTGCCGTGGATGAGATAAGAGAAGGGCAATTGGTCGGATGGCTTTAAATTCTGTGCCTAATAACCGAAATTAAACATCTTTAACTCAGTTTAGGAGCCTCTGCCGGTAAGGTCTCCGTGATAGGGCTGGTGGGAGATCTGCCGGCGGCGATGACATCACGAGTCTCCACTTGGGATAAGATTCAACCATCAACCTTAATTGTTCGAGGTTCACCCCTGGCAGGATTGGTGAATTCCTCCAGCTCCTGGGAATCCGAAGGGAACGATTCACAAGATTACACCTGGCGAAGATGCAACCAACCACGTCGGAATGAACCAGACAAGCGAGGCGCCTCTCTTCGTAGTGGAAGAGGTCATCTGCGCCTACCCTATCAGCACCTTCTACGACTCGTGTCCGCGCTATCTCTTCTATGCCCTCCTTCTAGCCACTTGTGTCACTCGCTGGACTGGCTGGCTCGCAGACGTGTTTCTGGGTGCGGCAGCAACATACGCCGGAACCGCCGCCATCCAAGCATTTATTCTCGTCTCCAATCCGGCGAAACACAACCCATACGAATCCATAACAATTCCTTTCGTCCCTGATAACACATCGCTGTGGGACAGCTTCCCATCTCTAATCACTGGAGCCGATCAAATCGAACTAAGTCCGGCTGCAATTGAGTTAGATGCCGACGCCGTCCTGGCCATCGTAGTCACGGCTTATCTCACATTCCTCCCTCTGCAGTGCTGGTCCCGTGCCTTTTCCCACGAAAGGGCCCGCTATATACTCTTCGCTCTATGGCATGTCCTCATGCTCGCGGGGTCCATCTGTGCCCTGGTTTATTGGCCGACTCTTCGCGACACCCCTATTCAATACACTTTCTGCTACCCGGATCTTCCACCCATGGGCACCGTCTCTAGCGATGGATGGGAGTCCTGGCAGCGCACCTCAACCTGGAACAACAGTGTCTGGGAGATATTCAGCAATAGTACCATGTTCGACCAGCTACCAGGCGTCTGCTTCTATCCCTACTTCAACACAACTCAAATTCTGCGCCAACAGACCACGCTCGAGGCGACCGTCGCCACGGGCGACTACCGCATCCACCAACGAAGCAAATTCTGGAATGAGGTCGTCTACTCCAAACGTTACATATACAGTCTTATCGTCCTCACTGTTGTTGTTAACTTCTTCCTTCTGTTATTCAAGATCATCCCATATCGCTCTCGTCTTCCCTCTGCCCAAGTACGCAGCATCTGGGCAGAAAGGAAGAGCATCTTCAACGGGTTGAGGAAGGACTTTCGCTCCGCGATCTACGTATCTCAGCTTCATCGAACCGATCTGATGGACTCGACGAGAGAGAAGCTCTCGGTGTGGAGACCTGCTGGGGGTCTCTTTACATTACACGCCTTGGGCTCGTGGTTGAGACTTCTACTTGATACGGTGATCCTCTGTGCGTTGGTATTTAGCATCATCGTGAGCCCGTTGACGGTCATTGCTTTCGTGGTTTGGATTGAGTATTATATCCACGAGGATGGTCCGTCACAGGAAACACCACAGCAAGTAGGGCAGTGGTCGCCATTGGTGTCTATTGGGTTTTTATTGATTTCCGCGGCCATATTGAAGCTGAAGTACTGGGTGGCTTCGAGGGAAGAGTTGGAGGAGGAGATTGGGCATTTGAGGGGGAAGTTGAAACGGTTGGAAAGGCTTAAAGAAGAGAAAGTGTATGAGTAGTGAAATTACAATCAAATGTTACGCCTTCATCTTTGTAGACTCATTGTCATTGAAACAATTCATGGTTGAACCTTCCTCGTCAAGTTCTGTCGCTTCCGTTTATTGGACCGGAACTAACATATTTATATTGGCACTGCAGTTACTGGAGAGATCCTGACTGAATGTGTTCCATTGCGATGTGTCACATCGAAAGCCTGTCTAATGTGTAAACATCAATATGGAGATGCTAAATATGGTAGCAATACATGCTGTGACACCATGAATTCTTCAAGATACTGACATGACTCCAAATCTATTCTTATTCAACAAGCTGCGGCATGCCAGTAAAGTATTGATTCTGGAATGCTAACTCCACTCATATAGTTATTACTAAAGCAAGTTTCCATAACAAGCCCGGGTGGTCTAGTGGTATGATTCTCGCTTAGGGAAAACCTAAGCATAAATGCGAGAGGTCCCGCGTTCGATCCGCGGCTCGGGCCTTGTATTCAGACACTGCAAAGTGTCAGCTTCTTTTTTTACCTTTACGTTTTATACTTTACATAGATTTATAACTATTCTCCTATTGCTTCTTTCTATTCTCAAGATAGATAGATACTCCTCCCCACCCAAAAAACCACAACCCCGGAGAAAGAATCAAATCTTCCCCCCCTCGGGAATCGCCAACAGCGCACACCCATCATTATCACACCCAGCATACGAAACCTCATTCCCCCACCAATTCAAATCGACCTCCTTATATTCGACGGCAAAGAAAATAATAATCGCCGAGATAGCCACTCCGCACGACATCGCCGTCGTGAACACATACGCGTACTTCTCCCACCACGCCTGCCACCGTCTCTTAATCCAGTAATTGAAAATGAACCCCACCACCATCGGACACCACGCGTACGTGACATTGTACGGCGCGATATCGCAGATCCCGTAGAACACGAGTGGGATGTACACGTATCGGAGACCGGAGCGCGGGCGCCACTTGGTGATGAAGTAGAAGGGGATGGGAAGGAGGGCGCCGACGAGGAAGCCGTAGAGGAGAGGGTTGTAGATTTGCCCTGAGCCGAAGAGGCGGCGTGGGCCGATGGCGCCCCAGATTACGGAGGAAGTGTAGAAGTCTCGGGCGCCTATGAACTTAGTTAGGTATGTGGGGATATGAGAAGGAGGGGTAGCTTACTGGCGCAAGTGAACTTGTTCGGCTGGGTGGTAGAGCACACGTCCTCGATGTTGGCAAGGGCCCAAACATTTACTCCAAGAGACACGAATGCCCCGACGATGGTAGCCACCAGCTGGGCTGCGAACATCACTCTCGGGGGAATCTTCATATAGTGGCCCAGTTTCAGATCAGCTACGAACTGGATGGACTGGGCACAGGCGATGTATCCGAATGACTTGAATAGGAGGTTGGCGACGGGCTTGCCGGGGATGGCGTATCCGCCAATGAACTCGGCAATCACGTTGTTCGTGACCTCGGAGTTGGTGATGGCGTAGACCATACCGTATGGGATCTGTAGCACGAGACACAAGATGATGGCGAAGACGATACCCCAGATGGGCATGCCAGTGTCGTATTTGGCCACGCCGATGCAACCAAATACAAAGGACACGGCCAGCACAGCCAGGTACCACCATTCGGGAACCTCCTTGTATCGCTTCATCAAGCGATTGTGCACGTCCTCGTGCTCTTCGCGCGCGCTGGCCCACTTCCATAGGGCTCGGAAGCCCTTCATGATCTCGCGCCGGTTGTAGAGCGCGACGTGCACGATCGTGGCCAGGTACATGGCGAAGAAAAAGAAGAACATCACGGAGTACCCGGCCGTCAGGTAGGGTTGGCTGTAGCCTTCATAACCCTCTAGGTCGAATTCGCCCTTGCTGTTCAGCACGCGGGTGACATTGTAGGTGTTGCCGGTGTCATCGAAGACGTCGTTGCTGATGATGGGGAAGTAAGCGGTCTTCCACACATTGCTGAAGTATATGGGGGCGATGACGCAGAAGGCTCCCAGGATGGTACCGATACCTATGTTGGCCAATGCGTAGAAGGGGTAGATAATCGGGTCATAGAGTGCGTAGACGATGTTCCAATCAAAGGTAGGTAAAGGGTTGAGGCCAAGCCCGGTGATAGTGCCACAGATGAGCGCTAACTTGACGTTATCCGGGGCGATCCAATTCATCCAGTTGAAGTAGGAGAGTGCCTGAAAGATGTACCCCGGGAACCAGTAGTAGATGAACATGCCTATGAAGCAGTACATGAAGAAGCGGTATCGGCTGATTTTCCAACCGTGAACCCGCTCGCGGCCTTCATCGCTGTGCAGTGCCTTGTTCAAAGCAATGGTCGAGAGGCACTTAGGGTAGATCATCGATGGCGGGTATACTAGGAATCGACGTACCACGCCGGCACAGCCGTAGCCCAATAGTTGTGTGGAGAGAGTAATTAAGGATTTGGAAGCCGGCTTGATCGTACAGAGATGTCAGGTTATAGAAGGACTTGGCTTTCAGTACCTGGAAGATGTAGGTCACGTAGGCTGTGCCGTTGGTACCGCCGAAGGAGACATTGGACATGACAGTGATGAGCATGTGCTCCTTCTGGTTGAATGGGCCAGGGTTCAGAGTGAACTTCCAGCCAAACAGGTTCCACTGGCGAGTAGGCAAAGTCCTAGCCATGAAGACACCGCAGGGGTAGGATAGCAATTGAGCGACAATGGAATAAATGATAATGGTCGGATAGCGCAAAGTGAAGAACTGATTGACACCCGTGAAGACGATGGTAGCTATCATGCCCAGGAACCAGGCTCGAAAAGTGTTGGCCGAGATATCAGGGTCATCGGTTGGGTCAACCACAGCGCGCACCTCCGGATAGGGAGAGTCATTCTCGATGAGATCCCGGTGCTTCTCAATATCTGAGATGACCTCCTGCAGCTGAGAGAGATCAATATGCTTGGTGTCGGCATCGAGGATCTCGCGCGCCTGAGCGATGATTTGAACCGGGAAGTTGACGTCGAGTTCATTTTCGGCCACGATCTGCCGCAATTGATCCAGGAGAGACTCGAGATCGGTGTCATCGATCTTGGTAGCTTTCACGTCAGCCTTCTCTTTATCAGAGTGGCTGCTCAAGGAGATGGGATCTTTATAGTCAGCCATCTCGCCTGTAACCTCCGGTGGGCCACTCTAATAATGCATGAGTGAGTACCAAAGACCGTGATGAAATATTAGATCAATAAATCGGACTCCCTTGGGGGCACTTTTATATACATTGACTCTTCTGTTTCTCTTTTGGATGCACGAAGGTATTGAACGCGATTTGCTTTAGCACACCATATTGGTGCAAGATAACACACACGCACCTGATGATATCGCTTGCATTCCGCTTGCATTAGGGCGGCGCCAATCGATTCAAACGCAAGGCATCCCACCAATGAGACGCGTGACTAAGTTCCTGTGTTACATCCTTCAATACACGCATCCCATTCGCTTGTATGCTTATCACTTCAGGCAAGTGGCGTTCTTCAGAGTGACTTCTGCAGAATGCAGGTCAAGCATGGTATGCGAGGTACCGCACCGGCGGTTGGTAAAATGCACAGGGAGTGTGAAGCGGATATCGACGGACTGATAAATGCTGATAGCGGTTCTTATCAACCTGGCTACAAAGAGCTAATTGGGGAGCATAATATTACTAGTCGGTGTGGTAACACCTGTAGTGACACCAATATAGCCGAAGAGTCCAACCCCGCTCTGGATGGGACAGCGGGATGCAACCAACACTAACTCACAGCCCGCCAGGATTCCCCGCTCCCATTCTTTTGCAGTGATAAGGTCATTTACACTGTAAGCCGACTTTAATCAGTAAAATAGGTCTTTTTTGCAAGATAGAAGCATTTATTATAGATTATAGTATCATACACAACTGTTCACCATGATCAACGACGTATTCCATTTTTATTTTACTGAATGATAAATGGGCAAAAATTGATGAAGAAGCTTGAGTGGGGTATCCCTGTGTAGGACTGGCCTCCTGACCTCCTGCTAAGACATGCAGCCCAGTATTCCAGTACTAGTAGCGTCTGAAAACGGGGGGTCTAAGAGCTTGTCAGGCCACATGGCGCTATGGGCCGCTTAGGGCTAGCCGTGAAAGAAACCGGGATTCCTGCGGTTTTCCGATGCTGTTCGTGTTTGGCTGGACTAGCAGTTATCGCGCGATCGAAGCTTTGCGGGGCCTTAGCCGAAGTATCCTATCACTGTTCGGCTCTTAAATATTTACCATTCGTCCTTCTTTTCTTTCGAACTCATACGCAATCTTCCAGCTACATGGAGTGCCTTGGATCGAACAGGATGCCTGAATGGTGAAATAAATTGTCCAGTATCACTGAACCACGAATAAAGTACTGCTGCCACGGCATTACTACAAATCAAGGTTGTGAGAATCCACACTAGGATCCACTAAATCCCAGCTTTGGAGACCACCTGCACCATTCATAGAAGGGTATTCCTGGGCTAAGTATTCGTCGAAATTGGGAGTGCTAAAGTCAGCTATCCCAGGCATAAATGAACCGAGGAAGTATCCTTCAATGGAAGGAAACATCGACGAGTTATTTTCTATTGGTAGCGGGCTTATCTGTTGTGGACTGCCGGCGTCGCCAAAGGCGCCATCCATATATGTCTGATTATCGGGCTCTTGAGCCAGTAAGAACGATTGTGGGGGTGTTGAGAGATTGTCATGGTCACCAAAGCTCATTTCTGTGTTACTTTGGCTGCGAGAATGTTTATCTTTCTTTCTCTGCCGCCTGCCCCAAAGCTGTTTTAGCATCCGGCTGTAGGTGTGGCAGATGTGGGATTCAGTTGACGCTGCTTTATCTAGAACAGCTACAAATTTGCGGGCTGAGGTAGTAACCTCTTTGTGCTGCTCTTCAGATTGGAGCGCCCCTGCTCGGTCTGCTTTGTGAAGCAGGACTGCTGCATAGACTCCGTACCTGCCAATGTGTGTGAGTTTCATTCACAATTGAAGGCTAAACAAAAAGCACCCTTACAAATAGTAACGAGACGGTAGGTAGCATAAAACATGCTGGGGGTCGAGATTGTTCATCAACTTCAGTAAACTCATCGCTGCACTAATAGCATCAAATATGTACCGACCATCCGGGGATGCCATGATGCCCTTGGATAATATGTCGGCAAATGGGCGCTCGCTCTGCTGTCCTTTGGTCGACGATCGGTGTGGACGGGAAGCCCTCGTCAGGACTGCCTGGAAGGAAAAGGCATTCGTATAAAGGCAAATATATTCGTACATGATAAGAAGGGTGGTCTTTATCTTCGGGGACACAGCTAGATTGCCCCATGCCGAACGCCACGTAGTTGCAGAAGTTCGAAAGTCGTCGAGATACCGCGCGTAATCACCTTCGTAAACCATTGCTAATGTTCGGTCCTTGGAAGAGTAAAGAATTGCATGAGCATTATGCAAGATTTGTATCAATTCCATAGAGGCTTGCAACCAAGATGCGTAATCCTCATTGTCGTTCTCCGGACGCGGCTGTAGACTCGGGAAATCGTCGGCTGTGAATTTCGCGGCAAGAGACGGGCCTCGGGACCAGAATGACTGCCCAAGTCGGACTGAAATCTGGCGATCGGCAATGAAAATATCTGAGAGTGGTGTCAGAAGGTACATTGGGAAAACCAAAGTTGTCAACTATAAAGACTTACATGCCCAGACAATTCTGTCTTGCTCTGTTCGTTGCTTTGACCCACTGTGATTGAAACTACGAAAGGCGGCTTGGTCGAGGCGCTGGAGATAACCCTGCCGCACTGCGAGCCCAACAAGCGACCAAGCTGTTCTATCTTCGCTGAATAAATTCTTTGGTGATTTAGATGATGTTTCATGAACTTGGATATGGGGAAGCCACTCCGCTAATAGCAATAGTCCCTGGACAGTTGCTGGGGTTTGGGTCCAAGGGTGCGCCAGAAGTACATCCACCAGGAGGCATTGAGTGTGATCCCAGCAGTAGCGATGGGTAAGTGAATGGTGGGGGTCGTCTCTCGACGCAATGGTGAGAATAGCCGTGAGTAGAAAGTATTCTGATCTTTGGATGGTGCTCATGTCTGATGAGACTAGCAAATGGGAAGGGACGATTGGACAGTATGGATGATAATGGCAGAGATATCTGATCTCTGTCAGCAGACACAGATGGGGATTCATGAAGTGTGGCTAACTCATGTAGTAGCTCAAATACCAGGCTCGGGCGCAATAGACCTCTCTTGACCAACTCGTAATCATCGAATATAGTTGTTAGACACGTCTGGTGGCCTCGTAACCCACCAGACCCGTTTATTAATGACGCAGTTGCGCTTTGCGCTTCAGTGTACAGTTGTTCATTGGAATTTGTTATGTTAGTGGGCTGCGCTTGGGCCTGATTTTCCGACTGGCACTGACCAGACAAAGCTAGTATCTGCAGCGCATCGGATGGATTTCGGAGCTCCATAGCTAGGAGGTCTCGAGGATTCTGTCTACCAACGCTGCCTTCGTCATCTGAGCAACATTCAGTCACATCAGACATGGTACCAGTCGGTTCTACTTCAGGTTCATTTGAGTCTCCGGTATTTGTTGGCAGCGAAGTTTTCTTGCGTCGCAAAGTGCTCGACTTGGATGGATGTTGTCGAAAATTACCCCCTCGCCGGGACTTGATGAGAATGCATTGGCTCTTAGTATCATGACAAGAGGCACAGGGCGGCTTGCTTGGTTCTCCGATGCTGTCACTATAGCCGTATTAGCGGCTACAAGCGAAGATGAATGCGTCGTGGAGTCGTGTATAGAAGATCCTTACAGATCGCATCTGGTCTTGCGCTTACGGCATCGCAGGCATGCGCGAGATGACCTCTTACCTGTACTGGCAGTCATGATTATCGAGATTGATTTATGCGTCGGTAATAGATTGTGATTCCGAAGAATCCACAAAATCGAGGCCTTTTCATGGATATTGCGGGGGTTTATGTGGAGAATTTCGGCTATAGCCGATATCCATTGCCGATGTCAGTGTCTTCACGGGATCGTGGCGATAACAATAAAGCAACTTCTTATGGCAACATAAGGCTGATTGCGCACTGTGAATCAACGTGAACAGTAATCTCTAGGAGACTAGATATGATTATTATTGGCTATACTATAATTTAGTTGTAGCAACAGCAAGCGTGAGCCAAATTAAGTACAAAGTAAGTAGCCGCTTAAGGGAGGCCCATACGCTGATCGCTCTTGGGATTCAGACCCCATGCTAAGCTGCTGTCATCGTGCACAGTAGCACGTCTCATGTCCCTCCTGTACTTGGTCGTGAACTCGCCACTGATGGCACGGTGCATGGTACATGTGTTGTCCCAGACAATCATATCGCCAACACTGATCCACTCCACTTCAATGACATACTTGTCTTGACTCGAGTGCTCAAAAAGCCTATCAAGAATCCCTTGAGATTCTTCAGGGGAGACGCCTTCTAGTGAGTGAATATGTTTGGCAAGGTATATGGTGGGGATGCCGGTGCGCTCGTGTTTTTGGAGTAGTAAGTGGCGGGACATAAAGTGGTCTGTAGGGTTAACATCCTTGAAGTGCTCCGGAGCAGCCATTTTCTTGGAATGTAGTATGGAGTGGCGGGCGACAAAGTTCCTGTCGTGCAAAAATCTCTTAAAATCATCGTCAAGATCACGGTAGGCACCCCTCATGTCGGCAAATGCAGTGGAGCCCCCAGTCCCGGGTGGCGGCAGCTCGTGGGCAAGAAGAAGAGAGTAACCGGCTCGACGAGGGTTGAAGCTAGAGTCGGTGTGAAAGAGAGAATTTCCCTGGAGACAGTCAGTTCTATTCCTCGTTTCTCTGTCTCTGAACGGGTACTAGATAGGAGGGTAGCTACATACCTTATTCGCCTCGCCTCGCGGGCTGTTGAGATCCACAATGGAGCCGTCAATTTCGATGTTACCTACATCAAAAAGCTCGTTGTATTTGAGGCGATGCACACGACCCGCCTTATTGTAGGGTGTCACATCGTCAAGTTCACCAAACTTGCGAGCCAGCTCGAGGTGGGTCTCGTCGACGAGATTTGTCTTACGGACAACGGCAAAGCCATACTTTAATACTTTCAGTGAATAGCTCTATAATTATTGTTACCAGTTCATTGTCGTACCTTCCTTACCGCATTTTCTATAAAGCGAAATGCTTCATCGGTGACACCGTGGGTGAAATCCAGGCCAGTAATCTCGGCACCAAACCCGTTCTTGATGACCTTAAGGTTCGGGTTGGAGCGAAGCGCAGCTTGAGTCACAGTGGAAGTGGTGGACATGGTAAGATAAATGAAACAATGGAATTTTATAAGAAAATACCAAAGCAGTGGAGCTATTGTGACATTTGTAGGTTTGCTGATGGGCGAATTTGGTTAAGAAATTGGTGTCCTTTTAATACGGCAAGCAAGGCCGGGTAACCAGACGATGCAGAAGATAGTCCATTGCCGATACCATGCGGTAAAGTCATGCTCAGATTCGTTAGTGATAGATGCACATGCTTTACCGACAGGATATTAACCGTATATTGATGAGCTGTAGTACCAGATATTTCACCGTGAAGGTCGGTATTGAGCCCCAGACCATAGTAAATTTACATCTCCATCGGCTATGGCACCAAGGATCGGCTATGGGTAACGTCTCCCATCGGCTTCGGTGTCCAGATCGTTGACGGCGCGATTTGGCCAATCCGAAGGATGGCCCTGGGGTGTTTCAACCTGGCCACAACAGCACCGGCTCAAGAAAGCCCTATATCTGGCCTTCTCTCGAGTGCGAGTTTTCAAATCTATCTCTGTCCCTTTGTTCCTCATGGCGCCCTCCTCGCGCACCCGAACATCTCCGTCTTCCTCGTCCACGCGGGGCCTATAGTATCAATGAGGCCTTCTTTTGCGAGAACCGTCATGATCGGCTTGCACTTTGACGAGTTTCAAACACGAGAAGCTCCGGGATGCGGATGTCCCAATTCCATTTAGACCGCGATACTCTCACCCCAGAGGAGCTGTGCCAAACCATCGATGGACTCCTGTCCGAAGCAACCGCATATTTGCGGCTAATAGCGAGGACCTGCAGCGGAATGCTCCAATCGTATCAAGGCAATTCTCTCTCGCGGGGCACTTAATCGAGGAGACATTCGCGGATGCCGAGGGTCGGAAAGTAGCTGGTAGTCGATTCCACTGGTTACCAGCAACAAGTCTGCGGGGTAAGACGGGCGGTTTTCCCATAATGATTTGGCCGGAATTGATTGAAGCATGCAGTAGTACTAGAATTCAGGGTTCGAGTTCAGAGCTTGTGAAACAGCGGAACACGACCATTGCTCCTCTTAAATCCTACACAATATATCTTCGTGTTTCCCGCCCCTTCAAAGCGACTAACAATATCTGTTTCAAAGTTATCTAGTTCATCTATTTTCAGATTCGTTTTTCCGTATTGACAGAATGACTCTACTAAAGCACCAGATCGACCATGTCCTCACCATCCTCTCTGATAGTACATATGATTGGAGTGGAATCGGAATTATTCATCATGTCATCATTTGCCGCATGCTCGAGTAGCAGCCCGACTATCTCCCAGTTCCGCAACCTGGTAGCATGGACGACTGGTGTACACCCGGAAGTATTCCCTGCGTAAATGTCGGCTCCATTTTCCAATAGTAGCTTGACCATCTCTAGGTTTCCATTCCTAATTGCATCAAAAAGTGGGGTGCAGCCAGAATTATCTTTTGCATTAATGTCAGCACCATGCTCGATGAGCTGCTTGCAGATGGTTCTGTTGGACCTACAGGCGGCCCACATCAGCGGCGTCCGGCCATGTTCGTCTTTGGCGTCAACCACTGCCCTTCGAGAATTGAGGAGGAGCATGACAATATCCTCATATTCTTTAGCTGCTGCTAAAAGCAAGGACGTGGCTTGCGAATAGACCTCAAAGTCTTGCTCATTGTGATATGTGTCAGGGCAAAATCTAATGTGTGCCCGGGTGTTGACATCAACACCATTTTTGGCAAGCAACATCTCAACAATTACCTTCCTTCCAGTCCAAGCTGCAAAAGGTAGTGACCTCCCCACATAGGTAAGATGGCCAAGACCACATTCGCCCCAGTATCCAGGGTAGTTCACCATGCAGCCTTCACACTCGACGTTGAGATCATCCCTGGTCAGCAGCAATCTAACGACTTCTTCTGTCCCGTGAGCATTCGCAAGGAACAGCGGTGTCCCTTGGGCAAGGATATCATGACAATTGGTCATCCTGGATTGTGGCAGCTTCGTCAACTCTAGATCCTTGATGTAACATCGGGCGTTGACATCGACATTTTGCACGGTGAGAAGAAGCCCCACAATCGTCATGTGTCCACTTGAGGCTGCAATCGACAAAGGCGTCCCTTGATGGATAGCGTCACGGCCCGACGACTCAAGTTCTTCATCATAAATTCGGACAAAGCCTGGGGCATTGAGATCAATTCCGTGTGTGGCGATTAGGTGTCTCAGAATCGTCTCATTATTCTTGGCCGCAGCAACAAACAACGGTGTTCCTGAGTAACCGCTGTCATCATATTCGGCTTCAGCGTCGATATATCCTCTACCATTGATTTCAATGCCATTTTTGGCAAGTAGCAAACGGACAAGAATCTCAGACTTCATCACGGTCGCAAAGAAAAGCGCTGTACCCTTACGCCTTTCATCACCATCATTGCCTTCTACGTGCACTTCGCCGGAAACGTCGATGTCAGATCTACCAAGAAGCTGCAGGGCAATGCTCTCGTAGCCCAGGGAGAGGGATATCGACAGTGGTGTACCATGCACATCATTGTCCGCCTCATCGTAGCTCATGCATTGCTTGTTGATGTTAACTCTTTCTTCAGCAACAAGCAACTTGACAATTGATAAATGGCCGTATTGAATGGCAAAGGAAAGCGGTGTCTGTCCGATTGTAGACACCTTGTTAAGGTCAACACGTTCTTCAGCAAGCATCAGTTTCACAATGGGCTCGTGCGCCTTCTCCACCGCAAGCATAAGTGGTGTTGAGCTGTATTTATCCTCGGCATTCAGCTCTATGGTCTTGTAAGAGAGCAGCAGCTTAACGACGCCCTCGTGCCTATTCTCAATGGCCCATGATAGAAGCGGCATGTGATGTTCCGAGTCCCTTTCGTTGATGTCGGCGCCCTCGTCGAGAAGCTTTCTGAGAACGCCGCAAAAGCCGTAATACGACGCCATTACGACACCGTGGAGACGGCTAGGCACCACGCCGCGAGTAGATTTGCTGTATATGTTGAACCATTCTGGGTAACACTTGGTGTTCGGATTGCAAATTTCCATGAGGGCCCAAATAATAGCTTCATTCTCATGAATATCAGCCTCGCGAAAATGGACGCTCCAGAAAAGGGCCGAGTAATCTAGAAACGCGGTGTGATTAGTGCGGTGGCATTTTCTTTCGCTCAGACCACTCGGAGAGCAGCCATAAGGGTCTTCGGTGTCATTCATGTTAAACAGTTTTAGGTAGAGAACGCAAAGCTCGGCCAGAACATAATGTGCTTTTTGAGTGGTGATGGATTCCTGCCATCTTAACTTTGGACCATGCTCGGTGACTTCCCCAATTGATGCCTTAGCTATGAGAAACTCTCGAGCAGTTTGATGGAGGAAGTGAATCTTGTTATCGTAGATTGAGATGAACAGGCCGCACTGGGATCTGAGGCGTGTCGTGAACTGCTTTTCAGGCTCTAGGTCAAGATCCTGTAGGGACTGTAGAGTTTGCTCGACATTCAAAGCAACATTAATTTCTGAGACTGTTAGTGGCCGACTTGCTGCCAGGATAATGCTTAGGACTTTCAAAACGATCCCATCATCGCCAGACTTGCTGAGAATCTTATCATATGCTTCATTAACACTGTTTGGAAGTTGTCCAATAGCAGCTTTGATAGCCGTTAATGTTCTCTTGTAGTTTTGCGTCTCCAGATAGTCGAAGACCAAATACACCCAGAGATAAGTGCGGTGGGTACCCTCTTGCAACCTCTTCTCGAGATAGGTAACGGCTTCGGGTGGAAGTCGCGGCGACAGTCCTTTAACCCGGTGCCTAATGACATGATTTACCTCCTGACTGATGGCCTTCGACTCATCCTCGCCTGGTATGTGGATGTATGGGAATGCATTCCGCAAATCTTGGAATCCGGAAACTATGTTCTCGTATGGGCGGCATGTTAATAAATACTTTAGCTGGCCCTCTATTATTCGGTCACCAGTGCATTGTCTCTTCACATTTTCAATCAGGTTTCGGAGTTCTGGCTCTAGACACTCGTCAAGGGCGTCTAGGACAGCGATGACCAGCCCTGCTTGGGGATCCTTTGTTGCGTTCTCAAAGATGTTCCAGAGGGATATAGTTGAATTAATCAATCCATCCCCATTCTTTTGGTACTGGGTCATGGCATGTTTGGTTAACTGTGGCTTTTGGGAGAAGAGCTGGTGAAGCAGTGCACAAAGTGCTTGTCTGATAGTGTTTTGGTCTTCAGCTTTGAAGAAGAAGTAGCAGATTGTTGCCGACCGTGGCAGGGCGTGGTCAACCAAATACTTCGCCAACACTGACTTCCCGCAGCCAGGGTCCGCTGAGACCAACAGAGGCCCCGACTCTTCTTTTAACCATGTCTGGAAGTTCGGATGGTCGAGAAACCACATACACGTCCCATCAACTCTTTCTTTGACCTGGTCCTTATACTGCTCATATGTGATGTCTCTATCGCTCCTTGTCAGGCGAAAGAGCTGGCGACATCTTTGTTGTTCGTTAGACAACCTCTTCCTGGCGAAGTCCTCACAGTTCTGCAGCAGCTTGTTTGATGTGGCACGGTGGTCCTTCAATACTTCGTAAATTCCTAAACCAGAATTATTATGTCTTGATGGTATCATTTGCAGGGTTACGAATTACCAGGTAAAACATCAGTGATCTTCTGCTCCTTTCCAACATCATTCGGATGAATTTGACGGAGAAGGTCTTTGGCATATGCAGCAGCCACCATCGCTGCATAGCCTTGCCACTGTTTGTTCTTGTGAGAATCTGAGTAGTCGCATATGCCGCGAATCACCAAGCACGGGAAATGGTTCATCAATCCTGCTGCCTCCATTTCAAAACATAGAACCCCCTTCTCTTCAGCTAGCTTATCCCGAATCATAGCATCCTTCATTAACTGATTTCCAGAAGCAATGAGACCATAGTGTATTGCCGGGTTATCTTCTTCTTCGGTTCGTTCTGGTCGCCATCTTAATTTTGCCACGTCCTCACTACAACACGTGGTACAGGCTACCTCGTGCAAAACTTCGCTGTTGAATAGCCTGTCACTGCTTGACTCGGGCCGGCTATAGTTCTTCCGCAATCTTGGCACTTTCTCAAAGACCCCTTCGATATCTTTTTCTATGTGATGCCCATATATCTCGTACCGACTCCTTAGCGTGCTTAAAGCGGCCCGTAGGACAGCTGGGGGCTGATCCAGGAATCCTGTACACTGAAACTTTTTATCCTGGTGGGTCTTGCCGAAATCATATTGAAACACCCCACTATACCCATCCTGAGGGTAACTAACAACCACGTCCCCTAGACGAATATCACGCTTAGTAGGGACACCACCTCCAATACCCACCATCAGCCCAATTCTGATGTTGGGAAAAGCATGCACCATGTCTCTCGCAACAGATGCAGCAGAAGCTGTTCCGTACTCTCCAGCAGGCAGAACAGCGATGACAACATTGTGTTTCCAAATCTCACCAACGGTGTATGCATTATTGTCGTTAGGCGGTACGTCCGGCTTCTCGTGCTCTTTATCAAGAAAGACTGTTGCAGCAACATTTTCAGTGTGGATGGCGCAAATCCAGCCGACAGTGTATTTCTGACGATCGGACATTATTTGTTGTGGCTTGACCTAGACGCACATGGATCGCAAATGGCGGACGTTTAGGGATTGGGTTGTCGAGGACGGTTCCTGAGCAGCGGGACCTTTCCTCCTGTCAGCACCTGAACTCTTAAACACAGTCATAAGCACTTTGTGGCGCACCCTACGCTGTCGATCGCAGATAACGAGTGGATGTTGGAATACAATACGAAGAATCAATACTAATGCGCACGCCGTCTTGATAACAGGATTACTGCGCAGACAATCAGCACTCGCGCGAATGTGGGCAGAAGGAAGGTCTTAAAGATGTGCGATCGGGCACCTGCAATGGCAAAGAGTCACTGTGCGTGATTGCTGGCGCTTACATGCAGCTGATAGCATTCGCCATCCAATAACGTCCCTCATGGCCGATGCGGGGAGATCAACCACACTCTCACAAAGTGACCGTAGATCTCAAACAGCAGATAATTATCGTCCTCTTGTTTTCTATGAAGGAAGTCAGAAAACAATGTAGCTCGGCATCTTCTCCTCTTTGCAACAGCCGTACTGCACGGAGTATAATGCTGAACCACCGCGTGTGCGCTCCTATCGGTCGTGTGGGGGTTCGGGGAAGTGCTGCACTTTTCAACCAATGGGAATATACTACGTGGTTGGCGATAAGGGTACGAGCCGGGCAGCTAAGGTTGACAGGACCTAGTTGTAGCATGGTCTGGCCAGAGTCTCATCACTTGGTTGACCGTCGTCGTCTTCCCATAACTTGTCTTCGATGATTTCTAGAAGGACAGTTGTGGCAAGCTAGACTGATTCCCTCTTCCGGCTGGTGTGCACCATGTCCGCCGCGATCAAAGTGTGGGCTTCCTCTGTTAGCTCTCTAAGGGTACAGCCACTCCATGTTCAGTGATCGCATCGAGAACGGTGTCCCCATATCATCATCCCTCCACCGAGACATACTTCGCTTTGCTGGAATTTTCCACGCAGAATACCTATTCCGTTCATTCCAAGCAAACCTGATAACCCAACTCTGCCTTGCCCACCGATACTAATGCGCAGTGCCACCATCAATCATCACTTATAGAGGAACATAAACTCTATGACAGAAAAAGCGAATTCATCTTTGGACTTCCCAGATAGGCAAATAAGTTACTGTGGGAAGTGTTAGTCTCGTACACAAGGCAGTTGCTTACTAAATGCAGAATGTGCATGAATGAACCGGGTCTGAAGTACAAAAAGCATCTAAGCAAATATTAGTAATTTGCCTGTATAGTTCTCAATAATATCGAACTCATTTAACTTCGTAATACTGCCTCAACAATAAATATATATGCGGCGATAACGGAACGTAAAGAAAACCAGAGTAGCAGAAGATAATTCTCCAATCTGCAGCACACATGACGGAAAGGTGGTAAGTTAATGCTCGAATCATCTTTGATTCATTCAGAGGATGCATGCGAATCACTCCTTACACTTATATATCAGACATAAATCGTGCGTGCTTCATAATGCCGAACGTGTATGGGCTGTCAGCGAGGGATGATGGACCACATTTCTTCCACTAGCAAACATTCTATTGGAATTGACTTAGCATTGACTCAAGATAGGGCACCACCACACTATCGCATATCCGTGGGCATTAGTTTATAACGTAGGCAGTGGATTTTATTCATAAGATGTGCCCGAACGCTAAGGAGTTCCATGAATAAGATGGGCCCTAAAAACTGAGACGCTAAATAGATCTTGATATATGGATCGAACATGAACTTCCTAAGGTACAGCAGACTAGTGTCTGGAAGAAGCGCCTTAACAGTTATAGAGGCCATAGTAGGTTCCGAATATTGTTCGAAAATAGTCGTGAAAAGAACGGAATGGTTCAGTGACAATAGTAATCACATATGAAATCTGCTTGGGAATATACATTATGAATATCAGATCTGAGCGCGTGCGTTACTTCTATTCTTATTCAGTGTTGCTCTTCTGACCGTGTCTAGCTGCATGCTGTGTTTCCGACCATCATATCTACCAACAACATTCTCTACACCTCGGGATCTACGAGCCCAGCTAACCCGGTAAACTTATACTGGGTTGAACAGTTTCAAAACACTTTGACAGGACGGGATGGCTTCTCCATCGAAATTAGATATAAGTCCTCTGCGGTCAGAGGTATACTATCGACGGACATCATTTTGGTTTCGCGGAACGGCGGATTTGGAGTGTTCCTCGTTTTTATTTCTTCGGGAGGCTGACAGTCTCCGAGGATATTAGCTTATAAAGAACACTGGCTGCACAATTTGTGGATGCAGATGCCTCAATGGGTCACAGGAACAATCAATTATTGGGGAATGGTTCTGCACGGTGACGGAGTTTATTTCCACAACCGACCCATGCTTGGGAACGTAATACCATAAGCGAATGCAACCCTCTACAACCCTCTTCGTTGTCATTGGAATGCTAGAGAGGCGGTTAGTTTCCTTGAAGTGATAAAGATGGAGCATGCTCCCAGAACTGAAGATGTCAGTCAATTCGAGTGTATTCCCCCTGAGGTATTTGACCAGAGTGAGGTGTAAGTCAATATGTTTCTTTCCTATGCTTGTCCCGGACAAACCGGCTCTGTGCTTTGAGGTATTTCTGGCCTCCTTTTTGGTTCGCTCAACCACAATTGATATTCTTCTCGGAGAGTGATTCATTGGGATACTTCTTTGCTTCTCCCAGCATACAGCATTTTGTAGGCAATACGTACAGAGAAGAGTAGCCGTCGGCCTCGGTATTCAAGGGAGATATAAGCCACGAATGGTATCAAAAATACACACTCCCCACTCAATCCAGCAAAGTACAATCATACACGACCCCCAATGGCGCAATATAATCCGTATGATTATACCCCAAGTTCAAGGACATAATCTGTCCCACACTAACGTTGTACGCCGTGGCAAAATCCTGCAACGTGCCATACGTAAACGTAAAATCCGCCATCGTACACGCCGAATTATCACAACTCGGGATCTTCACGGTCTGTCCGGTCTCCAGCACATCGTAAATACCAGGATTCAAAGCAGCAATGTATCCCGTCTGGGCAGTAAAGCTGAGGATAGAATCTGTCGTGATATTGTACCGCTCGTTGGCGATCTTCTGAATCGTATCCCCGGGTAAGATGGTATACACGTGGGGTCCACCGTAGATGCATGTGGCTGTTGCGTCGGTGTTGTTCGTGCTGAAGCAGGAGTAGTCGTCGGGGAAGGTAGCGCGGGCGGGAATCCGGAGGGTCTCGTTTGCGTAGAGAAAGTTAGGATCGGCGAGGACATTTAGACGGGCGAGGTCGCAGGCGCCGACATTGTATTTGGCCGCTATGGTGTGAATGGTGTCATTCTCTTGCACGGTGTAGGTGATGTTGCTGGCTGCGACGTCGAGATTGAGGACGGAGCCGGAACTGGGAAGAACTGTTTGGGTTGAGTTAGGTTATTTTGGGGCATGGTGGTGTGGTAGGGGTTTAGGTGTGGTAGGGGCTCACCATCATAATCTACTGTGGCTGGTAGAGAAAGGACATTTCCAATAAATGCTGTTGTCAACAGGAACAGCCTGTTGGGGTTTGCTAACATGATGCTATGATCGCGTGTAGCTGGGGGGCTAGAAAGGAATTGGTCTTGGCCTAGAGTAACGAATAACCTTTCAATGCTAATGTCACTGCATTCAGCTACTGCTACTTCTATCGTGTTGACAGCACCTATTTATACTTTTACTTTTTCGCATCACCCCACAATTTCCCGAACGCGTAACCAGCAAGCTAGTAGATAGTACGTCACTCTCTCGGACCAAGCACTCAAAAACAACGCATCCGATCCGTAAGTTGACAAAAGTATATCAGTCATGGGATCTCGGGGCCCCGGAAATGGGCTCCCCTCTGCATGGTGCCCTCGTGGGCAGGGTGCACGCTAAAGCTTATGCGCTGTGCTAGCGCCCCACTCTGTCCTATTCTTTGGGCACGATCATCGGATGTAATATCCTCATGGGGATATTGCGGGGGAGATTCCTTTGCATAGATCCTGTTCGGAATACACTAGGCACTAGTAGTGCTTGTGTTGCTTCGCTACTGCTTCCGCGGGTGTATCTGCCGAGCCACAAACGAACTTTTCTCGTGTTTTGGACTAGATAAGTCTCATGCAATCCGAACACTTCCGGGATGGTAAGAGTTAGAGTCATTTTCTGCTCGGGAATTTCGGTCGGATAAAGATTGTGCCATAGTCCTATCTGCATGCACATAGCTAACGTACCGAAGGAATGCTGGAGTACACTGAAGCTTCGCACTCTGATCCTACTACTCACTATGATCTGAAGATATTCCGTTTCTAGGTGCCATACTAGGTACTGACATTACTGGATGGGTTCAGGTCGAGACAAAGGAAAGTATTGGAATGAAGGAATGTAAGTGACTTGATATACAAACATGAAGAGGAATTTTGCCAGAGTAAGTTGAGGAAATGTAAGAACACAGTAACACTACGCATCCATACAAAAAAGAGGCGTAGTAGTAACTTCAATAATACATGATCAATATGTATACAGTCACCAGCCAAGCTGAAGTTGTGAAGAGCTGGTCAACGTGCGGAATTAAAGCAGATGATTTGGTAAAAGAAGGATCAGAATGTTGGGGAAGAAAGGACACCCAGACCTAGACTACTCTTAAGCATTCTAATATACCGGCATCTTGAAAGCGTTCAAGTCATAGACCCAAGTCTTCATGCCCTCCGGATCATTCACGCACTCCATACTGGTGCCATTGTTTGTCCACAGAGGTCGAAGAGGCCATGCGCAGAGCTTCTGCTCTTCTCCCTCATGCTCACCCTGCAGAACTGTTGCGTTCAGCGTTTCAGGGAAGACTCCATCCTCAACCCATCTGATCATAGTCTCCAGCGTCTTCTGTGGCCAAGGTCCATTTGGCTGAGAATCATCCGGGCCACAGTGTGCCGCGCCGGGGACGAGGAAAAGGCGATACCAATCACCCAGAGCGGCGTAGCTTGCGTTCGTTGACATGTCAGGGTACATAATACGACGAACAGACTCATAGTAATGCACAGATGATGCGGTGGGAACGGTGTAATCCGATTCACCATGGTAGTGAAGCACCTTACCCCCCGCTTCGGAGTAGGGGGACAGATCGGGGTAAGTTGCCTGGAGAGTGTCATCGTATTTCTGCCAGCCAATGCGGACCCATTCCTTCAGGTTGTCATAAGTAACGTCCCGAAGCGTAGGCATTTCAGTGGCATTGAGGAGATTAATGTACTTCTCCACCCATTCACTGTTCGATTCGGTAATATCGAGGGTCCAAGAGCCGGTATCGTAGTCGTAGTGGGTCTCCGCGTCGGAGAAAGCCGCACTTGGCTGGTAGGAGAAGTAGACTTGGTTCCCCTTCGTGTCATGCATTCCCCGCAAAATTTCTTTTGCGACTTCCACACCTTTGGCGGAAACAGTGCCATTCTGAGCCGGGAGCTCATATGTCTCCGATCGCTTTCTTCTCTTGTAGGTCGTCAAAGAGGAAGCTCCACAACTGTACGGTTCGCCGATTGTGCTGTTAGCGTCGAAGTGAAGCTTGCAGAGGTCCGTTCGCGAAACAACACCATCCTCCTTGCCGTCAAGGGCATCACAAGCTTTGATGGTCTCGTTCACAATCTTCTCAAGCTCACAGGGAGGGGGATAGTAGTCCAAGGTTTGCTCAACAACGGGTGACCAAAGGTGCTGCATTTGTTGGAAGGTGAATCGGAAGCCAGGGGCACCAGTCACTGCCCCGTCGAAGTCCTCTGCAAACCGCTGGATCTGACTGAAGCCATCACGACCACCCTCGGAGCAACCCTGGTAATAAGAGTAGATGGACGAGGTATTGAAGAACCTCTTGGTAAGCTCCTTCCCGATGACAGTCAGCTCATGAATAGCTTGGTAACCAAACATGTAGACCGTTTCGTAGTTGAGGGTGCCATTGGCTAGAAGCCACACATCATCCGAGCCGTTCTCAAATCCGCCAAATCCGCCGTCAGTTGTGCCCGCCACAGCACCGTACATGACACCCCCGGGCAAGGAAGTGCTTCCCAATGTGATGTCATAGCCACTACCACCAGTCGACAGGTAACGGTTGGCAAACTTCGACGGAGCGGGCATCCAGTAGCTAACTACCACCCGGTCATCCCGCCCCAAGTGGGAATAGGCAAAGGTCACATTGCAGTAGTCGAACGTGGCGTCCGGCCAATAGACTTGGTCTGTGCTCGACACGTTGTAGGCTGCCACTGCAGTCACCGAAGACCTGTCAATTGACACTCCAGGGTATACGCTGTCGGCCGGCAATGAGTTTCGAGCGAAGGAAACCGTGCACACATCTTGCAATGTGGTGGCTTGGACCGCCCCTGTCAGGGCAAGGGTTGTCACCCAGAGTTGGTGAGATCTCATCACAAAAGTCGAAGAATAATAGTGAAAAAGGAAAAACTTGAGGAGGAGAAAATGAACGTTGTCGAGTACAACTCCTGTAGGTCTGCTAGCCAACCATCAATACAATCTAAATACTAGACTATATATTAAAGTTCTACCAGAAGTAATTATTCTATCCACTACTTCCCGTGTCATGATGCGTCCCGGATGTCGCGAAGTCCCGACGGCCTTGTATACTAGTTTGACTCCACTTCAGTCCCCGCAGAATCGGATTTATTAAGAGACTTGATGGTGAGCTACTCTTGATATGATAGTCTATACTCATAGCCAGATGTCTTAGCGCACATACCTGTAAAGCCGAGGTAGTAGTATCTGTGAAGTGGGACTCGCAAGGTCACCCTGTCTTCGGAAACGTTGAAAGGAACAAATCATCGGCCAACTTTAGCGAAATTAGCCTCGGGCCATTAGCGAAGTCCGTATATCGGATGGCAGTTACGATGGCAGGTTAACGCCGACAGGGACCAGTGGGGCTTTCCACTTTTTCGCAAAGTCACACTCTTATGGGGTCAACCTATCTTATGAATGGAAGTGATCGACGCTGGAGCGGGTCTGCTTGATCTTATCAGGACCGAGATGATCGATCTTGAATCTGATTCGGCATCAACCCGATACTTTGACTGAATCACTTAACTCACGTCGGTGAGCTTAGTCTCAGGGTTTCCCTGAACGAGCCGCACTATCTCCGAGTGCGTCGAAGCTGCTACGTACCCTCCGCATCTTCCGTCTACGTAATCTTATCAGGCCCACTAAGGGAGGTACTTCGTAACTTTGCAGACGTCGTTTCGGACTAAGTATACTCAACGCTAGCATCCAGGGTCATCGTGCCTTCCTTTCAAGAGATTGTTCGCCTCGGAGTTAATGAGGCAGTTGAGGGATATTGGTGAAATCAGCCCTTCCAGGTCCACTTGCCTCACGACATTTCCAAAGAGACCGGAGTGTGTGAGGACTACGCATGTCGGTAAAAATAGAGCATGCATGCCGTTGGTAGCGTGCGTGCCGATCACCGGCACAATCATCGGGAACAGGAAATGGTGCAGGTTCCAGATATTCCATTGCCCATCTAGAACGAGATAGGGGCACACACGACGATCAGTTATATTTATCTGCTGTCCTGAGACGTTGTAATCTGTCAGTCCACATTCCATTCGCTCTTTTCCATTTCATTCATCCTCACCTCTTTGATATTCTTTCATTTAATTCATACAATGCACTTGCATACTATCCTGGCTGCGGGCTGGCTCGCAGCCAGCGCCTATGCCGGGGTTTCCTCTCGTTCCACGCAAGCATGCGCAGGAAACACACCGCACACCCGTGGCCAGTGGTGTGATTTCGACATTCACACCGACTACTATGACGAAGCTCCAGACACTGGGGTAGTTCGCGAATATTGGTTGGAACTAGGAAACACCACCGCCGCTCCCGACGGCGTCCCTCGTAATGTCCTAACCGTCAACGGGACGACTCCAGGGCCTACTCTATACGCCGATTGGGGTGACTGGGTCCGAGTTCATGTATACAATGGTCTTGAAAACAATGGAACCAGCATCCATTGGCACGGTGTCCGCCAGAACCACACCAACCCTCAAGACGGCACAAACTCCATTACCCAATGTCCCACGCCCCCCGGAGGATCCGTCACGTACGAATGGCGCGCCACGCAGTACGGCACAACATACTACCACTCCCACTTTGCTCTGCAAGCATGGGAGGGCGTCTACGGTGGTATTGTGATCAACGGACCTGCCAGCTCGAATTACGACGTCGACGCTGGCGTGCTTTATCTCATGGACTGGTCGCACCGCACAGCCGACCAGATGTATTCCACCGCTGAAACGGACGGTGAACCAGAGATGACCACGGGTTTGATTAATGGAACGAACATCTGGGTTAAGGAGAACAACGAAACGGTCGGTTCGCGCTTCCTTATGAATGTGACTGCTGGCCAGTCTTACCGTCTTCGACTTATCAATGGTGGAATGAGCAACTTGTTCCGATTCATGATCGATGATCATACGTTGACGGTTATTGCTGCGGACTTTGTCCCCATCGAGCCTTACAATACGACTTCGCTTAATATTGGTGTTGGTATGTCATTCTGTTCCATGGCGATAGAAGGGAAACTTACCAATACTCAAAGGACAACGGTACGATGTGATCGTCACGGCAAACCAAGCCCAGGCTGGGTCTGACTTCTGGATGCGTGCTATCCCCCAGGAGTCCTGTGCCGAGATTCAAAACACCGACATCAAGGGAATTTTCCATTATGAGCAGCCTGACACTGCTGTAGCGACGCCCACAACAACAGCATACAACTATACCGACAGCTGCTACGACGAGCCATTGAGTAGCTTGGTGCCGGTAGTTGCCATCGACGCGTCTGGCGTCGGCTACAAAAGTCATAACGAGGCGAACGTCATCATGAACAGTGCAGGCCTGTACAAGTGGTACATGGGCCCGACCACGTTCAAGGCAGAATGGGACAACCCGACTTTGCTCCAGATCGCTAACGGCAACACTTCATGGACTAACACATCGCACGTTGTTGAAGTTGAAGGAAACGGCAAGTGGGTGATTGTTGACATTGAAATGGAAATCAATGTTCCTCATCCTATTCATCTCCACGTATGTTTTTCTGGCCTAAAAGCTATTTATTTTACAGCCATTGCTAACAGGGCCATCAACAGGGCCACGACTTCTTCATCCTCGCCCAAGGCAAGGGAAGCTACACGTCGAACACGTCTCTGAACACTTACAACCCACCCCGTCGGGACACGGCCATGCTCCCTGCCCTCGGATATCTGGTCATCGCATTTAAGACCGACAACCCTGGCGCGTGGCTTCTGCATTGCCATATTGGATGGCACCAATCGGAGGGCTTCGCCATGCAGTTCGTGGAGAGCATCTCTCAGCTAGAGCCTATGATTGATGCTTCCGCACTCGAAAAGAACTGTGCTGCCTGGGATAAATATGCTGCTGCTAACCGCATTGAGGAGGATGATTCTGGTATCTAAACAGGATCGAGTGGTCCGGGTAGATGCAGTAATTTTGTTCTTTCGCGGCGCTTTTCGCTACCACGTGTATCATCAACTTAACTGGGATTGAGGGTCGAAAAATTGGAGTTGTATAGGAATAACTAGTATCAAATGTACAAGAATTTTTAACTCCGAAGTTTACCTTGGTTTTGTCCTGGTGTCCAGACTGCCTGTATCCAAGCCTCAACTCACACTTCGCCTTACAAAACCCCTAACCACAGGACAGAAATACTAGACGAGGTTGCCTGCGAGCTTTCTGATTCGTCAGTGGGATTTGGGGATAGCTTCACGGTTAAATCAAGGTATTTGACTGATACGGCATAATACCTCGATAAAATACGGGCCCTGGATATAGCTACTCTCACAGGCTAACGGCCCGTTCCGGCCGCAGTCTCAACAAGACTGCCCTAGCCGCGCTGTATATAAGGAGGACGTACATACATACAGCACACGAATTTCAATTCCGTCGATCACGCCAGTCACATCTATATCATTTTGCTTTTAGACTGGAGAACCTCAAGGGTAACCCAGGTTTCGAATACTCCATGGTAAACAGATCCTTTTTCTCGGGTGCACGGAAACCAGGCGGCAGCTGGATGTCGAAGTTCCTAAATAGATACGCCATCACAATTGTGACTTCAGCGTACGCGACACTTCATTTGGTTATTAGTGATCCAACACCAAGCAACGAGGATGGAAGAACAAACTTTTGACCAATGCACATGCGAGCGCCCTTGGAAAATGTACAAAGGTACTGCTCTAAAGACTTTGCTCCCGGCTGAAGCCAACGGTCGGGGTTGAAGACGCGAGCGTCGGGACCCCAAACCTCTTCGTTGGTATGCATTGTGTAGGTTGACATGGAGACAATGGTCTGCAGAATTTCAATAAGACGATGAACATCTCAGCATCGGGCACAAAACTTACACCGGGTGGGATGACTTGTCCATCAACAACGAACGGCTCAGCGAGGTCTTGGGGAACGACTCTTGGCAGGCGTCCAGGCACCGGCATTGCGATCCTGAGAGATTCCTTGACACAGGCGGTCTGAATGATGGTTAGCGACGCGATCATTTTCGTGTGTTAGGCATGTATTTGGGTACCAAGTAAGGAATCTTCTCTAATTCCTGAAGTTGAGCCGCTGAAGGATCATTGGATGTGATGTCCATTCCCCGCAGAGCGTCTGCTAATTTGGCATAAATAGCTGGGTTCGAGAGGATATGCATAAAGCCAGCAGTAAGGGTTGACGCTGTAGTGTCAGCTCCCGCAATAAGTATGTCAACTGCCTCGGTGACCTTGAGGTCGTGCGGCAGGGAAGATAGGTTCTCGAATACAACAGGGTGAGATGTCGTATTTCCGTGCTCCTCGTAGTGCTTAAGGCAGCTTTCCGCAAACTACGCAAATTTGGTCATGGAATTAGCATACCCTCAGACAGCTGGCAAACGGTACAGGAAATCAGCATCTACCTTCAACATTTTCAAAACATTCACAATGTTGGAATCTAGGAGGCCTATGACATTCACGGGCATAACCCCCAAGGCTTTCCGAGCGATGGGCCACTCCTGCATTTTCCAGAGGCTTCGGGCAACGGCGTCGAAGGCGACCAGAAACCAGGACTCAAAAGTAGTTTCACTCTCTTCCAACATGCTTGCTGATCTCGCAAAGGCGAACTCCATAATGACCTCTGTAGTAAGGCACCTGCCGTTTCCGATGTGTCAGCCATGACCAAGTTGATATACCGGACAGAGGCGCATATCCTTGAAGCCCGATCAGGAAAATCTCCACTTTGATACCCACCTAAAAGCATCATACACGTTGATATTGTGGCTATTCTCAAGTCGGCGGATTTTGTTTATAAGAATATCCACCTTGTCATGAATGATGGGTTCAAGCTTGAAGACGCCTGCCCGGGAGAAGAAAGGATTCAGTAGCCGTCGGCGCTCTTTATGCATTCCTGCATCGATCTCGGTGAAGACTGTATGGGGCGTGTTGAAAGCTTCATAGAACTCTTCATGTTTCGGGAATGGTTTGCTTTGACTGTATATAACCTTGTATTTGGAAACATCGGTAATGTGTAGCTCGTTGGGTCCAATGCGTAGAGCTTGCGTTTCTAGAAAGCAATCGAATGTCCCACATCAGTATTAACCAGTCCAATAATTGCTGCAATGTTATGAAATGTGCTATAAAAGTTAGGACAGCACTCACGATACTTCTTATGGAGCTTTTCGAGGTCCTCCTCCGGAAAGCCACGGTCGGTCACTCTGTAGATCCAGTGCCGCGATGAAGCGGCCGCTGGAGGACCAGGAAAGCGAGACAACGGATGCCAGGTGCGATAATAAAGAGGTTTGAGCAAAGCGACAATAACCAGGGTGGCTACAGCGGCTGTACAACAAATGATACTGAGCCCTTTGGCTGCGGGTGCTTCTGCCACCTGTTCCACTATGTATTTGTACAGGGTGGCCATATCGGCCCCGGTCAATTGAACCGCCTGACGCATCGTGACTTCCTCGTCAATCTTTTCTTTCAATAAGGCGCAAGACCAGCGCTCACCACCGCCCTATATAGACCGCATGTTACGTGATAGAACATATAGATATTTAGAGGGTAAAGTATCTTTACATTACTCAGCGGAGATATCCCGCAATGCAGCCTGCGCTCGGATTGATTCTCTGGAATTTGTCCACATCCCGAGTCTCAACGGTGGAGCTGCGGGTAAGAACTCTTCCAAACTAGCCCATCAGGTCATGGAAATTAATAATTATACGTCAGGTGATGACTTATTCAATGTTTTGAGACATAAATGACGAATAATCACAAGTGGCTTAAACAGCGGTATCCGCTTACTCACTCACTTCATATAAGTAACTATAATCCGATCCATGAATCTGGTCGGCCCGCTTATACGATTCACAATCTTCCGATTGTGCCGAACTCAAGCTTACTCTTATTCGACCCTATCACATCCGTCGTATTCTCTGGGCTCATAAAGCAGCTAACAATGCTTGCCAGCCGTTTAGTGCCTATTCGAACAGCACAACCAATCGGGGCGCCACTGGAGGCAGTAGCGGTAGCGCCCCTCTTTTTTGACGATGAGCAGCTGTTTGATAATCCCATCGACACCCTTCATTGGCTTGTTATAGGGGTTTTATGCATACCAGTACTATTAAGTACCTGGTTTAGGGTGTTCTGTTGGGCATTACATATATTGTATAGATACCATGTGGCAGTTTGAGATATTGTACGCTCCTGATCTCTTCAATGAGCGACATATAGACTTCACTCCATACCCCTTTGACCACAGCTGCAGACACGAGGACAGGTATCTGATTGTTTCATCTAGATCATGTCAAGTCTATTTTTTACAGCAGTTATCAGCTTGAGCAAGGAGGAGGGAGCAACACCTACTGCAAGAGGCAGCCTGATGACAACAATGATAGTATTTACTGATCTCTGACATTAGGCCTAAGTAGGTCTCGTTGCGGTGTCTATGTAAGTATCTAGCCCGCTTAAGTACTTCAATGTTGTCCCTTGTATAGAAATACCACCCTGAGATGATTTTGGGCATGAGCTTAGACCTTCACGAAGATTAGAACACATGCTGATGCTCTCTTCATTTTCGCGTACTTATATTTTCTTGTCACTTAACCTTTGCTCCCTTCTTTTTAGCATCATGACTGGCCCTTTTCGCCTGATTGGCACGACCTCCCCTCAGCATTGCTGGGCCTTTGAAAATGGTATTTGGACGAGGGTCAGAACGGAGTTGTCATTGCTGGCTATTACAAAGCTACACTCAAATAGCACCCGTCAGTGAAATGAGGGGCTGTATGCTCTACCGATTAATTTGATGTGCACCGACGAAACCACGTAAGGGCTTATGGAACTAAAGCCATTACATGCAGGATCCAGCCCGCCTCCTTAGAATACCAGACAATTTTATTTCTTTTTTGTTCTGAAAGACCCAAAGAAATATATGACCTTTCAGCACGTGTCGATCTGTCATGCAGGTGCATATCGTGGGTTGTTTTAATTCAATGAAATTGAGTGTGTGGCTGTATAACTCAGGTGGGACCAGCATTACTCAATATATCACGGGTCCAGATGCGATTCCCATATCCGGGTGGTCCCTCCTTTCTAATTTTGGGCCGCATCCACTCATGTTATTATAGATTGCTTGAGAGGGTACCTGCAGTAGATCTGCTAGCGCATACTTTTTGTTCTTCCACCATCAGTGAGCGGGTGAGAGCAGGCGGGTCTGAAGAAAGAAAGGGAAAAGTGACGATCAAGAGTTCCTCAGCACGACCACGCGTGACACTAAAGAAAAAAAAAAAAATAGAAGAAAAATAAATAGAGCTAAAAAAACAAATAAAAATAGAGCCTGAAAGAGAAATAAAAAGAAGAAAGAAGGAAGTAGAGTCAAGAGATCGATAGATCTATCGTAGATCTTACCGACTAGCAATAAGGACCGGACTGTATCTGGTAAGTGTTGAGTGGTGAAACGTCTTTCGATCGCCCCCCAGTGTACGCGCACGTACAGACCAGCGAAATGACCGGCTCGTGTTGGACGACAGGAAAGTACGTGCACACGTGCAAAGACAGCCTATGGACCAAAATGAAGTGGATTACTAAAATTACCCCTTATATTGCTTTTGCACGTGTGCTGATGGCATTTGTGGTTATCAAAAACATGTATGTCAGGTACATCGACATCAAGTAATCGGTATATCAACCATCAGGTTCAAATTTCCCTTATGATGACGTGACACAGTTTAGGATAGTTCAAATACCCAGCAAAGTACCTATAAATCAATTATTGGTTGTCTGCTTCACTACCAAAGACTGTACCAATTCTTGAAATTAGTGGTTTTTGCTTTTGAAATGCCCATATTATGGGCTTGGCAATCTCTGACGGTCATGTACTATATAAATCATCTATTCTCACCACTGTCCTCGTAGCTAGTTATGAATGTGGCTATATCTAGTCCCGTGATATTCAAGATTCATAAATTAGAATGCAACTGATACATCTATTCTTGACTATAACTGCCACGACTGCGGCAACTGTCAACTCACACCTATCGCAAAGTCGTGGGAGTATCTCCGCGCTTGACTTCGGACATCGGAACCCATCTCCTGAGCTGTTCACCGAGGCACATAAGGTCGCAGGTCGCGCTGATGCTTCTGACGAAACCCATGAAGTTATTTCCTGGATTGGAAGTGGTTCTGAATCAGATGACCCGAAAGATCTTGCTCGTGGCCTTATTGACAATGCTTTCGATGCGTTGATTAAAGCATGTTCGCTTTTGCCTTTTCATGGGCACAATACGGCCCTAATTCTCGTATGGTCATTTTCTGATATTCTGCAATGTGGCTAATTTACTATTGATAAAACAAGGTATTAATACCATGCCATCCTCTTTAGGGAAAAGTGAGAGATAATATCCATCGTGATATATCTGCCTACCCGCGCGCACATTTGGTGGAGAGGAAAGCCGGAAGACAGTCAATAAGTACTATAGGCGGTATCGATGAGAACTCAAAGCTCGGAGAAACCCTTGTTCAGATTGTCAAGCTTGAGTGCGAATGTGTATCGGTAACGGGGTATCTTGGCACACATCTTGTCCGTGCTCTTGGGGACATCGCGCTGAAGGCCACCGAAGGTCTCGTAGGCGGAGGAATTGAAGATTCTTTGGTATGAATACAACGTTCTAGAAAAAAGTCAGATGAAGAGCTGACTATATGCTGTCAATCACAGGATGGCCTCAGGAACCAGTTCCGCAATAAGATGACTGCTGTAGCAGAAGAGCTTTTCGCACCCGAAGCAAACTGTGGTACTGACGCTTCCACTACTGCCGACGACATAGATATAGGAAACATCGGCGAAAACGAAAACTCCACAATCGAAGACGTTTTGGGTTCGCTTTCCACTGACGGATGTCGCTGTTTATCGTCAACTCTATATCTTGCCATCCATTTACTTCGTGCTTATTTTGAGGTGAAACTCGACATTCTTGCTGCAATACTTGGTGGCTCTTTACACCCACTTGCTAACCTTCTGGTGAGGCTCGTAATAATGTTCAACACTTGGACTCTACTTACAGATATCACAATTAGGACGATCTCAAAGATCTTCTCCATCAGGTCCTCTTTGCCGCTGGGGAGATTATTCGACCCGATAATGTGTGTCATGGGTCGCTCTAGGCTCAAGGTTCTGTGGTTTTGCCGTGTTGTCAGTTAGGAATATATGAGAGATAGTTGGGAGCTAATAAGCCTAGCTTACACGTCGAGCGCAATGGGAGAGTTGTATTAACAAGGATGTAATCGTCACAGATCTCAGAATTTTATCTGAACACGCCAGCGCCCTTTCCGCTGGTCTTGAATCTTGGCAATGGGGAAAATCCGCAGCTAACAAGTGACAAAATTACCGCTCAAAGCCAACTATTTGCACCAATTGTGGATCCTGCCGTGAAGATACTGCCCCGGACTTTCCTGAATGTGGCAACACTGCGTGGCCTACTCTGGGCAAAAAAACCAACTTCATCTGTACAATACTCGCGTATCTCTGATAATGTAACGCCTTTTATCAAGTTACTCTAAAAGAGTGATGTGGGCGAGTAAAGAGTGGGACGTTGTCCGATACCGAAGAGCTGTCATGATACGCGCCGAGTTAGTCATAAATCTTTTCTGATTCACAGTAATTGTTTAAACGGCTGAAAAATATATTTTTGTAATCAGATATTATGGTCTCGTATTGTCAATTTTTGATGTGATGCATACTTGCATCTGTCAAGTTAGCAACTGTATGTACTTAGTGCAATACGCAGTGAATCCAGATGATTCGGTGGCATGCAGCAAGGGAGAAATCCAAGCTACCGTTGCTCATAATACATTTATGAATGACCTCAAAGCACAAATGGATTCACAAGAAGCGGGGTCACTCTCTAGATTGACGTCTTGTTGCAGACCTTAGCCAGAACTCGGATATTAGTGGATGGTAGCTGGCTGACAATAGACCCACTGATACCAAATAACCCTCTATCATTTTAAGTTGAGTGGCTAAAATATGCATTGAACGCTATCTTGGGCGAGCTCATAGCTCATTTGCTCAAGGACATATGACGTGTCAGGAAGCGGGTGAGTGAGCGTCTGAGGGTCTGAGCTCGACAGCTGTCTCCACCCCAATAAGCACTCGTGTCTCTCGAATCAGCCAGAGGAATGACTCGGTACCGGCTTGTCTACTACAGAGCTTATTGCTCCTCCTAGATTGACAGGGTAATAAAATCATTTCCTTCTAGGCGGGCCATCCTTGTTTCGTGTCTAGATGTGGATCCAGGCTGCTTCGTTTGATCCAAATGCCCAGGGCTATGTTAGGTAGACCGAGAGTCGAACTTCCGGTATCCGTTGCGGGCCTCGAGGCTTCCGGCCACCGAGCTGCAAATCGCCCTCGTCTGGAATCATCATTTCCCCTCTCGCATTATTAACTGGAGCCTCCTATTGGGCTGTCACGCGGGACGCGGACGGACCGTAACACATCGTGCAGATCGCCTCTCCACTCTATCTGCAGCTCAACGTCCAATCGATGTCATCAGCTGCAAATGTGCCGTTTTTATGCTCGGCAGCGTCTTGACAGACTTCACAGAATTGATTTCTGCTTTATTGAAAGTGAGAATGATGTTAGACTTCTCTATCAACTAGGGGATTCGCAAATGAACGAGATTGCAGTCACATAAGAGTCTATGAATGCCGGGGCAATTGGAAGTAGCCAGGTGCCTATGCCGCATCATCACGGCACAATCGACTAGCATCGTCTGCCCCATAGCCTAGACTTAGTGGCAACACATCTCCGAAACTTACCCCGCTTGTATCTTCATGCTGTTGACCTCGACCTCTGCGTAACATGGGACGTAACGCCAGCGTGTTAGGGATTGCAGCTCGGGTGCGACCAGGGTGGAAGACTTAAATAGGCCTTCATCCGGTCCTTCAGCTAGACTCATGGCAACCAAACCAGGATATTCTTTCTAACACATCATGCCTACCATTCTGGCCATCGTTGTGATATCGTACATTGTGTACACCGTTTGCGCGGCCATCTGGAACATCTATTTGCATCCGCTCCATCGGATTCCTGGTCCAAAGCTATGGCTAGCCTTTCCCATCTTACGCTACATCTCATTCATGAGAGGAGTATTGGATAGGGACATGCGAACATACCACAATCGCTACGGCGGAGCCGTTCGCTTCAGCCCAAATGAGGTCTCGTTCATCACCACGCAGGCGTGGAAAGACATTTACGGCCACGGGCATCGGCAGTTGCCCAAGGTGCCAGGGTCAATGAACAATCCCATGGATATTATCAGTGCAAACGACTCCGACCATACTCGATTTCGCAAGGCTATATCCCATGCGTTCTCTGCTAAGGGTCTTCAAGCCCAGGAACCTTTCATCATGGAGTATGTCGACAAGCTTATCAACAAGCTGCACAGTATGGCCAAGTCACAAGTAGCCGTGGATATGGCGAAGTGGTACAATCTCACAACATTCGACCTGATTGGAGACCTCGCTTTTGGAGAATCATTTGGTGGACTGGACTCGACGGAGTACCATTACTGGGTGTCAACTATCTTCGAGTTCATCAAGGCCATAGCATTTGCCAGGTTCAAAGATAATTATCCAATGATGTTCCAAGTCCTAGAGCGCTTCCTACCAAAACACCTGTTGGAGGCGAAAAGAAGACAGGACGAATATAGCTGGAATACAGTACAGAAGCGGTTGCATCATCAGAGAGATCGTGGTCAAGCAGACTTCATGCAGTCCATGCTTCGTCACCGCGGAGAAAAGGACGGGTTGACGGATGAGGAGCTCGCAGCCAATGCAAGTATCCTTGTCATTGCTGGCAGTGAAACCACAGCAACGCTGCTATCTGGGCTGACGTATTGGTTGCTCCAACACCCTAAGGAAATGGAAAAAGTGAAATTCGAAGTGCGATCTGTCATGAAGACCGAGGAAGATATCGATGTCAATAACGCCACAGCTAAGCTTCCCTACATGCTGGCATGTATTGATGAGGCCTTTCGTATGTACCCCCCTGTCTCGGGCGGCTTACAGCGATACGTACCAGACACGCCTACTGAAATCTCGGGATATCTGCTCCCCCCTAAGGTAAGTCTCACTTATTATACTGAAATACCCAATGCTAATACTTTTCAGACAAACGTATCTGTTCACCAGTCTGCTGCATACCGGTCTCCTCTCAATTTCTATAGACCCGAAGAATTTATTCCAGAACGATGGTTGCCTCAATCAAAGAACGACCCCTCATCGCCGTTCTACCATGATAATCGGGATGTTCTGCAACCCTTCTCAGTTGGTCCACGAAACTGTATAGGCCGGAACTTGGCCTATGCAGAAATGCGTGTCATCCTTGCCAGAGTACTGTGGAACTTCGATATCGAATTGTGTGAAGAGAGTCGGGACTGGCATGATCAGAAATCGTATAACCTGTGGGCGAAACCCCCGCTCATGTGCAGGCTTAAGGCTCGCGTTCATTGATCTACTCATTTGGGTTTGACTCTGGTGTTCAATTGGCAGTCCGATTAAAGAAATACCTATGTAACAGGGCTCTGGTATAGTGCAGAATGACATTTGAGCTCAATCCAATACTTCGCTTCGCTTTTTAACAACACATAATGTATGACCTAAAGATGGCCACCAAAATTAGTGACTCCCTACCAAGTTCCTACGAACCCCCCTGTGCCCTTCCCCGTAACCCAATCAGGCGTATACTTGGAGCATTAACCGCCCAATCTTTTCAACATCTGTCTTATATTTTAACGGGCCTTGCCTGCTCTTTCTCTTCTTTTGGAATGGTCCATGCAGATCCGGGGTGAGCTACCCCGAGCCCACCCCGCCCCCGCAAATGCGGGGTGACGGACATCCTCCGATACTTAAGCTCCGCTTTGTTGTCACTGAAGGAATGGTATCATAGCATTCTGTCTCTGTCCTATTGCGCAGGGAGCTCTCACAATGTCTAAACCGACAGAGGCATTTACTGAATACCACGAGGATGCAACGAAGATCCAAGAATCAAATCAAGATGCCATCTACCAGACATATGTCGCGAAGAGCCCAGAATGGCATCGGGAAATGACCAAGAAGCTTCTTCGTAAGGTGGACATCCATCTTCTTCCGTTTCTAGTGGTGATGTATTTGCTCAACTTCCTCGATAGAAAGTACGTTCTGGCTCAGCTCTTACCCTGTAAGGTCTATACTAATTCCTACATCAGTAACCTCTCACAGGCCCGACTAGGCTCACTGGAGCAAGACCTCGGAATGAAAGGAACAGACTATAATCTGGCCACGAGTATTCTCTTCGTCGGGTACCTCCTCATGCAACTGCCGTCCAACCTCCTTCTCACACGCGTGCGACCGTCATTATTTCTGGGAACAGCAATGGCTATTTGGGGTGTCATCTCAGCCTGTCAGGCTGCAACACAGTCATTCACAGGATTGGTCCTTGCGCGTTTCTTTCTTGGGTTTGTGGAGGCGCCTTTCTTTCCTGGTGCAATCATGCTGATGTGAGTTGTGCAACGATAAGCCCATTTGTGCAGTGCTAATGTGTACAGGTCGAGTTGGTACACCAGACAAGAGGTAGGCACAAAACCAAGCTGGTTCATGAGATGTCGGACTGACCAATGCAGTTGAGTCATCGCATTGCGTGGTTCTATGCTGGAAGTTCTCTGGCAAATGCCTTTGGTGGCCTGATTGGAGCTGGGGTGCTGGGAAACTTGGACGGTGCGCATGGGATAGCGGGGTGGCGATGGCTCTTCATTATTGAGGGGTGCATTACTGTTGGAATATCACTGACATCAACGTGAGTCGTCTACTGTAGATCTAATTTACTGGTCTCTGACTGTATAGACTGCTCTTGCCGAACTACCCCGCCACCACGTCATGGCTTGACGAGACCGAGAAACTATACGCGCAATGGCGACTGATCCATGATGCTGGAGAAGCAGACGAAGCCAAGTCAACCAACATCAAAGAAGCACTTTATCTCGTGTTTTCGGATAAGCGGATCTACCTCTTCATTCTTCTTCAGCATACGTCGCTCCTCTCGCAAAACTTCCAGTATTTCTTCCCTACCATTGTCGAGACACTCGGCTATGGAAATATCGAGACGTTACTGATAACTGCACCTGTCTGGATCGCTACCTTCCTGGTGTCCCTTTTTGTGACATGGACATCTGGAAAGACAAACGATCGCGGCATACATATTATTCTGTTGATGCTCGTTAGTGTGGTGGGATGCATAATCTGCACTGCTACGACGAACATCGGTGCGAGATTTTTTGGCATGTTCTTGTAAGCATCTCTCCATTCGCTCTTTCTTCATATGGATACTGATAGTGTAGGATGCCAATGGGCGCCGTATCCGCCTACCAAATCATCATTGCCTGGGTGGCCAACTCCTTCCCCCGCCCGCTGGTCAAACGTTCAGCTGCAATCGCAACAGCCAACATGATTGGCAACACAGCGTCCATTTATGGAAGCTATATGTGGCCGTCGTCATCAGGGCCAAGATATATTGCCGGTGGCAGTGCCACAGCAGGGATAGCCCTGCTAGTTGCGATGATTGCTTTCGTGATTCGTGTTGTGCACGTGAGGATGAACAAGGCGCTGGATGCGGCGGAAGAGGATAGAGGTGGAGCAGAGGTCGATAATCTGGAGGCTCGGAATGCAGGGTTTAGATATATTCTTTAGATTTACTTACAGTGAGCGAGGTGTTATAGAAGGTTGGATGGAATTGGAGTACTCTGAAGACGGATGGAGATTACCTCATCTGCAACATAGGACAAATTGAAATGCCGCAACACCTATACATCTTCAGCTCGTGTCCGTAGGCTCCAGAATTATTTCTGATGACCCATGTAATAGGACGAGTGTGGGATAAGCTTATTGACATGACGTGGACTAGTCTGTACTCTGTTTGCTAAAGATCTCATGATCCAACTCCACTTATCCCAGAAGTGGTATACTTAAATACCAACACTATCCAGATACCTTATCACTAACCCATCCATCTCCCTCATCCTTCCACATCACGTCCACTATCCCCAAAATGAAGCCCCTCCACATAATCCTCTCCCTGGCGGGCTATGCCCTAGCCCAAACTTCAACCTCCACCACAACCACAGCCACCATCTCTTCTAACACCCTCTCATCCTCATCCACCTCATCATACACCACCATCCAAATCTTCAACATCCTCCCCACCTCACTCACCTCCCAAAGCACAACCCCAACCCCACCCACCACCCTCGCCACCTTCGACGCCAGCATCATCTCCGCCGGCTCCTCCACTACCATTCTCGCCGTAACCTGCAACGGCGCGTGCCCCATCCCGTCCATCTATACAATCACCGCCGCACCCTCCACCTACGCCGAGCACGGCTCCTTCATCGGCTCCGCGAACGGCCTCACAGTAACAACCTCCCAGAGTAATGCGTGCAACATTACCTCCTCGACGCAGGCTGCGTCGTGCTCCGTCACAATCGGGTACTATGGGTCTGTGAGCGGGGGCCAGAATTCCTCGTCTGTGGTTACTTCGGGCACGTCGTATAGCTCGGGTGAGATCTGGTACATGCCTGTTACTGTTACGGCTGGGGCGGAGAAGTTGGCGAGTGCGACGCAGACGACTGGGGGTGGGAGTGGAAGTGGGAGTGGGAATTCGAATGGTGGGGTAAGGGTTGAGCTTGGAGGATGGGGTTTGGGGGTGGTGATGGCTGCGGGGCTTGGGATTTTGGTTTAACTGGTTGTGGTTGATCTATTGGTTAATTGGTGAGGGAGGGAGTGAATGAGGAGTTATATGTTACCTTGTGTTTGTGGTGGTTCTTTGAAGTCTAATTTTATTTTCCACGATTCTCAAAGCTGGAAACACTCTGTCTAATCTGATAGGCTGGGGAGAAAGCGTACTCGGGCTTGCTACACAATGTAAGGAAACTCCCAGTATCCCTACTATTAAACTTGATAGTATTTACCGTTGGCGAGAGTCTGAGTTTGTCCTGCCATGCATGATCAATTGGTGGTGAAGTACATTTAGTAGCAAGGGCAGGCACATGCCATGCACGAGGCAGACAGATAGCTTCAGATACCGAGATGTGAGATACGCATCCTGTGCCGACCTTTCCGAAAGGACTCAGCACTATGAGGTCTATTTTACACATTTGATAATCTTTAAAAAACAAGGAGTCAGTGGAAGCCGATGTTATATCGGGTTATAGGAATAAATATCCACAAAATAGCGCTCGTAATCGGTATCCGCCGTGCATACAGAAGGATGGAAACGCATGAACCATTTCTGTCGTGTCTGTTCACAAGCACTACTCTTCGTTGTACCTCAGTTCATGTGCTTAGAAGGAACACCTGGCTCATCGGAATCCCCCAGGATAGGAAACGTCCATGGTTATATAAGACCGGTTCGTCCTAGTTTCTTTGTATTCTTCATACATCGCTTAACTTTCTGTTTCAACATCATCATATACAGATTAGATCAATCTCTCATCTCCACGCTGTAACAGTGTCAGCTCATTACAGGAATGAATTCGCCCGTTCCTGAACATCCCGCCGCGCGCACCGCTTGTATGTCACCCAAGAAACCCTCCATATCAGTGCTAACACCCTTCAGGTGGAAGCTGTGCGATCCGCGGAAAACCGTGCAGGGTCGAGGAAGGAGAAATTGCTTGTACTAGATGCTCACGCCATGGTCTAAGTGAATGCGATGCGTATTTTGCAATGGTGCAACGCCTCAAGGATGAAAAAGAGTATGCCACATTCACGGTTATGCCACAGTCCCCACTGACAAATGTAGATCCAAAAACAAACTTATGGATGAAGTTGCAGACCTGAGAGATGAGATCAACACACTATGCAGGAATACACCTGGAGCAGTGTGCATGTCTGATGCGGTTACGCGAATGAAGAATCTCCGCATCGAAACAGGCTCCGGAGCTAGTGCAGCCCCTATTGAAAGTGATCTCATTTCAGAGGGTGTTGTTTCGCTGGAAGAAGCAGAGGATCTGTTCAGCATGTTTACTACATGCGTTAATCCGCTCCTATGGGATGGGCTTCTCATGCAACATTCGACGTTAGACTCTGCCCGCAGGTCATCCGCAATGCTCACGGCTGCCATTCTTTCCGTCGCTGCACTACTTTCTCCCGACCGAGCCGAAGTATACCAAAAATGCCATGAAGTCTTTGTATCTCTCTCCCTCATGCGAAGATTGGTAGATACTCATAATAATAGCTTAGATGATATTCGCGCTTTGTGCATTGGTGCATTCTACCTCAAGTATTTGGGCGAGCGGCTTTCTAGCGAGGCCATTCGCATTTCACGCGACCTCCGCCTAGATGAAGCCTTCGATCAATACATGCAGGGCGAAGTAACCGAGATGGAACATGTTCGGCTGTGGTGTCTCGCCTACATATGCGAGCAATGCTTCACCACCGGGCGCGGCCGTCCTCTAAAGGGTGCTGAGCATGAACCAGTTTGGGATATGACGCGAATTCCCCTTCAAAAGCATGCCAGTCACGAAGATAGAAGGTTAATCGCCCTCGTATTATACTTTGATACCTTGGCAAATGCCCACACGGCCTTTTACATGAATTGCCGCCAGCCTCTGAAAGAAGATGATATGACGACAATACTGGCGTTCGACGACGCTATTAAGCGATGCCTACAGGAATACCCGACTGGAACATTATATAGCAGCCACCCTCATTCTTCTTTGCCGCAGGATTTGAAGGACATGTACCATGCCTTTGCTCAGTTTCAGATCTACTCACTGGCATTTCGCGGTATTTTTCCTGATGATAACGGTCCGACGAATTTTCAAGCGTGGTCATTCGAGCACTGCTATGCTGCGGGTGCTGCAATTGACGCTGCCATGAAGGTACTGCGCGTCATAGGAACTGACAGTGATCTCTCATTGAATTTCCGCTATCTCCCCACTCACGTCTATCACATGGTGGGGTTTTCTGCTTTCTTTCTTCTGAGAATCGTCGGATTGAATATAGGCCTGGCGGGCAGCGCTATGGGTGACATCCATCGACTCGGACTGCCAATCGATCCGGGACGCATTGCCCATGTTGCTCTGCGCGTAGCTCGGTGTCTACATACAAAAGGCGCCGACCTCAACGAAGAGCATACTTCTAATGTTGTGGCCTCGAGTCTGCTGACTATGTTGCGGCTGCTTTCTGACTTGCGATGGGCTGGCAATAACGAGGTACCAGTTGACGGATGGGGTCAATTACTACAGTATCCAGCAAACACTGATACGTCTATTATCAGTTATGCTGATGGGACATTTGACATTGGCTTCAATCACCTATTGCCATACTGGTTTGAGATAGACGCTATGATCTAAATGTCTTATGAATTACCCACTTTCTATCTAGCTTGAACTGGGAACCCTGCTGTTACAAGCGTGCCCTGGCTGGCTCGCTATACAATGACGCAGATTGCTTTGGAATCAAATGATCCACGTCCAATGTATTCAACAGGCCCAGATGTGCCTGGGATAGATCCGTAATTCCCAATAGTTTCATGGTCGTCTCTAATTCATCTCTCATAACTGCGACCGTCAGCATTCTCACTTGGTCAAACACAGGAACGGAATCATACTCTCAATCAACCTCTCCACTCCCTCCTGCCCATAACACAAACTGTACAGAAAATGCCTCCCCATTCCCACAGCCTTCGCACCCAGACATATCGCCTTGATGATATCCGTTCCTCGTCGAATGCCCCCATCGACAAATACCTCCAACCGATCAAACACCTGCGGACAGCGCCGCCGGATCTCCAGCAACACAGCAATGGATGAAGTAGACCTACAACAATCAGCACATTCACCACTCCCCTCCACTGTTAACAAAAGAAAGAGAACTCACGTATCCAAACTCCTCCCCCCGTGATTACTAACCACAATCCCATCCACGCCATGCTCCACCGCCAAGACCGCATCCTCCGCCGTCTGTACCCCCTTCAACACAATAGGCAGAAAGGTATTCTGCTTCAACCACGCCAAATCCTCCCACGTGAAACCCGCATCAATATACTGTCCCATCGAACGTCCCAAACCTCCTCCCTTCTCATCATTCCCACCGATACACGCCCCGCTCATTGGCAACGGCGTTCTAAATCGGATATCGTGGGGATCAAGCGGAACCCGTTCATCCGCTTCCCGCTTCCCAGCCACAGGCGCATCAACAGTCACGAATATCGCTTTGGCTCCATTTTCTTCTGCGGTGCGGAGGAGACGTCGGGATACTTCTCTGTCTTTGTTGACGTAGAGTTGAAAGAAGAATGGATGGTCCTTCTTGTTTTGCTTGGCTGCGGCGGATGTTATTTCGGAGAGGTGGTAGGCTGCGTTTGTGGAGACCTTCATTCCCACGCTCTGTTAGTATACATTCAACAAGATATGATGAGGGGAATAGACATACACACATCCCAACACCATACCTCGCACATCCCCTCGCGAGCGCAAGCTCACCGTCCGGATGAACTAGCGTCGCCATTGCCGCGGGACTCATGAACAACGGTAGATCCATGCGACAGCCCAGGATATTTGTCTTCGTTGACACGGAAGTAACATTCCGGAGGATTCGCGGACGGAGGAATATCCGATCGTACATAGTTCTATTCGACTCGTGGGTGAATGTATCTGTCGCGGCTGAGGAGTAGAAAGCCCATGTTTTGGGTGTGAGGGATTTGGAGGCTGCTTTTTCGAAGTCGTGGGTTGAGAGGATGGATGATAGGGGCGGTGGTTGCATGGTGGTAGACATATTGGATTTGCTGTTTGTCATTCTTGGTCAACTGATGAATTTCAAATTAGTATCGTGGTGGACAAGTGAGTGTACTTGTCGAACTTTATATTCTTTTACTTAGGGATTGAGTTTTGTAGTATATCGGTGTAGTTCTAGACCTGTATGACTGGGGTCGGCGCCGCTAGAACTTATTCCACCAATTAGATTTGCCGTTAGCGGAGATCATTACCGGGATATCTTATCGATCTCTCGGGCGAGAAGTTTTACGGCAGGAGATACGTCATTCGGAAGGGAAAACACAAGTATAGGTATGTCGGGATATGGTTTCCGATGAGTCGGGAGGATCTCTCAAGGGTGAGATGAGTTGTGGATCTCGGAAAGGCTTTCATTTTCTTACATAGGTAATCCGCGTTCATAGCATCGATTTCCTAGGTTCTCAGTTGGCTTCGCATATGCCTGAAAAATATCAGTATCAGTCAAATAATGCGTATAGTGAAATAGGAACCTGAAGGAATCCAGTATTGCTCACATTTGTGATGCGGACTTAGTTCCACTTGGTGGTCTAAAGTGAGACTCTACTGCTGCAACAATAATCGGGTCTATTGGTCATTCACTGGTGAGCTAACCCCAATTGTTGCTGGTTCAAAAAACCACACAAGTATCTACCATCCCACAACATGTGCAGCTACATCTGCGTCCCGGAAATAGTCTGTTTCCATTGTACAGAAAAGAGTTTTATACACGGCAGAGCCGAAAATCATGTCATTTCTCTCCCCTCTGCTCCACCAGAAAGGTCAGCTGGATTTATCCAGAATTGGGTTGCTTGAACTGAGCGAGGCTTATCTAGTCAAGCTCTGGTCAACTGGATATTAGTGAATAGTATTGTTATAATTCATTCCACTATTACATGTTTCTAATGTCTACTTTGCGGCCGTCTATCATGAAATATCCTTCTGGAATTCGCTCTCCAACTGTTAAAACCATTTGCGACCTCTTGGTTTCGGTATTCAATGTAGATTGTCACATCCATAATAACTAACATGATATTCCGAGGGAAATGGCCAAGTTCGCACGGCTACTAGTAGAATACCTTGGCCTTGGTCGTACAAGTTGCGCTCAATATATAACAAGGCTCAGTTTATACAGAAAGAGATAACATTAAAGCACTTGTATCTACGTGAAATATACATCAACAAACGCTTCATTCCATCGCACAGAACTCGAACTGTGTAAATAACGTGTTTCAACGACACTAACCCGGCTGTGAATGGTATATACTCTACCCCTGAACATCTAGATATCCGTCTGATCCACCAGCCCCTCAAACTCATCACAAATAGCCAACCTCTCCTCACAAGCCTTCCGCATCGCAGCAACAGCATCCTTTCCAATCGGCAATCTCAAAGGCAATTGCTTTCCCTCAAACTTGCCCGTTCCCTTGACTGCCTCCACCACCACCTTCGCCGCCTTCGCCGGATCACCCTGCTGGTTGTGGTTCGTAGCCGCACACCCAGCTTCCACCAGACCCCGGAGCTCCTCATACTCCGGCAGTGGGCGAGGCGCCCGGCTGTGGAAGTTTCCAGGGTTCATAACCTCCGTACGGTAGTAGCCGTAGGTGAGTAGCGAAGTGCGGATTCCGAATGCCGCCAGCTCCAGGGCCAGATTGGGCACCACCGCCTCCAGGAGACCCTTGCCTCCGGTGTAGCAGGATGCGCCGGGCGCACCGAAGTAGACTCCAAGGCTGCTGGCGAACAGCACGGTTCCAGATTTCTGGGCGCGCATGAGGGGCAGGAAGGCGCGGGATACGTTGAGAGGACCGAAGGCGTTGGCGCGGAGGGCATCAATCAAAAAGGGTTCGCTGGGTGGTCTGTTAGTACAGTGAGTGCGGTATATGACGGAGGAAGGACTGACGTAATTTCTTCGACAAGCCCTGCGTCGATGTAGCCCGCGTTGTTGACTAGTACGTCGACTTTTCCGTAGATCTCCCAGATTTCGCGTGCCTTGGCGTCTAATTCTTCCTGGGGCCGGCTCACGTCGAGCTCGAACACTGCGGCTCCGGCTTCTTTCAGAGCTGAGAGACGGTCGGCTCCGCTGACATTGTTGCGGGCGCGAGCTGTTGCGATGACTTTGTCACCCTGTTTGTTTATTGACCTGTGTGAGCAGAAACTCCGGATGGGTCAAATGCGGGGGTTTCTCACCTGGGCGAGGATGGCGCGGACTAGGGCTTCGCCGATGCCAGAGGAGCAGCCGGTGACGACCCAGGTAAGAGGTTGGCTGGACATTGTATATATAGGGTATGTAAACTGTCGTATATAGAAAGAGGAGAAGAAGAAAATGCAATTGAGAGAACCAGACGAGATTCTGAGGAGGGGAAGAAGAGAAAAATAAATAAGTGGGGGAGTGGCAGGAGGAGGTAAGCTTGCTGCTGTCAGTGCCCAGCCATTTTGGGGCCTATGTTTTGGTCTGCGAGTGCAAAAGCCTCATCCTTTCGCGCTAAGCTTGGACTAGTTTTGCTTGGCGTGGCACTTGTATCGCAGGCGATCTACTGGGGGCCAATAGCAGGGTCCCAGTTGCGGAGGGGTCAGAAATTAGTGTATCAGGTAGAAAGAGACACTGATACCGAATAAGCTTTATCACGTGTAAACATATTTAACATCAGACTAGAACTTTTCGAACTCGATACCAGCTTTCCTGATTTTATACTAGCTTTTTGAAATTAAATCAACTTTTATATCAATATTTCTAGAATATGATAGGGTCTTTTTGGAGACTATCAAAGTATTTAAAATATCAGGAATTTCAAGAGATTTTTATTTCATTCATGAAAAAGAATTTCAAGTTATATACAGACCTAATTCAGTATTAGAAATAATATTATATCGCAAGTATAAGAGAATTCAATATCAGGATTTTTCTGATTCTGAATGAATTATTTTTTCCCAGCTCTGTTCTGACACTATTGTACTAATTTCTGAAACTGGGTTGCCTGCCACTAGCCTTGAATCGAGCATATCTAGTGCTTACTGTCAGCCTACTTTGATATGGTTCCTGGGATCCACTTGTCTTGCTACGTATACAATTCCTCGCCAGCTCTTTTATTACCCCGCTTCTTCCTCAATTAAATTTACCCCTCGATCATTCCACAATCTGACTACTCTCCTCTGGCTTTTTTTTTTTAGTTAACTACACTCCTTATCTGCGCAGATAACGCCGCCCACCTGCCCCCAGACAATTATCAAACTCAGCATCCAAGATGTCCTGGGCAGAAGTCTCCCCAAGCCGATACGAGCGTCCGTTCGACTCAATCGAAACTTTTTATCGTGCTGTTGCTGCCGCCGGTGCCCCACTGAACAAAGAACACTACCTGATTACCTGCACTCTCCAACTATCGCCTCTGCCTCCCGCCACTGCAGTTGAACAAGCCTGGAAAGCCCTCCGCCATGTCTACCCCCAATTGGCCGCTGAACCAGAAACAGACAGCAACGGCAGCGATCGCTTTGTCTATGAGGCAATCACCACCACCACCCAGCTCGACAGCTGGGCCAAAGAGACTTTCCATGTCGACACCGATCGAACTGCCAATGACCTCTACGAGCAGCTGACACCATCACCGCGCGTCCACCTCTACTACCTCCCCAGTACCTCCGAGGTGGTCTTCCGCACCCCCCACTGGCGCATCGACGGCATCGGCCTGCATCACATGCAATCCGCCTTCCTGCAACTCCTCGCAGACGGAACCGTTCATCCCATCGACGGGACCGAACCCTCGCGTCTCTGTCCCGCTGTGGACCAAGCCGTCGCGGACTCCGATCTCCCCAAGACAATCCCTCTAGACGAAGCCACCGCCACAGCTGCCTCCAACAAAGAACTCCAACCATGCCTCACCCAAACTGAGAATGGCAATCTCATGCTTCCAACTCTCCCCAACGTCCTCCCCACCACCCCCAAACGCATCCTCCGCCACATCGACAGCGCTACTACCGCCCGTCTCCTGGATGCATGCTCCGCCCACAACATCACAATCACAGCCGCCACCCACGCTGCCCTCGCCCTAACAGGCCTCCAACTCGCCCTCCACCTGGAAAAGAAACCAGACTACGTCGGGTTCAATCCCATCGACCTGCGTCGCTACCTCCCCCAACCGTGGAACGGCTCTGCAGCGGCCGTCTCGCTCTACCATACTGGCCTGCCGTTCCGCATCCCACTCTACCCAGCGCAGGTCGAGAAACGGGAAGAATTTATTCGCCTTGCCCAGGAATTTACATCACTCTACAAGAGAAATCTGGCTAAAGAGGCGCCACAGAACTTGTTCGATTTTTTGCCTACATATGTGGGTCGTGTTATGCAGGTGTTGGGCGCTGCGCCGCCGGATCCGCTGCTCGCTCCAGCACACCCGGAGTTGAGTTCTATGGGGAGGGTGAATCAGTTGCTCAAGACGGAGGTGGAGGGAAAGGAGTGGACGGTGAAGGTGGAGGAGTGGTGGGTGGCTATTGAGGTTATTAATCGTTTGTTGTTGACCCAGGTATGGACGTTTAATGGGGAGTTGGTGCTGTCAGTGCATTGGAATGAGGCGTTTTATGAGAGAATTTTCGTAGAGGGTGTGTTTGAGAGGTGGAGAGAGGAGTTGATTGGGGGGTTGTTGGAGTAGATTAATTCTTATATCAGTAAACAGAGTGCAGCAGATTACAGAAGCATAATAGATTAGCAAATCTATATTTCGTTGTAATATAATCATATTGTAGAAATCGGAAAGTTGTATGTCCTCAGCAATCGATTGGACGCAAGCTGACCTCATACTCAACCGTTTCCTCATCTACTTCACCATTCTCTCCATTCTATTGTAATATTGGAGTTTTGTTGTCTTTTTGCGGAATCGGAGACGATACTGAACGTCGGGATGTATATATTATGGTTGGGGTGCAACGTTCTTGCTGTCTCAGACGTTCAGCGGCGTTAGGTCTGAAACTCGTGATACCTTGGCAGCTGGTAATGTTTGACTATATACTATTAACACAACTAGTTCAATCTATCAAAATAGAGTAATATTATTGTGTAATCACCGAGTCCGGACGAGTGATGGCTCTTTATGTCGCATGTATGCCAGCTTTGATGCAAGAAGAACGTGGGAAACCAACACCTACCATATTCCACCCCAAAGTCTCTGTGCTCTGATATCTATATTTCCTTGCGCATATCTTTATCCGCGGCCTCTGAGTCTTTAATACACAATGTGTGAATTTGGGGCCGTTGCTGACTTTCCTGACCACTAACACTCGAACAAGAACCGGTCAAAGCGTAACCCGTAATGCAGGGACAACTGCGCATTGTAGGTTGCAAGGGAAACAGTCACACTCTTCCCTCTGGGCCTCACTGGACCAGCCTTATTCCTCTCATCATCTAAGTCGTGGAATTACTAATCACTGCTTATGATTTGGGCAAACCTTACAATATATGACAGATTTCGTTCCGAGGCACATGGAAGTTCCCACTTATCGCACGTGCAAATATGAATCTTCTAGTAGTAAATGTGTATATCTACGAAACTCGATCTGAATATATATTCTTTTCCATATTGCAATATAGCAAGTGTGAGGAGGTGTTCTCATTCTTACAGTATCTTCCATTGTACTCAGCCCTCACTGATCCAGCCTTCACCATGAAGCAGTGAGTCCTTGGCTACTCAAGTCATGACGCATTTATCAGAGTACACAGTACGGCTGATTGAACCCAAAAGGTCCTGACAGCATGGGCGTTGATTTCCACAAATTGCCCAACCCTCTGCAGGGTATTAGAACGAATCACCTGTTGTGGAAAGGAAGGAAATATCCGACACTGCCGGCATTAGTGCACTGACTTAAGGAAGGTGGATACTAGATTAGGCGGAGGAGCCAATCAGCAATGTTGGAACCGATTCCAGAAACGGTATAGTATCCTCACCGTTCATATGGATCGATGATCTGTCTCGCAAATGCCGAGAAGAGTCTTGAAGCGAAATCACAATGAAGGGACCCTATTGGCATGTTTCTCTTAGTGCTTATAAACTCCACATCCTGCCAAGAGCATAGGCATATATAAGTAGAAACCACGATGACCCCGAAACTTACAGAGTAGACAAAATGGCCTTGTTCTTCGACCTCCTCGACATCGCAAAGGAAAAAGGCCCTCTCCTGGCAGCTGCTGGCATCAGTGCCCATGTTTTCTATTGGTCTCGCGGGGAACGCAGCGCCAAGGAGGGTCGCGCCTGGGTCTATGCCAATCTGATTGTGAACACCTTAGCCCTACTCACCACCATCAACAACCATGGAAGCTGGACAAGCATCTATGCATGGGTCCTGGGCATCAGCACCGTCTTCGTACTGAACATCTGCTTCTACTTCTCCCTCTTCACCTCAGTGCTAACCTACCGCGCATTCTTTCACCGTCTGCATCACTTCCCAGGCCCATTCTCTCTCAAGCTGTCTAAGTTTGTAACCGGATACGAGAACCTCGAGAAAAACCGAAACTTCGAACGCGTATGGAACCTCCACAAACAATACGGAGATATCGTCCGCACAGGACCCCAGGAACTCAGCATCTTGTCGGCTGAAGCCATCGATGTCATCTACGGTCCTTCAAGCAAATGTACCCGTGGCCCATGGTATGATCGCCTGAAGGGCTCGGGTGACTTCACGCATGATTATGCGGTGTTTCATATGCGGGATCCGGCTCTGCATTCTCAGCGGAGGAAGGCTCTTTGGGATAAGGTGTTTAGTGGGAGAGGTTGGTTACCATACCCCCTGGGATGAGTTACGTTGTACTCACTTTAAAGACAGCGCTGAAATCCTACCAACCAATGGTCATCCGCACAACGGAGCAGTTCCTCGATGCTGTGGCTCAGCGCGTCAATCAACCGCTTTCTGTTCCCAGTACCATGTCACTCCTCAGCTACGATCTCATGGGAGTCGTCGGGTGGGGCCACTCCTTCAACAATATAGAGACGTGGGAGCTGAACCCGAGTCTGCATTTCATCAAGAACATGAGGGCTGGTCAGCATGTCATGGTTCATACGCCGTGGCTCATTAGCTTGTTAATGAGCCTGCCGGGTGCTGGTAGTGCAATTCGAGAGTATGGAAATTGGATCCAGGATCGTATCCAAGAAAAACGGCAACAAGAGGAACGAAATGAGGTGCCTGGGGAAGATATCATGACGAGGATGCTCCCGTCCATGCGCGGTCTATCTAAAAAGGCGTTGTATAGTGAGGGGGAATTGCTCGTTATTGCGGGAGGGTAGGTCCTACCACTCAATTAATCTTACACATCTGACAATGAGCAGAGACACCAGCTCTGTCACAATGAGCGTTATTATCTACCATCTCGCCAGTAACCCGTCCCTCCAACGCAAACTTCAAGCCGAACTCGACTCCGCAGCAGCGAAGCGCCAAAAAGACCCAGCACCCCCCACCGAGTCCCCCGAGGACACCTACTACCGCTCCATATCCTCCCTCCCTTACCTTAACGGCTGCGTCAGCGAAGCCCTCCGCATCCAACCCCCAGTGCACGGTGGGATCCAGCGCAAAACTCCACCAGAAGGAATCCACATCCCCAACGAGAAAGGCACCTCCACCTTCATCCCGGGACATACACTGGTCAGTGTGCCGATCCTACCCGTCCAGAATGACCCCCGGTACTATAGGAACCCGGAGGAGTATGTCCCCGAGCGCTGGACGGACGAAAAGCCCGATTGGATTATGAATAGAGCGGCATATTTCCCCTTTGTAGGTGGTGCATATAGTTGTGTTGGAAAGGGGTTGGCGTATATTGAGTTGAGGGTTGTGGTGGCGATGTTGTTTGGGAGATTTAATGTACGGTTGGCGGAAGGGGAGGATGGGAGGAGGTTTAGGGAGGAGACGAGGGATACGTTTGTGGCAAGTTTGGGGGAGTTTAGGGTTGTGTTTAGTGAGAGGGCGGAATAACGTGTTTGTGTGGATTGTGGATGAGGGTCTGTGCTTGTTTGTTATTTGTATATGTGTTGGTGTGAAATGTGAGGGGCAAATGAATGTGAATACGTGCTGGAATGAATGAATACTGCAATATATGGAAAGTGATAAAACTATGATAGGGTTCAAGAGACCGACAATGGCGGGGAACAGGAAAAGAGAAAAGAAAAGAAAAGAAAAGAAAAAAAAAAGAAGAAGAAAAAAAAAAAGAAAAGAAAAAAAAAAGAAGAAAAAAAAAAAAAGAAAAGAAAATTTCAAAGAACCTAGAGGAAATGTTATAAGTTTTTGATGAATAGAATGAACGGAAAGATCTTGATATGATTCTTCAAATGGCAAGTATTATGTCCACCATAAACAGTTCATCCGATAAAAGGGTCCTGGGGCAACAGGTTCCGATTCGCCAATCTAATGTGGCTTAGCTGGATCAACACGCCTAGTTTCCCACGATAGCGTCACAATAGCCACTGACACAAACACACGTGTAATGCACGAATAATGTGTTCGATATAGCGTGGCTAAAAAGACCCCTCCTCTCGTCTCGCTAATTCCAGCTGCGCCCGCAATTCGTCTCAAGAATGTGACACTTCCCAGTAATTTTCGCCATTACACCAGTTTTGACCACCATAAAATGGAACCCTCAAAATACACTGGGTTTCGAGCAAGGTTCCGTCAGAAATTGGAAGGATTTCGGGGCGGAAAGCCGATAAAGCAAAATAATCAGGTTGGAGGTTACAGCACAAAGAATGACTCGACTTCGTCGGCCAGACACGACTCTTCCGAAACCCCAGCTCGAGATGAAAATGAACATGCTTATGCTGTCAAAACTTCGGAAGAGGATGAGCATGTCTCTTCAACCGAAGCCATTCAGCAAGAAAGTCCTCAAAAGAACGGCCAAGCCTTTGATCCTTCCAACCAAAACGTGACACTGACAGAATGGTCAACCACCATTCACAACGCCCTTTGGAATGAGGCCTACAATAATCTCAAGCAGGATTTAAAGAAGGCAAAGTATGTGGAAGCATACGAAAAACTAGTGTTGGCGGTCTTTCTGGAAACGCCTATGTCAGATGCAGCTGGCGAAGGTAGTGGTTCTCGGACAGACTTGGGAGAGGAGAGGATGAAGGCGGTAGTCGCGAAGGGCCTAGAAAGAATTGAAGATTCTAAAAAGGTCATGGAGACAGTAGATAATGTTTCGGGTGTTCTCACGCAAGTAAAAGCGTTCCTTGACATTCCGTTAAAAAATGCCCCACAGACCGCGCTTCCGTGGGCTGTGATTTCCTCCACATTTGATGTGAGTATATTGAACTTTTGTATGGGTGCCATGCTGACTGTGCAGATCCTGGTCAAACCAGCCAAAGCAGCAGCAGACCTTTATAATGGGGTGGCGTACGTTGTCTCTCGAATGAGCTGGTATTCGAAAGCTGTAGACAAGCTGTTGAGCGAGCAGAATATCAAGGACAATACATCACTGGAAGAGATGAATCACGATCTCAAAACTGGCATTGTGGATCTCTATCAGTCAATGCTCTTCTACCAGATCAAGAGTGTCTGTTTCTACTACAAAAGCCAGCTTCTTGTCCTGCTCCGAGGCTTTCTCGATTTGGATGATTGGAGCGGAAATTTGGATGCCGTCAAAAACGCCGAAAATGCTCTCCAGAACGACCTCATCCTCTACAATCAGGAACACATTAAGGACCAGATCAGACAGATTACTATAAACAGTGAGCAACAGGAAGAATTAGACGAATACCGCAACTGTCTGCAGTCCCTCCGCTGGATTGACCCGCGAGCTGAAATCGGGGATATTCAAGCCCGAAATGAGAACATCATAGAAGAGCTGTATACATGGATTCTTCTCACAGATGAATACAGACAATTCCGCAAGTGGGACCACTCCACTCCTGCACGCTTGTGGATCAGTGGGCAAGCAGGAACTGGAAAGACGATGCTCCTGATCGGTATCATAAAAGATCTGATTGCTCGTGGACTTTCCGATACAGAACGTCCGCTGGTTTTATATTTCTTCTGTCAAGCCACAAATGATCAAGCCAACAATGGCGTTGCGGTTCTTCGCAGTTTAATATGGCTGCTGCTTCTGGAACAACCTCAGTTGGTTTCACACATCCAGAAGGAATACTTTCATTCCGCAAACAGGCTGCTTACGGATAAAAATGCGTTCACAACTCTACGTGACATTTTCAGGAAGATGCTGGAGGATAAATCCCTGAAACGAGCCACCATTATCATTGATGCCATGGATGAATGCGAGGAAACAAGCAGAGAACTACTAACCAGCTTCATCGACGATGCGTCCTCTGCACAAGAGCTATTCAATATAAAGTGGCTTGTCTCCAGTCGGCCACTGCCGGAAATACCACCAAGTGTGCAGGACGTCACTCTGCCAACACACAGTCTACTGAAGCTCGATGAACACGACATGTCGGACTCCATCAACAGATATATCGATATCAAGATGGTTCAGCTCAGACAAAAGGCACGTAAGAAGGGCCGTGTTGAAGAAATAGCTGATAAATTGAAAGCCCGAGCAAGCAACACTTACATCTGGGTATCATTGGTCTGCAGAGAGCTCCTTCACGCGCATGAGTTCATGTGGACTGAGATCGTCGACAAAATTCCAAAGAGATTGGAAGACCTCTATGGCTACCTGCTCAATAGATTGGCCAATATAGACTCCGAAATAATGTCATCGTGCTGCAAGAACGTCCTAAATGCCGCTATGCTTGCACGAGATCCCCTTTCCTTGTCGGAGATCGAAATTCTCGCAGAGCTTCCAGAGGGCGAGGATGCAGCGGAAGCAGTCGTTCAGGAATGTCGGTCGTTCCTGACCATTCGAAACGGTACCGTCTACCTGATCCATCAGTCAGCGCAAGACTATCTGCAAAAACACTATCAAAGACTCTACAATGTCCCTCAGGCTACGCTTCATCACCGAATTTATCAAAGAGCTCTCAATGGTTTGAGAAAAGCCTTGAAGGAAAATATATATGGATTGCCTCATTATGGAATTACGACAGAAGAAGTGCAAATTCCCAATCCAGACCCATTAGTCTCTGTTCGGTATGCATGCCGCTACTGGGTCTATCATTTAGAACAAAGTGGCTCCACGTCCACAGATATGGAGGATATCCTCTCGTTCTTCAACACACACTTTCTTCATTGGCTCGAGGCAATGAGTTTGCTGGGCAGATTTCCAGACATTGTGAGGCTCGTTGGTCAATTGAAATCCAACCCAAAGGTAAGCCAGTGGGTATGAACGAGCATGTATCTGAGCTAATGGTGGATCAGACTAAGAGTGAACCCACCCTCTCTGACGTCCTAATGGATGCCGAAAGGTTCATCTTGCACAGCCTGCCAGTTGCGATCAGAGCACCTCTTCAGCTCTATGTTTCTTGTTTGATCTTCTCGCCCGAAACAAGTCGGGTGAGGTGCATGTTTAAGAAGGAAGCCTGCAAATGGATCCGGCAAATATCTGGCACTGATAAGGAATGGGGCGCACTGCTTCAAACCCTTGGGCACTCAGAAATGGTGTGCTGTGCTGCATTCTCTCCCGATGGAAAGCTGGTGGCATCAGGCTCTAGCGATCAAACGGTCAAAATATGGGATACGGCAACAGGCAGTCTACAAAAGATACTCGATCATCCAGCTACGGTTTATACTGTGGCATTCTCCTCAGACAACAAACTACTAGCTTCTGGGTCAGGTGATCGTTTCATCAGGATATGGGATACAGACGCATGGCGTGAAACAGAGAGGCTGGAGTACTCACAGTATACCACTCATCTGGCTTTCTCTTCAGATAGCAGGGTATTAGCTTCTGCCTCAAGTGATGGTGATGTTAAGCTATGGGAGAAGGGGACAGGGAGTGTGACGTGGGAACGGCGGAACACGCAGCCAACATCCCAGCTCAAGCCCATGGCCCTTTCTCCCGATACTCAATTATTGGCAGCAGCAACAGATCCCCCTAATAGCTCAGATGTAGTAACCCTAATTGATACGAAGACAGGTAGCATAGTGCGGAGACTTTCTCACGCCAACAATGTTGCGAAAGTGGCATTCTCTCCAGACAACCGGCTGGTGGCCTGTGCTTTAATGGATAATACTCTCACACTATGGGATACTGCGACATGGGATATCAAACGCACAGTCCATTACCGATACCCAAACGCCCCTACCTTTTCTCCTGATGGCAAGCTCCTTACTCTGAATGCGCGCGATGGGACCGTTCAACTATGGAATACAAATACTGAAACCGTGGAACAAACACTACTGAAGAGCCAACGCAACACCGGTGTTGTATTCTCACCTAATGGTCAGTTGATGGCCTTAATGTCACCGTTTCGCGCAGTCAGGCTATGGGAAGTCATCCCAGGGAGGCGGGAGGAAAGTGAGGGTTATCACTTCTCTAGTGTAATGGGTGTGGTACTCTCACCAGATGGGCTGTTGGCAGCAACGTACTCATTGGATTACACAATTAAACTTTGGATACTAGAGAATGGAAATCTGGCGCAAACCCTCAAAGGCCACAAGGCCTTCGTTAATGTAGCTGCCTTCTCGCCAAACAGCAAGCTACTCGCATCTTGGGCATATGATAATACGGTCAGAATCTGGAATACCGAGAACGGGGAACAAAAATGGAAATTTGATGGCGGTGGTATAATAATAGAAGTGATGAACTTTTTTGCAGAGAACAGACTGTGGGCTGCAGCGTCCTCGGATGACGAAGGTCGAGTATGGAATACAGAAACAGGACACCTTGAGCAGGTTGATTCGCACGACCATGAGTCTCACATGCCAAAGGTGCATCGAGGCAATTCCTCAATCCAGTGCAAAGGGGCCGAATGTGATATCTCTGTCGAAAAGGAGTGGGTTATTGTTAATCGAAAGAAGAGTATCTGGTTACCTCCAGAATACCAGCTTTTTTCAATGGCGAAAGACTCATCATGGGCAGTTCGAGAAAATACTCTCGTGATTGGGTGTGATTCCGGCCGTGTTCTTTTCATTTGGTTTGATCCAGTTGCGATGAGAGATGTGATATGCTGATAGACCCCCGGAAAGATAAGGCTCCTCGAGCTTCTGATAAAATGAGACGCTATCATTCATTCATTTGTATTCGGTCTCTCTATCCCGCTTTGTTCTGTCCGGATCTCCTCTTATACCTTCTTTGTTCTCTCTGTCTTCTCTTCTTTCCTTTGTCGATCTTCATGAAACCCACACCGTCAGGTAGTCCACCTGTCACAAAAACTTCACTCACACTGAGCATCGTGGACAGGCCTAAACAGATCAATATCATGTAGGTAAGGCAATTCTATATATCGCACTGGATGAGCATATGTGCTCTCCTTCTTTCCTGTACGCGTAGCGATATCGCAAAGTTTCGAGAAAAAGACACCACTATATTTCTGCTCTATCTCCTTCCATCCCATGTACCTCCACGCTACCACATACCTATCCCCACTACTCCAACCTCAAACAATCGTAACATTCGTCACTGCAGTCCCCACCACAAACTCATACGATAGCTACACGCATCAGCAAACCACCATCAAACACTACCAATCCATCTAACAGGAATTGAACTCACCCCAACCAAAAACGGCCTGACAACACCAATCTGCGCAGGCCCCGTCACATCCGGCACCGTGATAGTGAAGTTCTCATACGGGTCAGGAGGTCCGTTGGACTGCGGGTCATAGGGACCGCTGTAGAGGAGGTTTCCGATCTCGGAGTCGGGTTTGGGGCACCCTGAGGAACCAGAGCAGGATTCGATGCCGATGGCGATGCCGATTTCGGCGACATTTTCGCTGAAGACCTATTTCGCGAAAGGGGTTAGTGTGAGAGTGAATCTGGTGTAGTCGTGGGGTAGATCCAAAAGAATATACAGGTGGAGAGTGGGATGGACGTACCGGACGGACAAGCTGCACTGTTACTGTTTCTCCGGCTTGGAGCTCCGTGCCGGCGGCGGGGGAGTTGATGTAGATGCCCTGGGCTAGGGCGGTAGCTGTATAGAGTGCGAGAGAGAGGATAGACTTCATCATGCTGGATGTTTGCTTGGCTAGTTTTGAATAGAAACTCGAATGAGATGCGATCTTGGAAGGTTATGATGGTACCTGAATTCGGCTGGGGAAAAGGGTCTATATATATTCAGAGTCGCTAGTACTAAGTATTTCCCACTGCTTGAATAGAACGACTCATTCAGGGGAACTAGACAGGGAACACACGCTGTAGTACTTGCTTTTTTCAGGCACCTCACTCAGCCACCGTAAATAGGGTCGCGGCATATCGTTGGTAGCGTTCCGCTGCGGCTCCGAGACATCAGGCGTCCCATTCGTATATGCGACCAATAAGAGTGTGTGACATAAGAGTGTTGGGTACATGGAAGTTATTTACATGCTAAGTACTACTTGAGGTTTATTATTAGGACGATATAGTTTATTGGAGCTAGGCTGCGTATAATTTCGCTGGATATAAGGTACTAACTTCCTTGAGTGGTGACCAGCGGACATATCTCCAGACGAGAGAAACGACGAGAGAAAGTAGAGTTGAAAAGGCCGGGGGCATGCCATGATCGACGCCGTGAAATATCTTACATAAATGCGATGAGCTTAGTTCAAAGCTTATATTATGCTAAGTCATATGTCGGCACTTCTCATATGACCTGGCCTGTATGCAAGGCAGCCATCCCGGGACCGTAGTAAGCTGACGGGTAAGACCTATTGTGTGCTGTCCTTGGACCCTGGGTGCAGATTGAACATGCTATTATGGCTCTTAAGTCCAGTTTATTTTGTCAGTCACCGCTTCAAGCCTAAAAGGTGTTGGCGCAGACGAATAAACGCTATTGTGTGTAACATGTCCGAGCTCTTAGTAGAGCCGTAGCCGATGCATTACTGTGCGTTGGATGAAGTCATCTTAAGGGTATGTCGAACCTTCCAGGTTTTGGCTTTCTACCATGGTTGGCTGACATCTATCAAGGCTGATATTCATACCTATATTTGGAGTAAGACATTACGATCCTTCATCGAAGTGGACAACATACCATGAGATAGTAAGACTACACCTTCGAACGCCTAAGCAACAGGATTAGGGTAGAGGTACAGCAGCATGCTAATTTAGCTACTCTTTCTATTGTACTAGTAGTAGGGAAAACAACTCTAACAAAAAATAATGTAACACAATAGCATCAAGTATGTTTTTGGATGAACAACCAGTCGATAACAGGTTAACCACATAATCTTCCCCACATAGACATCTAGTTTGCTTCAGATTTGTAAGAATCGCCCTTATAGCTCAGTGGTAGAGCGCTTGACTTGTATCCTTTACGGTATCAAGAGGTCCGTGGTTCAATCCCGCGTGGGGGCATTCTTTTTTGCCCCGGCTTTTTTTTGCTCCTACCAGATATGTCTTTCTTCATCCCTCCACTTTGTCATTCTCACATAATGTTTAACCTGCTGGTTGCAGCTTGCGTGTAAAGTATATTGCCTGACCTACAAAATTTCTTCAGAGAAACCCTCGCGTCCGTTTTTCAATCATTTCCCCACAAAGCAGCCATTGGCTCGCACGAAGAATGGATCCGGTCGGACCGTTCCGTTGTATCGGAGATCGAATCCGATGGAACCTTAAGGACAACAAGCAGACACTGCATTTAGTTTACTAGCCATCTTGTTCATGCTTGCATTATGTTGTGCAACAGGATGTAGAATACGCGTTCTAACTCGCAGATACATGCGACTGTGTTTATTCGTGGCGTCTCATCATGATTATGGCCAGCCTGACCTGATCGCGTTGAACTGATCCTACTCATCTCGCTATGTACCTCATCCCAGCAAACAGAGAATATTCTCCTCACAACTCGACACATTCCAATATCAACATCTTCCTCTATAATACCAGTCGTCCATATCCTCAGATCCCCAGCTCCTTCGCATGACTCTCCTCCCACGGAAACTCTCTCTCCACTGCCCCCACCAACTTCTCATGCCCCTTACTCCTCGGTTTCAGATCCACCTCGAAAGGAACAGGATGGCTAATAGTCCCTGAAGAAAATTCGACCCGAATCGGAACTTCCTTGCCATCTCGTACCTTCTTCCGAATATCCAGTACCGCAAGTGCCCGCGCGACAGTAAGGAAAATGCTCTTCTCGGCGAGCAAGCGACCAGGACAGATGCGTCTGCCGAATCCAAAGGCGTATAGTCGTGGGTCTGGCTCAGGGGCTGCCCCGAGAAATCGGTCGGGGTTGAATGTCTCGGGGTTGCGGTAGTTGGTTGGGTCGTGGGTGAAGGCCCTGGTTTTGGGTTAGGTATGAGTTGGTGGGTTTGAGGAGGGAAGGGGGACGCATACCAGACGTTGGGAACGATGATGGCACCCTTGGGGATTAGATAGCCGTTGAAGATGTCTTCTTCGCTGGAGGCGTGGGATACGCTGAGAGGGGTGACGGGGTGCCATCTGAACACTTCTTGGACTACGGCGTTGATGTACGGGAGGTCGTTCTGGTCGGAGAGGTCGGGTAGTCGGGAGGTTCCTATAACCTGGTCGATTTCTTCTTTGGCTTTCTTTTGCACGGATGGGTTGAGGGCCATGGCCATAAAGAAGCAGGATAGAGCGGAGACGGTCTATGCGCGGTTAGCGGAGATATGGTGATGATTGTGGTGATCAATACGCACCGTATCAGCACCACCGCCATACAGAGCACCAGCCGAGTATTTGACAACAATCTCCTCTTCAGAGCCTGGAAGGACAGTGTCCTTCTCAAGCAGGCCAGAGACATACGATGGCTGGTGGACACCTCGGGCCATTTGGTTCTTCACGAAGTCGTATGTTTTGTCGTGCATGATAGTCAGTCTCTCTTTGTATTCCTTGGCTATCTGATTTTCCTTTCCTCCAGGCAACCAAGTGGGAAGGTATTTCACTGCAAAGTCAGCGTCCAAATCATCCAAGGGAGGTTAGCAGACTTACAGAAAGGAACAAAGTTAACCAGCCAGGCTCCTGGGAGAACTATCTGAGAAAAGTCATCCATGGCCTTGTCGACCAGGTCCACCAGGGGATCTCGCGCATTTGGCTCAATGGTGTATCCGTATCCGATCCGAAGGATGATTGCTCCGGCCTCTCTATGGGACGATTAGGCATAGAGCAACTTTGTTGCAAGCTGCAGGACTTACTTGCGAAGATGATCAATCAAGTCGTTCGGTGACCGAATAACGCGCAGAAGAAACCGGGTAACTTCTTTATCCACGATTCCATCGAATTTAGCTACTGCGTTGGCCGAGCCGAGTTCGCGGTACGTGGCTTTCCGATAGGCGCGGAATCGGTTGTTATAGGGGAGAAGGCCTAATGTCTTGTCCCATCCCGACCTAGGGGTGCAGATTAGTATATTGTGTCACTTGTAACGAGTGAGATTAGTGTGGAACTAACAGATCTGCGATGGGAAGATGGGGTCGGGAGGAGTGTTTTGCAGAACGCTTCTCCAACATCTCCAGTGCCATGTCGGGATCATTAAGAACAACGAGAGTCTGTCCAAATATAGTGACGGAGCTGATTGGGCCTAGAGTCGAAGGTTATTATAATGGAAGATGCCGTTCTAAAGGTAGGATAAAAGGGGGATATACCATATTTTTCCTTATGATCCAGCCAATGCTGCCAATCCTTGGAACCGGGAGGTGGGAGATCATTGAGATTGCCGATAACAGGTTTTGGAGGAGGCCCTGGGGGCAGTGGTGCTGATGTCTTCTTAGGTCCAAGAAAGACATAGAGAACGTAAATTGATGCAAGTCCGACAAGAAGGCTAGCTATGGACAACATGGTTGTGGTCCAAAGCTATAGCTGTGAAGGTTGGAGAAGAAGAGGAGAGAGGAACCACGGAGTGGGAGATGCATTGAGAACATGTTTCTGCAGCGATGGTTGAAGCTGAAGGCGAAGCAGGGCAACCAGGCGGGGAAAATGGGGACAATCTTCTAGTTCTTGCTGCTGCATGTCCAACACAATTTCTGCAGGGAGGGATTGGACGCTCGGGATTTAAATGAGCCACTACCGAGATAGCGCCCTGAGCTACTGCAACTTGAGTGAAACAATGGCCCCGGGATTATCATCCCTCGACATGCCATTGGTGGCAGGGGGGTCGGTCTTCAGCCATCTCTCTCAGGTGGCGTTCGATTCTTCAGCTTAACTGGGAATGTCGGGCTTTGAAATCAATACGGAGTACGAGTCAGGATTCGTGCATACCCAGAAATCTTACATGAATAAATAAATAAATAAATAGATTAAAAACCCCTAAAAAGCCGTACTGGAAGATAAGATTGCCATTCCCAACGCCTGGCAGTTAGATAGGAGATGTGAGGTCAAAGCGTCGGTTGATCGTTGCCATCTCTGTTACTTGGCTGGAGGGGGGAAAGAGCAACAGACGTGATGGCCAACGTGATCTGGCCAAACGAGATATCTGGTTTACCAACTGATTAGGCCATTCTAGCATATCTCCTAAGCGGGGCAATGTACCAAATGAGGAAGATACGAAGCCAAATCAAGCAAATGGGTGGGGCAAACAGAAAGCTCTCTCTTATCATGTCTGATTGTTACACGGTGTCTTACTGCCTGTTTTTAAAAGGTTTGATATGCTCCACCATGTTTTAATCTCCCCTGGCGATATCTCACTGAGGCAGGCATTTGGCTCAGGATTTCAGTACTCCCAGGTCTCACCTAGAGATCTATTTGACCAGGCTGACCATTCATAAACTCCGAGAACGGCAATTATTGGTGGTCACGCGTGCTATAATAAAAATGAATAACAATTCGATATCCCGCCCCAGATATAGCAAGGAAGATATGGGAATTTGCGCAAGCCATCAGAGTCCACCTAACCCAGACAAGAAAAATGCAGGCCATCAACTACGGTTATGAACCTACTACCTTCTTTGATATCATCAACTAATTACGTTGAGACATAATTGGAATCATGGAAATAGTAATAGGAGGTTACATGGATACATCGCATCGTGATGGAACGTTGGGGATTTTCTGTTGGATCGTTGTTTGTTCTTTTGTCTTTCGTATTCTATCAGTTGGTGTTTGTCAATAGGAAAACACTTTTGTCGAGGATGTAACTCCGAAATATAAACTGCAAAATAATAGCCCAAACCACCTTTTTGTGAGCATTCTAGCATGCACCGCTGAAGAACCAAGCAAAAAACTTAAATAAGACATGAGCGAATATTAGTCAGAAAAACATTCGCAAATCTGACCAATATTGTAATCAATACCATGCATAACAGCAACATCAATTATGCCAACCACATCTTGTACCCCAGAAGTAGAGTATAAATTAGAGGACTCTACTTCAGAGGTAATCAGAGACTTGTACACTATCTGTTATAAGAAATTTCAGTGTCTCAAAGTCATCCAGATCATTCCATCCTCCTCTCGTAAACTCCGCCCATATCTTCAAGTACTCAGGCTGCTCGAGACAAAACATAACGACATCCTTCGTGGCAACTGCATCTTCCAACGCGCTGTGCCCATTTGATCCACCTTGGATAAACCTGTCAAGGAAAACACACGACAGCGTCTTCAACGACCAAGTCCTCCGAAACCGCTGGGTTTCCCACCTAGGTCTAAACACAGCTTCCGCTGTCAGGATAGTCGAATCGACTATCCTAGGATGTATTATCCCCAGGCAATTGAGATCATGCTTAATATCGTGCCCAATAAGCACGGTATCACTATCGATAAAGTCCCATAGGGCGCGCCTCGCTCCCATCCACCCTCGTAGGGTGTCGCCGTTGGCTACGGCCTTTTTCATAGCTTTGAGCGTAATCCCACTGTAGCGGGTGCACCAGTTGAATATTCTCCTTTGGGGATCAACATAACTGTTGATGAGGACTTCACCGGTTATAAAGTCCACTGCGGCGAGGTAGGCGATGACTCTCCGGCCCTTTTCTGCTTGCACCATTTCGCAGTCGATGACTACTGCGCCTCTGGCTTTGCGATGGCCAGATTTTCCATGTTGGTGATGATGATGGGGACCGGGTGTGCGCTTGAACAGGTCCAAGCGGATAATCCCCTTCCATTGAGGGCTGTCTGATTTTGGGCATGGGGATGTGATGAAGCCCTCAGTCCTCAGACGAGCCGGTGAGTGGCATTTTGCCTGAAGCCTTTTCAGTAAGGCTTTCTGGTCGATGACTTCTGAAGCACTCTCACTACTCTTCTCCTCTAGTGAAAGTGTCGACATTGCTGTCGGTAGTGTATCATTTGTAGAAAAAGAAGAGGATAAAGAAAGCTCCGGTGTTATTGCTGCTGAAGAAGAGTAACTCATTTTGGTAGTAGAAGATGAAGTCGTCGTTCTTGGGCTCTGCAGACCACGATGCTGGCTGTGCACGACTTCAGAATGTTGGATTAGGGTAGAGAGATCTGCAGAGGTTGATCGCAGACCTCGTCTGGGATTATATGTCCGAGCACTCTCTGATGTCTACAAAGCTGCTTCATCTTCTTGAATGCATTCGCCTGGCATACTGGGTAGGAGTAAACGGTATGTGCCGATCGCAGCGCTGTCTCGGGGTTGAGTGACAGCTGTGCACATGGGAAGCCGTGAATATCACTGGAAGTATCGATATTCGTGCACTTGGTGAAGGTTAATGAGGGCTCATGGGAATTGAGTAGTACAGGATTTTCAACTGAAAAGTATTGGTTGAGGAGAGCTGTTGGCGTGCAGTTAATTACCGATAACAGCTTTGGTGAATGTCTCATGTTGCCGCGAGACGTGAATCGACCCCAAGGCCAGAATGCACACTCAACCATGTCATTCTGCCATAATGAAGAGAAAATTACACCATACATTGCACGTGTAATGGTCATCTAGAACGTCACCTTGACTGATACTTTCATCATATGCCATAAATAAGACAACGGCAACTTACTACCCTACCCACTAAAGGAACGTAGTTGCTGTAGCTGGAAATGTATTCCGACATCGTGTCGCGCATATTGTCGGAAAATAATACGATGTACGCATCTGACAAGAGTTTACCCTCAGATTGATTCCTACCCTTGGGCATAGTTTCTGGGTGATCAGGGCTGTCCACGCCAAAGATCACTCAGTTATTTACCCGTTTTTGTCTATTGCTGCCAGGCAAGCTTCACAGTACTAACTGCTTTCTGAATCTGCCTATAAAGCATACCTAGCTTATAAATTTTCAAATCAGCCCGGATGGTCTAGTGGTATGATTCCTGCTTCGGGATTTGAAATGCAGGAGGCCCCGCGTTCGAATCGCGGTTCGGGCCCGATCTTTTTGCTTTTTTTGCACTCACCCCACGGTTTTCCTTTCGGAAGGGATCCCGTTATTTTGGTTGGGAAATACTGGTAAGCGAAAAAAAAAAAAAAAAAATATACTTCGAAGACAGTTGATACGTGGTGCAATGTGGTTGCACCATAGTCAAGGGCATCTTGAGGTTAGCGAGAGGTAGTGCCCAGGTACGATCAATGAAGGGTAAGGCAAGATAACAGAAAAAAGGCAATATCAAGGATTCCTTGGGTTTATGCGTACAAGTAATATTGTCCAAGCACTAAAACCTAGTTAGGGAAGTCCATAATGTTCCTGGTCAAATACAAGAAACGAAGTGAATCCATGTGTTCCCTGCGGTGCACCCTGATTATCTGTGTTGAATTGAAATCCCTTCTGGATGTCACGAGCGTCAAACTCACGCCTGTGAACAAAGACACCTCTTGTACACAAATAGTAATCTGTATTACTCGGGTCACTGCGGTCATCTTTGTCCTCAGCAGGCCTTAGATTCAGGGTCCGTCCTTCCCCAGAAATACTCGCTAAAACAACTCTCGTCAAAGACGGCATCTTCCTTATCTCCTCAAAGACAGGCTGCCAAGCTCCAGAGACAAGGTTTACTTTCTCAAGCCCCAGTAGTTCGATATCGGGATGTTTGCGTAGAAAGCATTGCAGCGAGTCTGAAGTAGCGTAGATGCCGAGCAGACGGAGCCTTTTCAGCTGTGGAAGATGGACCTTGCTAGCAATTTCTTCAAACAGCCGATGGTATAGACTGACGTCCCCAATCACGGTACAACGAAGTCTGAGGGTCAAGGCTTCCAGATTCGGCATTTTCTGCAGCAATCGGGCGACGCCGGGATAGTTGTCCTCGGAGTTCACTTCGGGTTCAAGACTCGCAAGAAGAGTTCCTGGGCTCAGTCCGTGCCAGCTTCGGCGGGTTTCAAGCTCCCATATTTCTATATCGCCTCTCCGCTTTGATAGCCTTTCTCGGTCGGTATCTATTCGTGTTGATAGGTCTATTGAAAAGTTTTTGATCGACTGGCCGGAGGCGAAAGTACAAGCGGCTGGGTCGAGTGTACGCATATGGGTGGTTATTTCGTTGGATGGAATGGCAGAGCGTATTGGGTTCCGGAATATAGTGAGGCTATTGACTGAAATGGTACTTTCTGCAATAGCAGACATGGCTATGTGGTAGACTTGGGTTGCTTTAAGCCAAATGGCGTGCCAGTCACCTCGGGACCTGAAGACCTCGGGACGTGGTGAATGAGTAACTTTGGCTTCCATAGAAACCCAATCAAGTCTTCCAAAGTTATTTAAAATGGCTGCGAGAGTCGACACGATGTGATTTTCTTGTTTGAGCTGGTGTTTTGAAGACTGTTCCTCCAGCCATGCTAGATCTGCCTCCGCTTGGACCACTTCATCCGGTGTGCAATCCCTTGCTGCTATCCATAAAGTACCATTTTCATCTTCACATCGACTGGTCCTGAGAACTCTCTGGAGGAGAGAAGAGTCGTAGACCGCTGCGACTATGGTCAGATCCTTGACAGCTGGGCGCAGGATGGCATGGCAGGAGAGAGCACCGAGAGACTCCAGGCTCTGTGGTGTCAGATCAGTAGATTGGTGCCGCATGAATGATTTGAAGCGTGGACCCAAGCATAGTCCACTCCATGTTCTGTCGGTTAATCGGAGGGATTTGATGGTTTCCAGATCGAGATACTCGAGGATTTCGTCCACAACGACAATCGGGAGATACACGTTTTCCTTTGCGATAGAGCCCATGATGCCGAATATATGGTCGAGACGTTTACATGAGCTCTGATTCTTATGGAGGGGAGAATTGGAGCTCTTGTGAGCCCTGGTTTTGATGGCAGTGTCTGCCATCTCCCTCACAATCGTGAAGTGACGTGACCTTGGAGGTGAATAATAATAGAAGCTACTTTGTAGTCAATTGCTGGTGTTACAATCCCCTCTTTCAACAAATGATCCAGCACTGACAGGAAGCAAACCTCGCGTGGTGGTATCAATACATCATGTGATTAGCCTGGCTATGGAGCAAAGTAGACGGCATCTGATTCCTAAGTATGGATAGGCACAGTCGGTACACTATCCCTTCCAGTAACCTTCGAATCCGTTTGTAGAGCACAGTGTGAGATTTCGAGATGGCGAGTGAAGGAGAAATGAAAGAGCCAGCAGAGGGGAGTCGCTTTCCAATCAATGAGACAGGAAGAACCCGATATTTCTTTGTCTTCGAAACACCGACCAAAACTAACTTTACTCTACCAACATTGAGAGAGTCTATCCCAGCTATATCGGCACGTTGCAACCAGGACGTCGAATCGGCATGTTGCGTCGGGTAGGGTTGGTGAAACGGTGTGATATCCGTTGGTGGGACAGAGTAACATCGCCCGTTGATTTTTATTGGGTTGACCCAACCAGCCAAGAGAAGTGTTCCTGGACTTAGACTTGAGCCTCGCAATTCTTGCTGTCATACTCTGATCGATTTCCTTACCTACCTGATGCAGTATATTCTCCGGGACTAATATTCTGGTCTTGGATATAGGGTTAGCTTATCCCGGCTTTCGCCCTTGGAAAGCTGCAGCGGATCTTATCACCAATAGCCAAATTATAAATACATATGTCCCCCAATACTGACCGAAAATATTCCAGCCACGTGGCTCACGGAGGAAAAATTAGAAAAAATAAAAAAAAAGAACAAAAAAATAATAATAAAGACTCTCCTCCATAACTCCCATCTTCGTTAAGTCAACCAGAAACCTGAACAAACCTTGTTACTAGTTCCTTGACGGCAGTAACCTAATATCGTTGAAGGAATGACCCCGCATAGTTCATCCATTTACGCTTTTTAATCTGAGTCTTTTTTCAGCATACTACTTGCAGATCATTCGCGCTCTCCTTTATTCTTGCCGCCGGTATAACTCTCACATAATATTGCTAAACTATACGACAAGTTCCCATCACAATGAAGCACCAAGCCTGTCCGCAACCTTCCTATTTGGCGATGGGTGAATATAGTTTTAGACCAGCTCCCGAGACCGAAATGTTCCGTATACTCCAACCTGGCCATATCGAGACCCAATCGATGTAGCCTGCTAGTGGACGCAATCGCAGCCCCGAAGATCCTTCAGCGCGACCAGCTGAACAGCTATACAATGATCATTGGCTGACAATAAGTCTTATCGAAGACAGCAACCCACCCGTATGCACTGCAACCAGTCAGAATGTACTAATTAAGTCTAGAGTGGGACGCAGTATGCCGTCCTACACGATCTATAACCATCGAACCGAGATCGACAAGATCTACACTATCTGTGGCATGGCACAGCTGAACATTCAGCACGCGCATATTTATTTCGTGGCGAAGCTGCAAAAGCCCCTCTCTCTATCCCTTGTTACGACTTTATACAATCGAGCGTCAGAAGAAGGTCAAAAAGTTATTGCACTAGGATAGGGGGTATTGAATGTCAGCATACAAAGGACCCGTGTGAAATCAAGGTAGAATAAACATTATATCTTCAAGTATTGGAACCTGCAACGTGCTAATCATTCAGTTCCCATTCTCGTATCTGTCCATTAGATGGCGCAAAGCCGTTGCTAACCAGCGGTGATCGACGCGAATACCTGGTCGTGACTGCTATTTCCGATAATTGAGCGCTCTTGCATCATTGACTTCCGACAGCAAAGACATCCAGCTTTGTTGCGGTCATGCATGGCGCGACACTATTCAAAAAGTCTCTGTGGAGTCCACTCTCCTGGTGCCACTTCAAGGGTATCAAGTATTGTGAGTGGTGGAGATAGCAGAAACGGGGCTGTGCTGACCCGTAGGTTTAGGTTGTGCAGGTGTGGAGTCCAGCTCTTGAACTGAACCAGGCAGCTCAACAGGCGTCTGTGGTGTCACTGCTATAGACGGTGACCCAGCGGAAAATAGCTCTGATGTCGGTGCCTCGTGGACTTCGCTAGGCGTCACAGGCGACACCGCAGCAACTCGTTCAGCCACCTCGGACGACGGTGACTGCGGTGGCATGGCAACGGTAACTTCCGCGGGTGGCTCTTTCGGTGCCTGCTCACAATCGATGTTTGTCCTAGGAGCATGAAACACATCGGCCTGCAACGCTTGCATAAGCCTGTTGGCCTCGTCAGGCGGAGGGATGTCGCCGCTCAGCAACTCTTGTGCCTTGACAATATCCCCATACAGTTTCCGATTGACGAGCCTGTTTTCAATTATCATGCCCAATTCTGCACTCACGCCTCCAAAAAGGCCCCTGGTTTGCGCGAACGAGAATATTCCCATGACACCACCAGTGCTTGCGACGCTCGCAATTTCTCCACTGCGTCCGACTGGTCCCACTGCCAGTGAGAGATTGAGACCCAGAGTTAAGCTTCCCAGCTTTGCAAACGTTTGCACTGCATGATCGCTCTGCAGAATGAACACGAAATCTGTTAATTCGACACCAATCTGTCCACCGAAGCCACCTCCCACGGACGCGATAGCTGAGGGGGCGGACCAGGATCCATCCGGTAGACGTGCAACGAGGATACCAGAACCAAGGCGCACCGACCCTAGAAAGGCGGCTTTGGCAACTGTGAGGATGGCGAGGCCCTTTGATTGTGAGTCAAGGTTGTAGCAACGAATATATGTTCAGAGCATACCTTGGCGCTGGCGAGTACTTTTCGTGGGATGGTGCGCCCCGGGCTATTGAAGGCATCAGGATCTGTGAAAGAGTTGATAATCTGAGCTGCTTTGTCGCATTCGCCTGTTTTTTGATGAAGCTTATGTTAGTGTTGAGTTACGCGATAAACGCTGCATTGTAGATGGTCATAAAGCCAGGACGGTCTACATCGACGACCATACGTACTTCGCAACGATGAGGGGAATGGGTTGTGAACAGGCATCGTGAAAATGAATGAATTCTACAACCAAGTGATTGGGAACAACTGATTGTTGAGGAGAAACAATTCAGAGTCTGTGGCATTTTTTAGAAAGAAGATGGGTCGAGGCTGATCCAGGGGACGCGTTGGGGGCCAAAGCTTGGCCCAAAGCAGTAAGAAGCGTTTCGGGCCCGGCCCCAAGGGTCTTTCTTACCAGATTCACTCTAGCCTGCATCCTTCGCCTCGTTTTTGACGGGATCAGGCTGTTAGTCTGTCTCTGGCCTCGTGTTGTGAAACCGTCGTAAAAGAGGGATCTACACTCTCTTTGTCTTCTAACCAGGCACAGCCACATGGTTCTACACCGCTCGCTTTATCAGTTCTTGACATGCCATCTCCAGCTTCAGCTTCAGCTTCGTTCTAGACTTCTGACAACTCGAATCTGTAAGGTGCACTAATGATCCATGGCCCAAAATACTAAATCATGATATATCGTACCATAACTCGGAAATGAAAACAATCTCAACCAAATGATACCCGGCCCAAATGAACAGAACAATATATACTATATTCCCGAAACGAGAAACAAGATTGAGCGACGGTAGCGGCAGAAACAATCATTACTATGCGAGCGATCACAACTGGCACATAATACTGCCCGACCGGCGAGCGTGGATTAGCCCCGCGAACAAAGTTATGTACGCCATCTCCTAAGAAGTGGTTGTCTAAGCCTCAGACTTGTCGAGGATCCAGGTAGCCATATCCTCCGCATATATCGGGTAAGTCTCGGGCAGGTCGGCATGTAAAACGTGACTCCATCCATCGTAGGACTTGTGCATCTTCGCTGTTTCAGGGAACCGAGCCGTCTCCCGCTCAAACCATCTCTTACTCGCATCGTAACTGGTACAGTTATCCCCGGTTCCGTGGGCCAGGAAGACCGACTGCACTCCATCAACAAGGTTCAACTTGCCCTCATCCAGCGCCATCATACGATCTAGCATGTTGGCAAACATCTCCAGCGTTCCCGTGGCATGGTTCAACTGGTCCTCTTTGAGGCTCTTTTGCACTGCGGGATCACGCACCAGCGTCTCCACCCGCATTTTCTGCACGAGCTGGAAGCGGGGGAGAAGCTTGCCTGCCAGCCGACCCACGAATACAGTGACCCAGCTAGGAGTCTGCTCGGGAGTGAGCCCCATCAACGGAGCTGAGAGCATAATCCCGCGGAGGGAGGACACAAGCGGCTGATACTCCTTGGTCGAGGCGAGAGTAGCCACCATTCCACCACCCATGGAGTGACCGTTGATAAACAAGGGGAGCTCAGGGAAGACGTTGGTCTGCTGGTCCTTGATGAAGGCGGCCATATCGGCCAGGACCAAGGAGGTTGGCCCTGTGTTTCCCCGGTCGGACTTTGCCGGGGCCGATCGGCCCCAGCCACGCTCGTCGATACCAGAGCAGTAGATACCACGGCGTGCTAGTAACGGAAAGAAGTTATTGTAGCTGTTGATATGATCGCTGAAACCATGAAAGTGTACTAGTTTGGCCTTGGGAGCAGCGGGCTGGTGAAGAGGTTAGGATGTCGGTGGATTACTGTGATGATTGACATGTGATTTGAGGGTGTTCTTACCGACCAGGTCTTCTGGTAAAGGACGGTTCCGTCCGCGAGTTTAAACTCGCTCTCTGTTATCGTGATGTCTGCCATTTTACAATGAGAGGCAGAATTGAGACAGGATGGGAAAGTCGATGAAATTCAAGTTGGTGCAATGAAGGAAAGTCGCATGAACTCGATAGTTGCAAGGTTGAAGAAAGACCTCGGCTGACTTATTGGGGGTGAAAGGAAAAAGGCAGAGATCGACGCGCGAGCACAGACACCGCCAAGAATGGCATCTGGTCGCCTGAGGCGTCCACCCTCCACGCCGTCCATTGTTTTTGCCAGTCATTTCAAGACGCTGCATAGCAACTTTACTAAATCCCGAGCAGATGACACTCCCATGAGGTCATTAGCAGGCTAATCTGCTACCCTGTGTTAGCGGGGACTGGCCATACTGGCTATAACACTGTCTACAGCGTCAGCACCCAATGTGACAAGCTGGCGGGTACTCGGTGGGTCAACTCCGTACGCAAGAACCATTTCTGAGATCCATCTGATAAGGGACAGAGCTCACAGAGCATCTGGGCATGGCCTTGGGCGTAAGCATTTGCCACAGAGATTTCTTAGAGAAGTCTCTGATGTGGTTCTGAGGGGATCGACTCAGCTCCCTCCATCTTTGTCTCAGACGCTGCAACCAACCGCTCGTGGATCCCGCTATCCGATAAATCTAGGGGCTACTCTTCAACAATTCCCATAATTTCCAAGATCCTCGGCTTAATTAACAAGCCATCTACATTACTATCCAAATTTCAGTGCCCCTGCCCATCAGCATCAACGAAATGATATCCTGAAACTCTTTCTCACTCCGGAAGGGACCGTATATCGCATACATACTACGATACGTCCATTCTCCCCCATGAATTGCGAGCATAGAGCGTTGCGCTTAATCCGCTTTGTCTGGTGAGGCTTCCTATAAGTCCATCGAGTATCATGACTCATGAGTATCCATGGAGAGATAAGGTTTCTCCTTCTGAAACAGACGAGGGGAAGATCAACGGCCTGGCCAAGACGGGATTCCGGTAGACGATCCAGTTAATATAGTGCAGACTAACTCGGCATTATCAGTCCTTCACTTATGATGATTTATCGTTGAAGACAGAATAAGGTTTGAAGCCTGCAGTTGAAAGGAGCTCCGCAAAAAGCCGAGCGTCTTTCATTTGAGCTCTGGGTGGGGTGCAAAGAGGACCAGTTGGAATGTCGTAGGCGACTCGGTCGGAATTGAAGTATCAATAGTGTATCATGTAAAGTAGACGGTCAATCAATCATCTTCTACTCGAGTTCTGAACAATGTTGCGAGTTTGGGTGGACACAATTGCTGGGTCACACAGAATCATGCCTAGCGGGCCTTCTATAGTTTATCATGATTGAGTGAATCTAGCGACAAAAGCAAATGATGACTGTTTAAGGTGGTACGAGAATGCACATATAAGCTATATGTTCTACATTATTGTTTTCCAGATGTCCAAAGAAGGGGGGGACAAACTAGAGGAGAAAGAGGGGAGAACCAAATGAAAGAAACATACGGCGAAATAATGGGAGCTCTTCCTAACCCTTCCATATCCCTGAGACGGAGTCATAGCAGAATGTCAGACTAAATTGATGTGACAGTCCATGTTACGCTGAAGCTTGACAGGTCTGGTTCCATAAAGTCTTGTCTTGGTATAGATACAGTTACAACTTAGATGGAACGAGAATATGATAGCAGAATTCACAAAGTTATGGCGGAATGTTATGCTGATGATTTGAGCTCATACGGAAGGCTTGCTGGCAGTACCAAACGGATGCACGTGACCAGAGTGGAATGTCGCCATCGGTCGCACCTCCATCTGTTTCACCGGCTTTGAAATGACTTGTCCCTTCTCTCATTGAATCTCATTGAAGCTTATAACCTTGTTTTGACATGCTCCAAGGTTGAGTTGGAATGACTTACAGCCGAATGTCGGGTGTCCCTGACGGCCAGGCGCTAAGGCCACCCACCCACCATGGGTTCGCCATCGGGAGCAGCCATGGCGTGCTGCTCCACTTCAATGAGCTCAACTTTGGTTCTTCCACCACATCATTTGCGCTTCTGCCTCTTCCCCTATTATAGCCCAAGCTGGTTGACCCATCCGTGCACTCGCTTTTCCCTATGGAGTTTAGCAGCCCTCGATCGTATATCTGCCCCCGATGGTGTCATCGCTTATTCTCTGAGTGACACTTTCAGCAGCCAATACTGATGCTTCGAATTCGCTCCACGAGGGGCCAGATTCCCCAGATAAGCGGAAATATCGGAATGGATGACTGCGTGGACAGATTAATTCTTTTCCCCGTAGCCGAAGCAGGGTCCGGGAAAAAAAGAAAACATATCAGCTCCTGCTGCCCGTAACTCTATCTCTCACCGAACTTCCATGCCGCAGACGCAAGGTTCCAATCCCCGGCTTTGTGACGTCCTCAACACCCCTCGAACAAGCCAGAGACCCCGAATATAATGGCCGTCACAGCTTCTGGTCCGGATCCGCTGGACACGAATGTCGATGAAAGAACACCCCTGAATTCTTCGGCGCAGCATGCGACTCCCAGCGCAAACACGCCGGACTACAGCAGCATAACAAAAGGGCTCACTAGCGACGTGCACAGCAGCCACGGTAGCGATGAGGAACGGCCGTTGATCAGTCCACCTGAGTTGCCTGGTAACGATGTGAAGGCTTTAACCAGTATAAGTACCGTTATTGGCGTGTTGTTGCTGGGTATGTCCCGTTTGCTGTCTTATTGCCCTCGTTTCTCAGCCAGACTGACAATCTTCAAGGCGAGTTCATCTCCAACGCAGACACAACACTAGTCATGGCGGCAACAGGCAGAATATCTTCCGAATTCAATCGACTGCGCGATGCAAGTTGGCTAGCAACGGCGTACACCTTGGGATTATGCGCTGCTCAACCGATGGTCAGCTATCAAACAATATCTGGGAAGATCGGGCTATACTGACGGTGACATTATAGTACGGCAAGCTGAGTGACATCTACGGTCGCAAGCCACTGCTTCTGTGGGCATATGTTTTCTTTGGCGTGGGATGCATTATCAGGTAGATACTCCCTTTTTTTTTATACGCTGGTTTGCTGGTTCGTGCTGACAGCTGTTTCCCTAGCGGTATTGGCCGAGACATGGCGACTGTCATATTGGGGCGTGCAATCAGCGGAATTGGGGGTGCTGGAACAATGGCGATGGGCTCTATCATTATCACAGGTAGGCTAGCAGCTTATCAGGTTGAAAGAACTGTCACTGAACTTAGGCAGATATTGTTCCCCGTCGAGATGTCGCCCATTGGCGGGCGTACATTAACATCGCGATGACTCTGGGTCGTAGCGCAGGAGGCCCAATCGGCGGATGGCTAACCGATACAATCGGATGGAGATGGTATGCTTTGCGCCTTTGTGACCCGCTTCTCTCACTAACTTATGGCCAAGGTCGTTTATTATCCAGGGCCCCTTAGCCGCTGTGGCAGCTTTGTTGGTGATATGGAAGCTCAAACTCGCCAATCCAGTCACTGAGAAGAGCATCCGCCGTGTCGACTTTCTCGGAACGTTCCTCCTGGCCGTCGGTATTGTTACAATTACCGTTATCATGGACCAAGCAGGGCAGTCCTTCGCATGGGCATCATTGTCAACAGCAATCCTCGCAACTCTCAGTCTATCAGCATTCGTCGCCTTCGTTCTTGTTGAACTCTACGTAGCCCCTGAACCGATTTTCGAACTCCGCATGTTGCGGAAGCCGAATGTGACGCCCAGTTACCTGATCGGATCGCTGCAGATCACCGCCCAAGTTGGAATGATGTTCTCCGTGCCGCTATATTTTCAGGTGACATCGAAAGCCTCTGCCACCGTAGCTGGAGGGCACCTGGTTCCTGCAGTGATCGGAAACACGCTTGGCGGCTTAATCGCGGGAGCCTTTATCCGTCGCACCGGCCAATTCAAGGTCCTCTTGATCCTTGCCGGTCTCGTTGCGTCCGTCGCCTATCTACTCCTCATCCTTCGCTGGAACGGTCATACTGGATTCTGGGAGTCCTTGTACATTATTCCCGGTGGTATGGGTACTGGTTTCTGCTCTGCAGCTGCTTTTGTCAGTATGACGGCGTTTTTGATGCCGCAGGAAGTGGCCATGGCAACAGGAGGTTACTTCCTATTATTCAGCTTCGCCATGACGGCCGGTGTGACTGTCACTAACAGTCTGCTGGGGACGGTTTTCAAGCGCCAGATGGAACAGCACCTGACGGGTCCAGGAGCCAAGAAGGTTGGTATCCCCGCACCTTTGCTGCGTCACTTACTAACAGATTTTTTGAAGATCATCGAGCGCGCGCTATCCGACACGAGCTATATCAACGGTTTGCAGGGTCATGTCCGGGATGTAGTGGTACAAGGATATGTGACTGGTCTCCGCTACACTTACTGTAAGTCGTTTGGATCATGCATCCACCATCCACCTTATTAACTTGGTGCCAGTGTTTTCCCTCATTCTTTCGCTTCTTGGATCGGTCCTCGCTTGGACTGTACGAAAACACCAACTATGAGGAACCAGTACGGCAGCTGATAGTATCCGAAAGCTGCAAATTGCTTCATCGAGGCTGGCATTCGATAGAAGAAAGAATTATAGACAACTAGTCTTGCAATATGACAATTCTCTTTGATTAATAAATGAAAGCACGCATGTATCAGCCTAATAGCCGAGTGGCGGGCATCTCTGGCGGCCTCCCGAGCAGCGTGGAATGCGTCCAAGATCCCGTCCGCGGGTCGTCCTTCGGTCGGAATGATGACTGGAGCAGCAGACGATGTCCTGAGCTGAATGCATGTGATATTCACATTCCAGGGAGAATTGTCGGCTATTTAGAACCCTCTCGGCTTAAAAGCCCTATTAGACTATGGGTGCGCTCAAGCCACTAGCCAGGATATCCCGCTGAACGCTCCATCACCTTGCAGCTGAAGTGCAACATGGGACGGGCTTTAACTTTTCGTAGATATAAGTTTAATTTATCCTCTCCACACCCATAGGGTCGTATGGTGTCAACCGGTGTAGTCTGCAGGATTTCATCTCGCTTCGCCAAGCGAGGCGCCCTAACGGGCAGCCTGCAGCTTACCCTGTTAACCCCGGCTCACCACCCCCCGAGCAATCCGTCGCGTCCTCCACGAGTCATAACAAGGTTCGGGCGTTGTTTCTTACCCCCACTATCAGGCGTATTCAGTTAACAGTCAGTAGTCCCGTGTCGGAGATTTGTTGTTCTGCAACAATTAAAGGGGACCAGGGTTAAATCCTGGCCCCCGAACTGATCGGAGTTTCGGCCAATGAGAGATGTTGTATACCCCCGTTCCTGGCAGATGGATTAATTGCCGGCTCCATTTGGCATCCATCAAGCATCATACGGGATTAGAAGGGTAGTTCGTGGGTTGATCTGCCGTGCAAGGTGCTCAAGGCTCTGGAGTCATGCTGAACGCAAATATTTAAGAATCGTCGTCAGGGACAGCGTTCTCTGGATAGTCAAGCTGTGCTTGGGACGCTGTTCTGTCGCTTTGTCAAAACATAATTCGCAGCGATGAGATTATCGACTTCGAGTCTCTTCCTTTCCGTGTCTCTGCTGGGGAAGCTGGCCCTCGGGCTGTCGGCTGCAGAATGGCGCACTCAGTCGATTTACTTCCTATTGACGGATCGGTTCGGTAGGACGGACAATTCGACGACAGCTACATGCGATACGGGTGACCAAGTACGTTGGTATTGCAGGACTTCCATCATTCATCTACTGACTTGAATAGATCTATTGTGGTGGCAGTTGGCAAGGAATCATCAACCATGTTTGTGATCACTTCATACTATCCGCTGTGCGCGTGTCTGACTTTATTTGCTGCAGCTGGATTATATCCAGGGCATGGGATTCACGGCCATCTGGATCTCGCCTATCACTGAACAGCTGCCCCAGGATACTGCTGATGGTGAAGCTTACCATGGATATTGGCAGCAGAAGATGTATGCGCTCCTCCTTCCCATATCGTAGGCTTACTCTCAGGCGGCGACTGACTTGACAGATACGACGTGAACTCCAACTTCGGCACTGCAGATGACCTCAAGTCCCTCTCAGATGCGCTTCATGCCCGCGGAATGTACCTCATGGTGGACGTCGTCCCTAACCACATGGTAAGTGCTGCTTCAGCATCCTTATCAGTGAACTCCAAGTGCCAACGCTAACTGTACCAGGGCTACGCCGGCAACGGCAACGATGTAGACTACAGCGTCTTCGACCCCTTCGATTCCTCCTCCTACTTCCACCCATACTGCCTGATCACAGATTGGGACAACTTGACCATGGTCCAAGATTGTTGGGAGGGTGACACCATCGTATCTCTGCCAGACCTAAACACCACCGAAACTGCCGTGAGAACAATCTGGTATGACTGGGTAGCCGACCTGGTATCCAATTATTCAGGTGCGAATTCCAACCCAATTTAAAATAACCATATACTAAGTGAAATCACCAGTCGACGGACTCCGCATCGACAGTGTCCTCGAAGTCGAACCAGACTTCTTCCCGGGCTACCAGGAAGCAGCAGGTGTCTACTGCGTCGGCGAAGTCGACAACGGCAACCCTGCCCTCGACTGCCCATACCAGAAGGTCCTGGACGGCGTCCTCAACTATCCGATGTACATCCCCCTATACATTGTTCATTAGATCTTCGCTAACTCCAACCAGCTACTGGCAACTCCTCTACGCCTTCGAATCCTCCAGCGGCAGCATCAGCAACCTCTACAACATGATCAAATCCGTCGCAAGCGACTGCTCCGATCCGACACTACTCGGCAACTTCATCGAAAACCACGACAATCCCCGTTTCGCCTCGTATGTCCCACCCCCTCCCCTCCCTACAATCACACTCACTAATACATCTAACAGCTACACCTCCGACTACTCGCAAGCCAAAAACGTCCTCAGCTACATCTTCCTCTCCGACGGCATCCCCATCGTCTACGCCGGCGAAGAACAGCACTACTCCGGCGGCAAGGTGCCCTACAACCGCGAAGCGACCTGGCTTTCAGGCTACGACACCTCCGCAGAGCTGTACACCTGGATAGCCACCACGAACGCGATCCGCAAACTAGCCATCTCAGCTGACTCGGCCTACATTACCTACGCGGTTCGTCCTTCCCTCCCACCCTTTACCCCCCACCCTACAAACATCCCACATACTAACAACATTTCAATAATGAAATAGAATGATGCATTCTACACTGACAGCAACACCATCGCAATGCGCAAAGGCACCTCAGGGAGCCAAGTCATCACCGTCCTCTCCAACAAAGGCTCCTCAGGAAGCAGCTACACCCTGACCCTCAGCGGAAGCGGCTACACATCCGGCACGAAGCTGATCGAAGCGTACACATGCACATCCGTGACCGTGGACTCGAGCGGCGATATTCCCGTGCCGATGGCGTCGGGATTACCGAGAGTTCTTCTGCCCGCGTCCGTCGTCGATAGCTCTTCGCTCTGTGGCGGGAGCGGAAGATTATACGTCGAGTAATCCGGAGTGGTCGGTTACTGTGACGTTGCCGGTGGGGACCACTTTCGAGTATAAGTTTATTAAGGTGGAGTCGGATGGGACTGTTACTTGGGAAAGTGATTCGAATCGGGAGTATACGGTGCCGGAGTGTGGGAGTGGGGAGACGGTGGTTGATACTTGGAGGTAGATGATCTGAGATTTCTAAGTGTGATGAGGGTGGTTTTGGTGTATGTAGTTTGGCCTTTGGTAGTGTTGGGTTGGGTTGGGTTAATAATTATGTTATTGTTTTTGGTGCTTGTGACCATGGATTTGAAGTGAAAATTTGTAGGGGCTACGGAAGTGTATTGTGGACATGTGAGTAAATTCATCTGGGTATGTACAAAGTGGGTTAGCCAGTGGGCTTGAAGAAAAGTCTCCTGGGTCTCTGGTTTGAGTACCCATGTTAAGATCAAGCATAAAAACATGAAATATTGGGAAAACAAAGGGTATTTAACAACTCGTGAGCATTAGCTCCTGGGTAGAATGCAATCATAACAGAAAGTACAGCCAGCGCTGTGTCATAAAGAAGTCCAGTTGGGAAACGAAAGACTAGAATCAAACTAAAAGTAATCCGGCCGATATGGCTTCACGTGCGAAGTCTCGCCTTGAGGGGACATTGTCCTTGCAGGTGATTGACCATTGCGTTCATATGGCGCGATGTTTGGTAGTGTGGGTGTAGCCGGTGACCTCACGGAAGGACTAAAGGCCACATACCCTTCTGAGTGCCTCTTCTCTTCGTGGTCGGAACTCTCGAATGGGTTTTTGACAGTTGCACTCGTTTGGTTGTGGTCATTTGAAGGTCTGCGTTCGGTCTCTGTTCGCGCAGGCGAGCTGACTGAGGGATTGAAAGCTGCATAGCCATCGTTGGCATGCGTTAATTCGCCAAAGCTCAGCGGCGAAACAGGCCTGACCTCTAATCCATGCATCTGCTCTGCACTCGATTGTTCGTGGTGTCCTTGCGAAGAAAGAGAAGCCTTGGACTCGGATGACTTTCTGGACGAGGTGGTAGGATCATCATGATTGTAATGAGACTGTAGCACATCATGCGAATCATTCGACACACGGTGTCTGCCCAAGTTGACGTCAGCATCGGTATGCATTTCGGTATGGTCCTCATGGTTCTCAGCATGTCCCTCCAGAGGGGACTCATTTCCAGCGGAAGGATTATAAGCAACATAATTGTCATGTGGCTGCGACCTTTCGTGAGACTCCGAGTTTGATCTCACTGTGGACTCATGGGCGATATGCGGCTCATCATGATCTTCGAATGGAGAGAAATGGTTGAAGTCGGAGGACACGGGTGATTTAGCAGCAGGGTTGAATGCAACATAGCCAGTCTCGCGCTCTTCATGTGAGCTATATGAGTCATGTGGCCTGTCATGGTCCAGAGGCTCCGGATGCTCATGGCTAGATTCATCGTGTGCCGAAATCGCGTCACTAGCAAAGGGCGAGGTTGACACATTGGCTGCAGGACTGAACGCCACATAACCACTCTCAGGCTCTTCATGTGAGTTATAGGAGCTGTGCGGCATATCATAGTCCTGAGGTTCACGATGCTCATGGCTGGATTCATCGTGTGCCGAAATAGCGTGACTAGCAAAAGGCGAGGGCGAAGCATTGGTTGCCGGACTGAACGCCACATAGCCGTCCCCATTGGCTGAACTGACTGGTGACAACGTCCTACCCATGGCGTCGGCCGGGCCAGCGGCTTGGTGAGAGTGAAGACCATTAGAAGTAGCTGGACTGAACGATCGCAGCGGGTATTCGTTTTCTTGAGCTGGATAAGGGGCTGCGCCATGCTGGCTGAAAGGTGAGAATGTTCGGGGTGCTGCTCTATCACCAGGGAAGGCAGACGCTGGAGTCAAAGAACGAGTGTTTGGATCAATTGCCGGACTGTATGAACGGAAAGGAGTGCTAGATGGAGGGCCATAAGAATCGTAATGAGGCTGATATGTTTCAAATGGCCCGTAGCCTTCGCTAGGACCTCGTGATTCGGGGACCGTTGGCCCATACCCAGGAGCTGGTGTAAAATTGGAACGCGACACGGGTGTTTGGTTGCGCAGAATTTGCGGTGCCGGCGAGGCGTGATCAATCTGGCTGTAACCTGGGCCTGGGGTGTAGTTTGAGACAGGTGTTTGTGTTCGTGGCATTTGTGGCGCTGGCGACGCTCTGTCAGTCGGCCCATATCCAGGCGCCGAAGGTGTGGGCGTAAACCCTTGCCGTGATACTGGAGTCTGCAAACGCGGTACAGGTCCCGGCTGCTGACCGGGCAGACGAGGCGCTGGTGTGAAGTCTGAACGCGACATTGGTGTCTGGGTACGCGGCATAGATGGCGCCGGTGATGACCGCTCCATTGGACTATTGTATCCCGCTAGTGGAGGCGCTTGGTTGAAATGTTGTGGCATCCTTGGGGTTTGTGAGCGTGGCATCGGGGCAGGCCCTTGCTTCGGGAGTGGTGGCACTGGTGGCACTGGTGGCGCCGGCGTACCGTGCCGATCCAGTGGGCTGTATCCTGAGACAGCAGTGCTTCCAGACAACGAAGCCGCATCAGAATATGCTGAAGATTCAGTCATGGTTCGGCTCAAAGCAGGCTTATCATGGAATGCGCCAACATCTGGCAAGGTAGGCTTGCGATCCGGAGCAGCTGTCCCAGGACGAGAAGAGTAAGCCGGGAGAGTAGTTTGCGTCGTAGTGCGCGAGATCGTGGTGACAATAGGTGTCTTATCGTCATCACCGGCTCCGAGTGAGGGCAAAGTCGGCCGTTTGTCTAGACCCATGTTTGGATTGGTAGGTTTCCGATCTTGCAAGGCCACGCCTTTAGCCAAGGCTTTGTTGACCTTCCTCCGGACAATACGGGTGAGCCGAGTGTTGATCTTCCGTTTGCAATATGCCTTCAATGACCCATCCTCGGAGGGGATATGGTGGAAAAGAAAGATAAGGTAGAGTACGATAGCCAAGATCAATTTGAGCATTGACAAGACCCAAATGACCAAGGTAAATAGCATACCGATCAGGACGACAGCACGTTCAGTGTTATCCTCCGCCAGCATCTTGATGTTGTAAAATAATTGCGAGGCTGTGGACCCGCCCTCGTCGGTGGTGTTGCTGCCTCCAGGAAGAAGGTCCATCTGCATCACTGAGTATAGGGTGATGGCGTTAACGACTTGTCGTGGGCCGTCGGCAAAAAGGGTGCTCAGCCAAGCTAGATCGGTCAACATGTGTTTGCAATAAGAGCAGTGGTGAACTCACATTCAAAAGCAAAGTATGCGAAGAGGGCAACGTATTCAGCGCCCTTCTTACTTTTGGTGAGCTCGCCGAACACGAGGAATCGCCTCCACCCGCGACCATTGCTTCCCATTCGGATACTTTGGACGCGCACAGCGAGAGAGTCGAGGTAGCTCTGAGCGATACTCCCGGAGCGAATCGCACGAATGGCGCGCATCCATCGGTAGATCAAGAGGGCGAAAGAGATGATGATACAAACGGCGAAGATCCATCGCGATATTTTAAAAGGAATTGCAGGCTCGATTTGGCCCGCCCATCGGGAAAAGGCAAGAAGATTGACGGCGGTAAAAGTGTCGACTCCGTAGACGGCTATCGAGATGATAAGGAAGACGTAGAGAAAGAAGTATGAGAACGGCGATAGACAGGACTCTGATTTGAAGTCATCGAGGTTCTGTAAACAGTCAGCGTCAACGGCATTCCCATGAACAAAATCAATTTCATGAACCGAGCTCACAATGTAGTCCCACTGTTCCTCCAAGGCCACGGGCCCTTTCTCCCTGTCTCCAGAGCAAAACATGCCGATAATCAATGCAGTGTCGCCAGTACACAATGAGAGAACGAAGGTGAAGGAGGATGAACTTCAATGGGAAAAAAGAGAGATACTTCGTCGGTCCAGCCGGGCGAAGTCGAGGTCGCAACGAGAGCGAAGGGTAATGAAAGTGAGAGTGAGAGGAGAAGCCAGGATCTCGAATTCGTTATGTACGAGACCGCGCCAAGAAAAGAGAGGAAGCGTCGGCAGTTCAGCCAGCGACTATCGACAACAATCACGCATAACCGCTGAGAGATTGCTGGTGTCCGAGGTCAAACGAAGGACCTGTCAATCATTGCGGATCCATTTCGAATAGCCATTGAATTGGTGTAAAAAGGTTATGGTGACGCTTGAACTGCGACGTTGGCGGCTAGCCTCAGTGGGTAGGGCGAACGTGCCAAGATAGGGGAAGGGAGGTCCTGGCGCGTGCCGCTGCGGTTGCAACAGCGATCGCAATTGCTGATAAGCACGGGAGAGGGAGAGAGAGAAAGAAAGAGAGAGAGAGAAAGAGACGAAATATCGGCCACAATGGGAATAAGGAAGGACGAAATAGTTGGGAGAAGAAACGAACGACTGTTCACACGAAAAAAGGCGAACCCCTTGAAGGCCGAAGCCGAGCAATCCACGCGAGAGAAAAGGAAGGCCCGCGGGATAGTATGATGATGGAGGGGGCTTGCATGGAAGAATGTGGAGCAATTGGTGGAATGAAGAACGGGGTCACCCATGGTTTGGTGGCTCCAGGTGAAACACGCACGGAGAGGAGGGAATGAAACAGCGCGGCGCTTGCTGAGAACTACTGGCCACTATTGAGTGTTAGTTCGGATCAATTTCCCCATCCATTGGTCATGGTCGCCCATGTCAGCCCAGGAGGGAAAGGTACTTACTCGCTGCGTGGATCTGATAGGATCCTGTCCCGAACGCAGGTGCCCAAATTAATGCCAGCCGGCCGTTGAAATGTGGTTCTTGACGGATGATGATATTGAGAAGTCGAAGTTGAAGATGATGAAAAGGGAAGAGATTCCGTTATCGCTGCCCGTCACGGACCTTCAACCCCAACCGACCCCGTGATCCACTTTTCGCTTCCTTTTGCTCCATAGTATGGATGATTGTTCATAGACGACTCACTCCCTCGATACGGAGTAGATAGCCATCTCACGAACACCTCCACCGATTTAAACTTCCAATTGCTCTGCCTTATGCTCTTTTTCTGGACGGTCGATCGTTCTCTGTGTCCCTGCCGATGATGATTGACATCCGATCATTGCGCCGCTGGTTTAGTAGTGGTAGTGGTAGTAGCCTGTATATAGCAGGCTGCCAGTATCCTGAGTTTTCTTGCCAGAATACTGGCGAGGCCGGTCGCAACTCGGAGTCCTTTGGGTTCAATTGTCATTAGCATCTTTCTCTCTTTTTCATATTTTTTTTTTTTTTTTTCTTCTTTTCTCTCTCTCTCCCCCTCTCCCCCTCTCCCACTCACTCACTCACTCACTCACTCTCACACAAGGGAAGCCGATTCGAAGATGATGGGGCCTGAAGGAACGTGGGCGCCAACGAGGCCCCAAAGACAGGCAACAGCGTCAACCGCCTCCGCCACGGCCACGACCGCGACCGAGGCCGGCGTTGGAGGAGGAAACCCGCAGCCTCTGGGTTTCCTCCT